AAAAGGGTAACAATAAGGCAATAAGGGTAACAAGGGTAACAAGGCAACAGGGTAAATAAGGTAACAGGGGTAACAAGGGTAACAAAGGTAACAAAGGCAACAAGGGGTAACAAGGGTAACAGGGCAACAAGGGGTAAAAAGGGTAACAAGGGGTAACAAGGGTAACAAAGGGGTAACAAGGGGCAACAAGGGAAATAAGGGGTAACAAAGGGTAACAAGGGCAACAAGGGGTACTCAGGGTAACAAAGGCAACTAGGGTAACAAGGGGTAACAAAATGGCAACAAGGGTAACAAGGGGTAACAAGGGGTAACACAGCAAAACAAGGGTAACAAAGAACAAGGGGTAACAAGGGTAACAAAGGGGTAACAATGGGTAACAAGGGTAACAAGGGGTAACAAGGTAAATAAAAATGGGTAACAAGGTAAAAAGGGGTAACAATGGGTAACAAAGGGTAACAAGGGTAACAAGGGTAACAAGGGGTAACAAGGGTAACAAAAGGGTAACAAAGGGTAACAAGGGTAACAAGGCAATAAGGTAACAAGGCAACAAGGGTAACAAGTGGAAATCAAGGGCAATAAGGGTAACAAGGGGTAACAAGGGTAACAAGGGGCAACAAGGTAACAAGGGTAACAAGGCAATATGGTAACAAGGTAAATAAGTGGCAACAAGGTAAATAAGGGTAACAAGGGGTAACAAGGGGCAACAAGGGCAACAAGGGTAAGAAGGGTAAATAAGGGGTAATAAGGCAATAAGGTAACAAGGGTAACAAGGGGTTACAAGTGGCAACAGGGTAACAAGAGTAAATAAGGGGGAAACAAGGGTAACGAGGGGTATCAAGGGGGTAACTAGGGTAACAAGGGTATCAAGTAAAATAAGGGTAACAAGGGGTAAATAAGGGCAACAAGGGTAACAAGGCAACAAAGGGTAATGGGGCAATAAGGGTAACAAGGGTAACAAGGGGTAACAAGGGTAACAAGGCAACAAGGGGTAACAAGGGTATCAAGGGAAACAAGGGTAAATAAGGGCAACAAGGATTAAGGGGCAACAAGCAAGGGTAACAAAGGGTAACAAGGGGCAACAAGGGTAACAAAAGGGTAACAAGGGTAACAAGGGGGGTAAACAAGGGTAAACAAGGGTAACAGGGGGTAACAAAGGGAAACAAGGGTAACAAGGGTAACAAGGGGTAAAATAAGGGTAACAAGGATTAACAACAAGGGTAACAAGGGTAAGGGCAAAGGGTAACAAGGGCAACAAGGGTAACAAGGGTAACAAGGGGTAACAAAATAAGTAACAAGGCAACAAAGGGTAAATAAGGGGTAATAAGGGTAACAAAGGAGGTAACAATAAGGGTAACAATAAAAATGGCCTCAAAACTAGGGTAACAAGGGTAACAAGGGGTAACAAGGGTAACAGGGGTAACAAGGGAGGTAACAAAGGTAACAAGGAAAAAAAGGGTAACAAAGGGGTAACAAGGGTAACACGGGTAACAAGGGCAACAATATATAATATATATATATATATATATATATATATATATATATATATATATATATATATATATATATATATATATATATATATATATATATATATATATATATATGTATATATATATATATATATATATATATATATATATATATATATATATATATATATATATATATACTATATATATATATATATATATATTTATATATATATACTATATATATATATATATATATATATATATATATATATATATATATATATATATATATATATATATATATATATATATATATATATATATATATATATATATATATATATATATATATATATATATATATATATATATATATATATATATATATATATATATATATATATATATATATATATATATATATATATATATATATATATATATATATATATATATATATATATATATATATATATATATATATATATATATATATATATATATATATATATATATATATATATATATATATATATATATATATATATATATATATATATATATATATATATATATATATAATATATATATATATATATATATATATATATATATATATATATATATATATATATATATATATATATATATATATATATATATATATATATATATATATATATATATATATATATATATATATATATATATATATATATATATATATATATATATATATATATATATATATATATATATATATATATATATATATATATATATATATATATATATATATATATATATATATATATATATATATATATATATATATATATATATATATATATATATATATATATATATATATATATATATATATATATATATATATATATATATATATATATATATATATATATATATATATATATATATATATATATATATATATATATATATATATATATATATATATATATATATATATATATATATATATATATATATATATATATATATATATATATATATATATATATATATATATATATATATATATATATATATATATATATATATATATATATATATATATATATATATATATATATATATATATATATATATATATATATATATATAGTATATATATATATATATAGTATATATATATAGTATATATATAATGTATATATATATAGTATATATATATATATATATATATATATATATATATATATATATATATATATATATATATATATATATATATATATATATATATATATATATATATATATAGGGTAACAAGGGGTAACAAGGGGTAACAAGGACAACAAGGGTAACAAGGGTAACAAGGGGTAACAAGGGTAACAAGGGTAACAAGTAACGGGTAACAAGGGTAACAAGGGGTAACAAGGGTAGCAAGGGGTAACAAGGGTAAGAAGGGTAACAAGGGGTAACAAGGGTAACAAGGGTAACAAGGGGATGGAAGATAGGATTACTTGACATATCCTGTAAGAGAAATTTGTTTGTCTTGTTCCTCTTTTGTTATATAATTGTGTGTTACTTGACCAAGCTTGTTTTGTCATATTTTCTCGTCTTGGCTAATATTCTGCCATCTTCACTTCCTCCGGGGGGATCATTATACGTTTCTGGGAAACTGCCCACCCGCCGCTCCCCTAAGCCAACATTTTGCCTTAAGTGAGAAGTAACTGTTAATGTTGGCTTAGGAAAGGGGTATGTGGGCAGATTCTCAGAAGCGGTCAGTTATGGGTTGTTAAAAGTTCCAGGATTACAAAAGTGTTCTTACTTGGCTTAATCGTCAAAGTAGAAGGAAGGGTAATGGGATTTTTAGGTACAGCGTTTGCGTCATAACCTACAAAAAGAGACACATATAATTACAAACAATCAATGCACATAGAACATAACAGGATTTAAAACCCCAAAACTGGTAGGAGGCGACCAGTTGTCTATTTACAAGCGTGGCCGAGGATTTGAACTCAGGACCACCGAGAAATGTTCCCTTGCCGAGAAAAAATCCAGAGAGTGGCGACGCGAACCCTGGAACGGCGGATTGCGAGTCCGCTGGTCACTTGTCCACACTGCCTCCTCATTGGTAGTAACTAGTTGCGGATCCAGACCCTTAAATAGGGGGGTGGGGTGGGGGGGAGCAGTCTCAAAAAGTTTGCCTTAGTTTGGTTTAAAAATAAGGGGCGGGGGCAGCTAACGACTGTTTTCGGAGAAGCAAAGATTGCCTAGAATTTTCTTTTACTTGAGGACGGCTAAAACTTTCCAGATGACCGTTCCATTCACGTACAAATTTCGAAGCTTATCTTATAAATTCCTTACGATTTTCTGAGGTTTAAATTTTCACATTTCACATCCCAGGTTGGGCTTTTTTTGTAGAAAAAGGCAAACCTAAACTTTTCGGATTCAAAAATGTGATGGAAAGATGAATAAAAAAAATTCTCACTTTCGTAAAACGTTAAATTATAATACTGAAGCCCTTATAATTTCGAAAAGATCCAAGTTGCCCTAGGTTGACCGAACAGATACAAAGTTTTTAGCGCCGCCTAGAATGCTTTTCTAGAGACCTAAACGTACTCTGGATAGCCTAAAAAGACTTTTCAATGAATTTTGGAGGAAATCGTCGTTGGGTACCCCTGAAGGGGGACCGGCTCCTCCTCTGGATCCACCGCTGGTAACTACTGCTCGAACGAAAAACTCACGCAATAAGCGCGTCCTATACCACATAAAACAAACCCTTGCCACTCACTCTGGTTGATGAACAGTCCACGAAAGCCCTTTGATTTTCCACGAGAATCGGATCTAAACACCAGAAAAACTATAGGAGAGTTTGATGCCACGCCCTTCGCTGGTGGAGGACTATCCCCGCTGAACTCTGCAAGAAGAGGGGCTTTCTCATTCCATCCGCTGTAAATCTTTACAACATCTCCGTCTTTACCCTTTTGAAGGTTGAACTCTGGGAATTTGATTAAAACCTGCTGCTTATTTGGCGTACTGCTCTCTTGTACCAGGAACCGCCACGTACAAAGCTGAGAATTGGGGTAGCCACCGGTAGCGTAACTTGGAGACATAAACTCCTGGGACGTCTCGCTGATGGTGAAATGACAAGCTAAGGATTGAAACGATAATGATAATGGTAATCGGAGATCTTCCTCTCTGTAATTTAACAAAAGGTGCGCAGCAAATTTACTTGTTGCTAGGTTTTTCGCCCTGTGTCGTTTCTAAAATTTGTCTTGTAATTTGCCACTTAAGGAAAAAGAAGTTATCAGCTGATTTGCGCGTTCCCAGTAGCGATCCCAGAAACAATTGCGGGCGCATTACGGTACCAGGCCCCATATCGTTTCTAAAGTGGCGAAACGGATACTGCATGACAAGATACAGAAACACTGCTCAGCGTTAAGGTGCCCTTGGTTACCATACTACCCTGTGAGCAAGCTCTCCGTGGCGCCCTGACGGCGGGGCAGGAAAAGAAAGGAGAGCTTGCAACAAGGTCGATTCGAAATGCTTATTGGCAGAGATGACATTAGTAACGATCTTTTACGTGTTTTTCAATGTTTGTTTACATTCGCGCTCGTTTCCGCGTCGCTCTGATTGGCAGAAATCTGACAGCTCAGTCGACGGGGAGCCACAGGGGAATTGGAGGTGGAATTGAAATTCCAGAGACGCAGTTGCAAGTTCTCCTTCCTTTTCTCGCCCCGCCGCCAGCGCGCACCGGAGAGCTTGCTCGCAGGCTATTACCAAACTAACCTTCATAGTAACAATAGGAGATATTTAAGCTTCCGTGCGCGTACGGGTACGTCCCACCCTTGGTGTCCTTGTTTCCTGTGTCCTCGTTGTCAAATCGTATAAACTCCTTTGTAGCAAGCGCTCCATTTACTTGCTGACATTCGGAATTGTTGTACGCCAAGAGGTAAAAGGGACTACTAATGGGTAGAGATATAGGCTCTAATTTGTCACCATCTGTTCTACAGCAGTAGAAAAGCTTGGTATCCTCGTTGTATTCTCCGTCCGGTAGTACCCCTCCCATTTTGTTTAGGTTTTTGCGATTTTCGTCATCAAAAAATATGTATCCCTCTGTGAGTCCTTTTGGACATGTGCCCCTTTTGTAGATGCAGTATTGACCTAAAATGAGATAAAAATAAATGTAATAGACATTAGCATTTACATGAGAATTGAAGCTAGCCATAACAGGAATAACGGAATTACTGAAAGACAAATAGTCCTACAGAAAACTGTCTTTATTGGAAATCAGATCAAAGATCATGCATGATTGATTCGTGGAAACCTAGGCTCGATTTACGCCGTCGCTCTCTTGAGCGCGGGCTCGCGCCGGTTCCTGAACAATGGCTGGTAATCAAGCCTAGTGAAAGCCTTGCTTCATAGTTGCGCGCCGCATTCTTGCGAGTTTTCACTGGAAAACGTGTTCGCGCACTAGAAATTGAATGTCCAAAGCCTTACCCTTAGGCCAAGATTTTGTGCCATTATTTTCTGTAGCTGTGCAGAAGGTTCTGTTTACGTCGTTTTTCATGACTGATGAGTTCATGTGAAAATTCGGTGAATGAGAGTTGTTGGGGTTTTCGTCCTCCGTGTCCTGAAATCGCCAGCCAGTAGACCACGTGACGTTCTTTGAGCGAGGACATCCGAGCCTGGGACGAGGGATCCCGAAAGTCCCGGAAGGCCACTCGACACCCGAAGGAGGCAAATCTAAAATGGCGCGAACGTAAAGAAGCTTAAGATGAATCGGAATCTCTAAGACAATCGAGAAGTGAGCGTTTATGGACGCGTCCGGTAATAACGATATGTTGGTTAGCTTAAGTAACAACGACGGCCAAGGCAACGAAAACGTCACTTATAAAGTGAATTCGCGCTGCTTAAAACTTTATCGTGCTTAGTTCCATATAGTTCAGTTCGTCAAACGTTGGCAAATTTTTCTGTAGTTGAATTCTAAGACTGTATCAAAGTTCAGGAAAAGAAAAAGAAAGTCATTGTCTTGCGATCACGTACCCCACAAAACGTGAAATTAGGACGTTTCACGTCGTAGTCGAGCAACGTCGGCGACGAAATGTTCAAGAAAGCGTAATGCATGTGCAAAGTTGTTCTCGTTGACCTCGCCGTCGTCGTTGCTTAAGCTTCCTGATATGTTATTTTATACAGTGTGTGACTATGCTAAAAGGGGCATCTGATGTACCCTACAATCAGGGTTTTTTAAAATTCTTGTTCGAGAAGAAAGGGAGAACAATGAATTTTCCTCCTTCCCGTCAGAAAGATAGATAGAGACATAATATAGCGGGGGCACGATCACAGGCTGTCATAAATAGGGAGTATAATATTGCTCTTTTATTTCATGCTGCGCGTGAAAAAAACTGATTAGTGAAATCTGACAATTAAACCTAAGTTAGATTACAGAAAGGCGACTGTGGGTAACCTTTTTATAGCAGGGATGAATGATCATGGGGCGTATTCACATGACGTCACGGCGGCCATATTGATGTTCCTAAACAATGAAACGGCGGCCATATTGGTTTTCCAAACAAATTCTGAGGGAGTTGGACTCTTTTCTTATGTAAAACATTTCTTTTATTCCCGTAAATTTGCATAGATGCTGGCCACGTGTGTGAATACGCTCTATACATGATGGTTAAGTACAAGAGGCGATCTGTATCGACAACAAACGACAAACCAGTGGGAGACAGCGGTTTGCCTACATGTGGTGTGTAACCTCTCTATGCTGACTATGACGTCAGAGAGATGAGTGCGTGTCGTGCGTGTCACAAAACATTTCTCATTTCCAGGCTCTTTTGCTTGTTCTCCTTCAACACCAGATGGCGAAACAAACAAAGAACGAGCTCAAGCAATTTGAATCTTACCTTCACCACCTTTAACTTTAAAGACGCCACGAAAACCTTTAGATTTCTTCTTTGAAGAATCAGGCCAGTTTTTAGACTGAAACTCCATAAAAAGAAATCTTGCTTCTCCATAACCTTTAACATTAGGAGGAGTAGATTCGTCAAGCGTATATGCTGGTCCATCGCCTTTCCAGCTATTGGTGTAAATCTTAACAGAGTCATCATTTTCGATGTCCATTTCAAGAAACTCTATGTGGACCTTCTGCTTCTCTGGGGCAGCAAATCGCCACGTGCATGTCTGAAAAAGGGGATATCCATCGTCGTAAAACTTGGGAGAAGTGAATTCTATCTGTTCATCTCGAATTCCGTTCAAGCTGTACGTGAACTGACAACCTGAGAAGACAAACTCAAAACAGCGTGTTAGCGATGTTTTAACATCGGTAAAAATGCAAAAAACAAATAATAAACAAACATACGAACAAACTTTGCTCGGAGGCCTTAAACAGGAACTGCAGTTGTTGTTATTTTTTTCAGTTGTCCAATGTATTAAAACTTCCCAGTTCATCTAAATTTTAGCAGACTTCACTAATGTACAATATTGGGTTTATCTTTGATAATTCTTAGCCACGGATTTTCAAGGTGTCACTATATATGAGCACTATGTTTACTGCAAATTTCAGTGGCTTTGATGTGACTTCAGTTTTAATTCGTTGGAAAATAGCGTAAGTATCTTAACTAAATTAGACCAATTACTACAGATGGTGACACTTGAATTAGGAAAAAAAGCTTTATAACCTACTTTCATAGTAACAGTACAAAAGTCGATGATTTGCAATTCCCGCGCCATGAGGATAGCTTCCGTTCTGCCGGTCTTTATTTCCGCTATCTTCAGTGTCAAATCGTATAAACTCCTCCGTAGCAATTGCGCCTTCAACTCGCTGACACTCTGACGTATTGAACGGTTTAAGATAGAAAGGACTTGTGACGGGGAGGGAGATGGGTGTATATTTGTCACCATCTGTTATGCAGCAGTAGTAAACCAAAGTGTCTTGGTTGTATGTGCCGTCAGGAAGTGTCCCTCCTTTCTTGTTAATGTTCTTGTCATCCTCATCGTCCCACGAGACATACCCTTCTTTAAATCCTTTGGGGCAATCTCCTTTCTTGAAAATACAGTATTGACCTAAAGGAAATAAAGCAGATGTAGAAAATTGACCGATTTGACCCGAACAGTTCGAGACTGTGGACGAAGAGAGAAAGAGAAATAACATGAAATATAAGTTTGGAATTTGGAAGTACCCTCGATTGCATTTTGCCGATTTTGGATTGGTACACTTTGCGAATCAAGCCATCTTCTATAAGTTAGCATCATTTTTTAACCCATCTTAAGTATTTTTACTCTGCTTTTTTGCTCTTGCATGGAAGACGCCACAGCCTGACAACGCCCCTTGTATCTCTGATTAAATTGCCTGCGTATGACTCTGGTTGGCGCCAACGGTCTATCACGTTCCCTGTCAACCAATCACTTGGCTCCAATACCAGCCGCTGTTCGGAAAAAGAGCCCGCGCTCTTAATTTCCCCACCCGGAAATCGAACCTAACCAATCACCAGTAAAAGAAAAACCATTCCTAAATTGCTATGACAACGGGTTTTTGACCTGATTTTTGTGGTTTTGAAGTCTGCTTTCTATTATTTCGTGAGCTTCCTAAGGGAACACCAACTTTCTTTTCAAGGGAAAAGAAAAAAAGAAAAAATTTGGTTTTTGGGTGGTACAATCCATTCGTTCGTCAATTTTTTGACCCAGGGCACCGGTTACCTGCACTTTTTCGTGTTCTGATTGGTTGGTTGCACATCCTAAGACAGTTGCAACTGGCTGAAGATCTTATCATCGTCATCATCATAATCATCATCATCATCATCATCATCATTATTATTATTATGATTATTTGTTTCAGTTTGACGACACTCCAGTGAAAACAGCTCTTCATGAGCAGTTTATTTTTAAGTGTAACCAAGCTTACCTTTTGGCCACTCAGTCGAAACGTCATTCTTGTTCTTTATACAGAACGTCCGATTAACATCGATTCCCACTTTTGTATCTAAATGATAACTTTTTGATTTACTAGTTCCAGGTCTTGTATCTTCAAGATCTTCAAACCGCCAGCCTGTGGTCCAGTTGGTCTTTAGCGACACAGGACAACCATTCTTTGCTTTGGGTAGCCCATAAGTCCCTGCAGGCCATGTGACTTCCGCTGAAAAGTAAAGCGGCAAACCAAACGCACAAAATGAAGGATACCAAAGACGTACGTCACACTCATGGGCGGATCCAGAGAATTCAGAAAAGGGTGGCCGAGACACTTGCCAGCTATATAGATACTTTTTATTTTTCTTAGAATTCTATAAAAATAACACACAATTTCGGCCCACCCCTAAATCCACCCTTGACAGTAACTGCTTAAAGCTCAGCTACTGTCTTGGCTTAAAGGAGCTGTGTCACGAAATTCAGCCAAATTAGGTAATTACAAAATGCCCGTTAAATTAAGAGAAACAAAAAAATAACCGCTTGAAACATTAAAGGAAGGTTAAAACTATTATTAAAAAAACACAACAGATACAACAGCTGCCTCGGATGGGCAAAACTGAAGAAGATTGAAAAGGATTGAAATTAGGGTTTTTGAAAACTGTTCAGCCTAACAGTTTTTCAAAGTTGATCCCTGCTGCTCGCAACTTCAAAAATAATGCTCAGAAGACATATTTGTTTGTCTCCAATCTATGATTTTGTCATTTCCATGTAATTTCTTTGTTTGCTTTAAGTTCCTTAGCGATTTAGGGCGAGTAATTGGCAAAATTAAACAAAATGAACAGGCCTGCCGTGACACAGCCCCTTTAAACAACGCCAAGTAAACTTCTATCCAAACCAAAGGGGGGAATTTCATATATCCCATGATGCTTCGCGGCAAATTTGTGTCTTCTTTCCGCGGTGGAAAGAGCGTTCGAGGGTTTCGAGGGAGATTTTCAACGACCTGAATTTCAAGATGCAGCTCATCCAAGGTAAGTTTTAATGAGCCCTGTTAATCTTTGGTATCTTATTAATAATGTAAAATGGTCCCATAGTCATTTCACGCATTATTGCTCTTGTTTACGACCCCGTTAAGCCATACTGTTTTAACTCGCAAGTGAATATTTATTTAGATGACTTTCAGTTATCGAAAACTGTCTTTATTCTACCAAGGTTTTGCCCTAATAAATTATTTAAATCGGCGGACAAGGGGTGCTTGATACTAGTTCCACGCTCCGACCTCTTTCGACCTCGCGATTTTTATGGGTTTGATCGTTTTGAAATATCGCATTTTCTACCCTTTCTCCACTAAGATGCAAGACGAAGGTTTCAATTTCTTTATGCTAAGTCCCGCGAAGATGGGACATTTTCTCTTGAATTCGCCCTTTTTTCGTTGATCAAAACACAAATATTATCTCTTGAGGGTATGATGAATGTTTAAATTCAATGGTTTATAGTTATTGAAGCTTTTTTGTCTCATTATTTTAGGTAAATTGGTTTCTCATGGTGGCTTCCGGTCGCAACCGCGCGTGGGGAACTTGAAATATACAGGGCGGCAAATGTCATGGAATAGCACGCCGTAGGACCTCAACCGGCGTATAAAGCCTTTTAAGACATTTTGATAATTCTTTTAGGATCCATTGTAGTGAAGAAGTGGGTGTTTTTGTATATGTATTGTGCCATTTCTTAATAAAGCTTTTTTCTGTTTATGTTTGACAATGATGCTTAGCTCGTGTTGTGTTACGAAAAATATGGAGATGTCTTTGTTATTTTTGTTGTTTGATGGAGCTATTTCCCTCCTTTGAATTTTATCTCCGATAGACGTCACTTTGCTCTTTAACGGTCTCGGTATTTTCGACTACATAAGTCGAGCTTATTGAAGTAAAAGCGTGTGCAGTCACTGTACGGTTGATGTACGGCACCGATGAATTATTGAACTGACAATATGAACACCCCGATAACAAACAAGCAACGAAGAGAAATCTCACACCTAGAATATGTATTTATTTCAAGACAAGTCGTGGAAATCGTCTGTTAATTCATAGAGAGCTTTGTCAACGCACGTTAAAACAGGACGTACTGAAGCAAAGACCTTCCTCGCTAGCTTCTACGATCGTTTGTGTGGACTGCGTTGCTATCGTAAGTCTAGTTAACTCGTAATCGGCGGGCAAAACACTCTCTTTGACTTAACAAGAGATATATTTGGAATAGTAAAACGAAAATCGTAAATAGATCGACACAGCAAAGGTACAGAAAGTTTTATCGGCAGAACAAGTCGCTTTCCACTGCTGTTCAACAGTCACGTTCTTGTTGAACTGATAGCATCACGTGCGTTCGGAAGCTTGATAATATAGTATGAAGCGATGCATCATGGGATATATGAAATTCCCCCCTTTATCCAAACCTTTGTAAATTGCCCGCTAATATGCAACGGGAACCCAAGGGGACTGGGACTAATCAAGCAAAACGAATTGCTTCGTAAATGAATTTTTTTTTACCTCACTTTGAAAAGACTTGCAAAAAAACGGTAACCTTTCAAAAAAAGAGCCGTATATATCACAAATTTTGATTAATCGGTAACAGAACTTCGTGTCGTCCAATTCGGTCTGTAGTAATCATACTCGTGATTATTAAAACAAATCGGACTCTCGCTACGCGGTCGTCCGATTTTGTTAATCACTCGCATGATTACAGACCGAATCGGTCTCCACTCAGTCCTGTTACCATTACTAATCTTCGCTTTTCGCGCCACAAACGTATGGAGGAGAATACTGGACAAAACTGTTATTGGATCGTACCATAAGGTGCATTATATCGAATTTGCCTGTATACCGTCTTACCGTACCCGGTATGCTGTTATGTCGTACTCAGTAATGTTGTATTGTAACCGGAACAATGTATTAAAAGCACCCTATGATAGCGAGCTCAATATACATATACGGTTCACTATAATAATCATTTATGAAGTACCTAACTGCACAAATTGGAAAGCTGCTCACCATATTGCATATTTTCACCTTGTACGACTTGAAAGAAAGCTCGACATGATGCTATCGGGTACGACATAACAGCATCCCGGCTATAATATACGGTCGCGGTGTACGACGTAACAATTTCCTGGATACAATCTATGGTTACCGGGTACGATAAAACAGTGATAAAACATCATTTACGTTACGAGATACGTTTACCGGGTACGATACAATATCATTCAGGTTACGATATCAGGTTACGGAGTTCGAAACAACAGCATACAAGTTACGATGAATGGCTACCGGGTACGATACCAACCTCGTCCCCAGGGCGCTTTTCCCTGGCTTTGGGGGCGGGGGACGAGGTTGGTACGATACGTCAGCATTGGGGTACGATACAATACTATTCTGGTTACGATATAAGGCTACCGAGTACGATAATACATTGTTCATGGGCCAATTTTTTACACCCCGTTCTAGAATTCGCCCTAAAACTGATACCCCGTTCTAGAAATGGGCCAATTTTTTATACTCCATTCTAGAAAGTTTGTAAATTGAAATAGCCCCGTTTTTTTAAAAAGATATTTCTTTATTTGTTCGACTTATATATCAAATAAATGCTTCTTCATAATCAACAACAATTTTAAGCAGAAGATAAAGCCGTGATCCACAATTTTTTATACCCCGTTCTAGAAAACGCCTCGGAAGTGGTACCCCGTTCTAAATCAGGAGCTTCAAAATCACGACCCCGTTGGGCGGCACATACCCGTATAGGTAATGTACGGGAGTACCCCCCCCGGGACGGTAAGACAGTATACAGGCAAATTCGATATAATGGGCTCCTGAATGCACCTTATGGTACGATCCAATAACATTTTTGTCCAGTATTCCCCTCCATACAAACGCCCTACTCGATCCATACCGGGCGCAACCTTCGTGACGTTCGTGACCTCAAGAACGTTAATTGTGGAATAACTGACGCATGAACGTACTAAATTAAGTATTAAACATTTCTTCAAGCTTTACAAAGCGTTTTAAAACCATGTTCCTTGCACTCTTTGTGCGATTTTGAGAATTGTCCTAGCATCTTTTTGGTGACGTCTAACATCGTGTGTTAACGATGATGTTTTCATTAGTCGTTTAGACAAGCTGTCGGGCTACATAATGATTATAATGATATTCTCAGTTATTTAAATTTCCAACTAAGTGCTAATATGCTAAACATACTCATTCCATAGTTATAAAATACGCACAAATCAGCTCCTCGGGAACAAACGCCAAAATACAATTAAAACTAAGGAATGGAACATTCAATAACAATGACCTTTTCAAGGAAGAGTTTTCAATTCGCTCAAATAGTCGTGTACCTAACATTACGATATGAGTAACTTAATGAGTTGTAATATCTTGCTCCATTGAAAACGTGCTAAATTATTTTATAAACAAATTGTTGGAGGTCTGGCGAGGTAATTCGCCGCCTTTGGATCGGTGTAGAAACATAAATAAATGGTAATTTAGTTAGCCTTTTACATCACACCATCAGACTGTAAATTTTAGCGGCAATGTTCAAGGTCACCGCAGGAGCACCAAGTAAGCTGTACAGCTGTCTTTCAGCTGATATTAAAGCACGCGTACAAAACGATTTTAAACTTTTAACTGTTTTATTAAGTCACTATATGGCTGCCTTTTCTACTGTCTATAGCTTGTCTACTCAAAATCTGTGTTAAGACCACACTATATGTTAGAATGAACTTACCTTCAATTGATCGTGACGAGAGCCAGACAGTTACTAGACTACTCAGCAAGAATGAAAGAACTCGTGCCATGTCGTGAATTTAGCATTTAAATATTTGCTGAAGAGTAGGTCCAACTGATGCTCAAAAGATCAGAGTTCTCAGCAGACTACCTTCTCTACATACACAACTTCGGAAGAGCACATGCACATTTGGGAATCAGAAGCGTAAACTTCCTGTTTGTGGGATAATCGTAAAGTTCCGAAGTTAGCCGGACTGCACCGAACATTTCCGGCGAGCATTCAACAATCCTGATCCACTGGAGTCAAGACCAGAGGCCAGAATAGCTTTAGAACCTTCAGACAAAGAGCCATAATGGGATTCAGTGGCTCTTGGCCACTAGTCTCAGGGGCGGATCCAGGATTTTTTTTAGGAGGGGGTGCACTCGTCTCTTGCTCTACTTCAACACCAATAAACCACATACTTTTTTTTTTTGCAGAATACCAGTTGTATTAGAAAACCGCAGGTCATCTCGTGGGGGGGGGTGCGCACACCCTGCACCCTCCCCCTAGATCCGCCCCTGAGTCTCGGATCCAAAAAGAGTGTTTTTTTTACCGCTTAAAGTACTATTGTTGTGCTTACGGAAATTTGAACGTTAAAAATTAGACAGCTTTTACAAACATTGTCGATAAACACAAGAGGTATGTAAATACAACGTGTAGAGGTAACGCAACAGCAAAAATTCGTCCCATGGTAAGGGAATCCAGACTTCAGGAATCCGGCAAATTTTTGCTTGTGGTATTTGGAATCCGGCAAATTTTTTGCTCGTGGGATTCGGGATCCCACTAACTATTGGAATACGGAATGACAAGGACTGGAATTCAGTACCTGGAATCCGGAATCAGTACATGGAGCGCAAAAATGGGGCGTAAGAACTTAACAGGGTGGGCAGTATATCAAAGTGACGTTAAGTAAAGATTATGGAATGTCAAAAATATATATGACATTATCAAACTTACAACGTTCGCCGCATTTGTCAAACCTCCAAGTTACATTCGAAAAAAGTTGAAGAGTTTTTTTGCCGTGTTTGCAAACTGTTAACATCCGGGATCTTGACCAAATCACACTAACAGACTGACGCTGCAAAACGCCTGCTGAAGGAAAGAGATAAGCGAACGTTAAAAAGAGATTTAACAACTGTACCTTATCCTTAAAATACTAGGGGAAAAACTTCTAACATGCAAAATGGTGTATTTGAACTGTGGCTGAGAGCAGTGACTTAGCTTAAGCCGAACAAACGCTCACGAACTTCACTTTGATGGAGCCATGCTTTTCCAAAACGTCTCTGAGCTTCTTTGCGTTAGAGAGAGAAGTAATACGAAAGTTTCAACAAACTTTTAAAATGCCAGTTTTTGGATCAGATGATGAAACGTAGAGACTCAGTAGCCTCTTTGTTCTCTGGTCATGGATCAAGAAAGCCCCTAGAGGAAGACGAAGGGCTTTTAACAAACAGCGAAGATGTCTCACCTGCGAATGAGTCTGACCTTCGACATACAGTTCACCTTTTTGACCGTAAAGACGATTTTTCAGGCAGTTGGTACACTGTGGAAGATTCAGAGCCGGAAGATAACGATTGCCCTGAATTTAGAGACCAAAAGGTTAACTTTGCCGACAAAAGGCAGTTGGGAAGCAGAGAGAGACTTAACCGATCTTTAAGCAACCTCTTTTTGCGAGTTAGTACGCCAAAGATTCATTCAAGCCGTAAACAGTGTTTTTTAAAACAACTACCCGAAAACAAGAAAACAAGTTTACTTCAGACCTCATGCCAGGTAAATTTGAATTGAAAAGCTTATTTAAAGCAGCAACAATCACATAAGTGTAACCAAGTTTGAGCGCAAAAAGTAACTGAAATGTTCATCTTTTTGTTTACTTTGATAGGAAACCATCGAGGCTAAACATTTTTTAGGCACAGCGAACGTGAAAACATTTTCAATTTCATCGCACTTTTAGAAATGAAGTAACCCAGTAAGCTTATAAAGATCTTAGTTGCCGAAATATTCATAATGATAATATATCGTACCTACCGTTATGATATATATAAGCTTATTTTTTTTTACTTACTCTAAACTTAATATTTGTTTAATTTTTAGGAAACTAACGTCAAATTTACTGTGAAAATTTTGTCAGAATGACCTTCCGGATCTATCAGCGATCCGTTTAAAATTCAGCTTTAAAGAACTTATAACGACTTTACAAATTTGAAGAAACTACCGAAAAGAGGATGACATCTCCTTCTATTTTTCAAATTATTATTTATCTTTTCCCAGAATCACTCAATGGGGAGAAAATAAAACTTACTCATGTACAGTATTACTTAACATAAGTTATTCATTTAACAGCTGGTCTATGTTTATTAAATTTAAAAATATTTATTCAGAAACGTCGTTTTTGTTCATACATACAGCCAATTTAAACAGAATGTTGGCTAATAAATGATAACTACGGTAAAGAAAATAAATACAAACAAAAGTCGACATGGCAAACAAGTGCTTGAAATGCATGGCGTTTCGCCAGGGCCTTCAACTGGCCTTGGGGTGTTCGTAATTAGTAGAAAATAATAATTTTTCTTTTATATATATACTCGAATACTGGGTAGCCTGAATTTCATCCAATTGCTTCGAGTCGTTTTGTCTTCGAGTAATTCAGGCTAAATATTTTTTCAAATGATTTCAAAATTTTCCCTCGACCCAGACTCCACTGTCGATGCGGGCCGCGAAGGCTCCGAGTTCGCGGCTGTCGGCAAGGGCTTCCGCTCAGAGTCGCAGGCTGCCATGTTGATATCCTTAATAGCGTTTTCCATACCTAATGACAAATCTAAGAATTGACAACCTGATTTTGGACTTCAAATAGAAAATGGTGGTTTTTGAGGACCATTTCTGGGTGGGTTGAAGTTCTAAAAGCAGCACGTTTTGTCGTGTCGTCGAATACTCTGTTTGACATCCGGAATGTTGCCGTCCAACAAGCTTAGTCTGTAACTTTTCTTGTTTTATTCCAGGGAGAGAAAAATGCCGGATTTGACGTGCTGTATCATAACATGAAATATGGCAACAATGCCAGCTGCAAGCTTGTGGAGTTTGTACGCGAAAGGTGAGTAAAAATCTACATTTTATAAACATAAGAACTTCGCTTTTCAGCTTGCCCGGTAAGCTGTACACTGTATCTATTTTCGTGATTATCTGCGATTTCTTCTCTGTGTTTTAGATCCGCCGTGGAAGAAGTCTATGCTAAATCACTCCTCAAGTTAGCAAAATCTGCAACTTCTGTCACACAACTCGGGTAAGGATATGGAGGTTTTCGTTGCTAGCATTGATTCTAAGTATATAAAACTGCGGTTTTAAATTACGTTGTTCAAAGCTTGGAAGATTTAAATTCCTCGCGTTTATCTAGTTGATTATTTCTAACTCTTGAATTCTCATCAGAAGGATATAATTTTCCGCCCTTTGAAGTCTGTGAAAGCTTGAAATCGATCATTTATTGTCTAGAATGTTTTATTTTAGGGGATGAATGAATTATTTGAAAGTGTTTGTTAAAACAGCCCGAATGATACCCCTCTGACCTTGAAGATATAGTAATTTGCGTCGACACAGGAAATTGTCTTGTGGAATCGTTCGATGCAATTCAAAAGACGAATTTTAAACGGCACATGAATTAGCATATATGATTTTTACAGGCTTGAGAATCATCGGGAGAATTGCCCGCTGATTTTGTCAAGCGAATCAAATTGTCCCGGAATCATATGTGATGATGACTGAAGTTCTGCTAAATCATAAGTGATGATTTTTTCAGCAAAGTCAAAATCATTCGTGGAATCATAACGTACGAAACCGTGAGTGTCTGGAATCATCACCAGGCGATTCGCTGCTGTTATGAAATCGTTTGTGGAATCATAACCTTGTGCCCAACAAAAGGGAACGTTGGATTCACGAGTGAAAGATCGGTCGTCGAACTGTCATAAACCGAACTAGGATCAGACGAAGTTGAAACGAAGACAAATATGAAAAGTGTAGCAGAAGAAGTCTTGTAGTTCTAGCGTGCGCGCATAAACTAAAACTTGAAAGGGGCTTGGTACGAGATTTGACCGTGTACCTCTGATCTAACACGAAAATCCTATTGTATGTTATTGAAACTTTCAAGTTGAAATCGTTTAATCTGAAGGTAGTTGAAGATCGTGATCATCCATGGATGCAGGCCGGACCTTTTAAAGGTAAACTTTCTTGCTTTGCTTCATAAATAAAATGGTAATACATTTACATTCAAGTGATGGTACTCATAACAGAAGCTTGTTAACGTCAAAAACATGTGTATACTACCTGTATACTGTTGCCTTTTGCTGGTTGGGTAATTTATTTAACACAAAGGCCCTTCACACACACACAAAAACAATACCACTGATGTTATAATTTGTATGATAGCAGGAAGACCTGATTTACATCAAACTAAATAAAACAGCTCATTTTGTATAGCAGAAAATAACACTAATTTGCATACTTTTTGGAGTAAATTTGACAGAATATTGAATAACAATATCTATATTAATTATAACCGTAAATTAATTTAAACTATAAATCACAATTTACAATGGTGATTTGAACAATGCACAAAGTAATTAAGTGTATAAAATCATTCATTTGAGTTAAACAACATTTTAAATGACACCAAACCAGTTAAGGTATATGATTATTATTATGATGATTGTTGGTGATAGCCCCCATTCAATTATCCCCATTATTTGAAATCTGGATTACCCTGGGGTCAAACAGGTCCAAATTAAAATGAAACACAAATATTTTAATTCATCAGAGCTGTTCTCTAGCAGAGCCCATTGGCTCCTAGTGCCTATAAGAGGGGCTGAATAGGGGTATGCAAATCCGCCAATCCGTTATGATTTATTGGCCAAATCCGCTGTTAAAATTTCGCCCTGAATCAGAAATCTGGGCAAAAAATTTTTATTACACGCAAAGTCGAAATCCGGGCCTAAAAGTCGATGAATCCGCAATCCGCTGCAATTACAGGATCCGAAACCGTTAAAATCTCGCTTTGAATCCAAAATGTGGGCAAAAATATTTTCAAAATCCGCCCGATCCATTCGCCTATTCACCCCGCTCCTATAACTCTTGCTCTCAAGCAACTTGAAAGTCTTACTTTTTCATTCAAATCATATGCTGGGCACCCTAGGTGTTACAGCCTTAGAGCACAACCTTGAACTTTAATAAAATGTTGCACTTAAGTGACAATGAGTTTTTAAGATCCAGACTTGATCAAACAACACAGAAATTTTGAAATGTTAAGTACAATTTGTTCTCTTATTTTACTTTTTGTACTTGTCATAGATATTGACTATCAGTCGAGAATTATATATAGGCCTGAACACCCAACAACTGATTTTTTTTTTTAAAGGCAGGGCTGCCACCAGTGGCCAAGGAGCAAGCATTTTACTTTTGAGCATGATCCTTGGTTACTTTTTGTAGGGAAACCAAGGCAAAATGGAACCAAATGCAAAGAACTTTCTAACTTTTCGATTCCCCACCTTTTTAAATATGAACTGTCCGTAATATATAGAGGCGTGTCCGTATTATAGAGGTGTTTATAAGGAGAGGTTAGGCGGTAATGTCTAATGGTAAACTGATGACATCACATGTGTAGGAAGAGCCCAATGAGAGTGGATGCACATTGACAATTTTGGGCAGCTCATTCAAATGTATTTTCAAGGTTTTTTTTTGCCCATTTGGTACTTTTTCAGTTTGCAGACTTTTTGTCTACTTTTAAAAGTGCATGTTTCACAGAGTTTTGGATCCAAAATTCAAGACTTTTTCCAGACTTTTTCCAAAACAAAAATTATTATTTCTCTTTCCAGACTCAAGTTTATCAAATAAAGGTGACAAACAGAGACCTTAAAAAAAAACACAGGAATCAAGCTTTTCTCATGATGCACTATAGTAATCACAGTGCAAAAAAATTTACCCTTTTTTCCTGTCCTTTTTATGAACAATGCCTGTTTAGGCTTTCCAAGTAATTTCATAGGTATGTGGAAGGATCAGGGTCAGTATGGGTGCAGTGTCCAATTGTTTTATTTCATATTATTTTACAATTACATATTTTGCTGCAATTAAAGTATATAGTTGTTAGTGGTAAACAATTTCAAACATTAAATCAAATATATTGAGACTGTCAAACTATAATATTATTCCAAACTGTATAATTTGGGCGAATTAAAATAACTATTATTGTACATGTATGAAGTGCTCGTTAGTAAACAGAAATGATGTAAATGAGTAGTGTCTCCTTATTGTGCTATTTAGTGATTTGCATACAGCTGTACTCTCGTCATCGACTCAGATTAGCTACCAGAAGATAGTTCTTTTTGACTGGAAGCAAAGTCACTCTCCGTATCAACCGTCTAACATTTACGATGTGCTCTCCATGATAAAAGCTGTTCTTTACTGCAGGAAGTCCAGAGAGTTTATCCGCATCATGGTTCTTGTTGGCAAAATAAAACCAAGGTGATGAACTCGCATACTAGTAGCTCCCATCAAGTCTTTCAAATGAACTCGTGCAGTAAAAAATAACGTACCTGAACAAAGTAAGGAGAAACCTCAGTTTTACTTTCAGGTTTGTCTAATTTGTCCACACAATAGATCAGAGCTGTCTGGCCCCTGTCAGTTCTGTTGTAAGAGGATGAAAAGGTGGAACCATTTACCATACATCTCGCAAAAGGTATCTATATGGGGCTCGACAAACAGAAATGAATCCTCATGGATGTCTGACATGTAATCTTTCAGCTCATTGTAAAATTCAAACTTTGGTCTTTGCTTGATCCTCATTGGAGGAAGCATCTTAACAGGCCATTTTTGGTCGATTTTGTCTATGTCCTCTTGTTCAACTGTCATTTGGATGTCCAAATTGGTCACAGATGTTCTTGAGGGTGCCATGTACATATTTTCTGTCCCTCTGAAAAAAGACGTTCTGCTTGGATTCTTTGAAAAACTGACCATTCTTCTGTTCCCTCTTCCAGATGTTCACTGTCTTTGTGTTTCATAAGTGGCTTTAAAGAAGAGGGAATATCATTTTCACTTACCTTGTCAAGTAGTGGTAACTTTGCAACATCAATTAAATGCTGCATGACAAAGTTTCTAAAAATCTCCTCTTCTACAGTTTTCCCACTGGTGTTGACATCTCCTAACAGACCAATGTGTCTTTCATAAGGAAAGCACCACCAGCTGGTAGGAGGTCCCCAATTCTGAATGAGCTCAGGGATGTGTAGAGTCATGTGATAATTAACACTTACCTCAAATTTTCCAAACACTTTTGAATACAGTCCATGGTGCTTGTGAAGAAGACAAGAGATATTGTTTACTTCATCCCTTGTTATGGGGTCTTTCAGAAGCAGTTCAACTGCCTCAGCGAGACATTTTGTGGCATCATAAAATCTGTTTGGTACTACATTCCATAAACAGACCCTTGCATAGGTGACAATGAAATTCTTCCACTGTTGTGCTTTCAACCCTCGCGCTGACATTTTGTCGAGCATTGTCTTTGGTAGCCTTCCAAGATCGTAGGGCACCCTCACAGCATTCAATCTGTTTGCCAAGATGTCTCTCTCCTCCTCTGTCATCAAGTTGTTGGAATTAGTTATAAGTTCTTCCCCAAGGTCTGAAACAAGGCCCATCAAGATGCTGTGCATGGGATCAATTAAGAAATTTTCAACCATGTTGAAGTATGGCAGACGAGCCAGTTCACTGTACTTTACTCCTGTTTTTTGAGACATTGCTAGTGCACTTGCTTTTGTTGTTGCCTTTCTATATATACCCATTGCCTTTTCGTACCTCACTGTCAGTCCGTGCTGGTGATTTTCGCTTGTGTAAAAACTCATCTTGCCACTTGCCCCTCTGGTGCCCTTTTCTCGAACTGCCCGAAACATACATTTATCACATGGAAGATCGGCCTTGTGACTCTTGTATTGTGATAACTTCCTTGAGGCTGGTATGTCTGCAAGTACTGGAAGAAGTAGAGAACGGGTGAAGATGACCTCAGGCCCAAGTACTTGAGCGTGAATTCCTTTGTATAACATGATCAAGTCGTCTACAATTGGGGTCAAATAAGTATTGATGTGACCCTCAGGTTCAGATGGACCTGGAATTAGACCGATCAGCATTGACCACTTTGCTTTAAAAACGCTGACTCTTTGGAATGTTAAGGACACTCATGTACAGGGCTCCGCATGAATAAACCGCTTTCGTTGAAATGGATTGAAAAAATCTAGGTAAAGTAAAAGTGCCAAATTCATTTTGTCCTTCAGAAGAGGCTTTGTGTTGTCATCAGGATCCATTAGAAATTCCTGAAGAATACGCCCATCCCATATGTCCCTATAATCAGTTGTTGATGGTTCAGGCCGGTTTCTTATGAGATTTAAGAATTCTTCCAGATTAAAAAATGTCTTTATCCACTCAGAAGGTGCTAAAAAGGGATATGTCTTATATGGATTCATTTTAGTTTTTCCAAATGAAAGCTTTCGTTCAAAAGAAAGTTCTGCATTACACCTTTTCCCATATAATTTGTTCCTGCATAAGCGAGGCTTTAAAACCCCATCCCTCTCAGAACTAATATCATTCATCTGGTAGAGACACGAGCATTTGGGGTTGGGGCAAACAGCAAAAAGTATTGTTTTGTTGAGAACCTTAAGATTGGCAATGGTTTCAAGGTCACTGATTGACTTCGGGAAAAGCATATATAAGGGGTGACGTATTACCCAAAAAATGAAATAAATAAGATCTAGCAACATAGAAAAAATAGCATTAGATAAATTAAATGATAGTTTTAAACGTAAAAGTATTAACGAAATCCAGCGAATTAGTTTCCCCTCTTCTTTTGTCTTCATGACATCTTCTTTCAGCTCTTCCTCCTTGCACTGGTCTGCACCATTTACTGCAGCACTTTCTCCTTCCATCATGTCTTTCCTCTGGTCTGCTTCGGATTCAGTGCTGCAGTCTGATAGTTCTATAGTGTCTAGAGGTGTGAATTACCAGAAGTATATTAGTATTTACAGTCATGCATTCTTCAAAGACTGTAGTTTTTAAGTTACATATATTTGGCAATAAACAATGAATTTAAAAAGTCTCTCTCATAGACAGAAACCCTGAGAACAAACAAGCAGCTCATTGTAGTGCTGAATACATGTTAATGTAGATTTAGCTGCAGTCAGCTTTTGAATTGATTATCCACAACCAATCACACATGAGACAGTATTAAGTTGTTGTCCTCTGGCAGCTGATCAGTCAGATCATCCTAATATTAAATTCCTAGACAATTATTAATAGTTCCCTTATGCACCTATCAATGTGAAGTTGGTGGGGAGCTGCACATTGTTGTTTAATCTCAATTATAGAATTCCAACTAATGGCCCTGTCCCATGGATATAAGATATAAGAATGTGATGTTATGATCTTTTGTGAACAACAACAAAAAGGTTAAAAAGTCTTAAGTTTAATAATTATTCTTGATTTCCAGACTGTACGGCACATGCGTGAAGTGGAACACATGTGATCGGTCTTGACAAGTCTGAGTTAGTGGTCAATATCTCCACATGCCACGTTGTAAAAAAAAAAGGAAGGTTCAAATATCCCACCCCCAGAAGAACATTAGTCAAATGCTTAACTCCAGGGCCAACAGAAAACATTCAAATCCTTATGCAATGCCCTTCCTCAACCCCCCCCCCCCTCAGGCTTTACATGGACAGGTGCATTAAACATCTGTATTAATTCTCTGTTCTGTATCAGGGTTGTCATTAAGAGCCGGGGGCAGGGGATTTTCCCCGGCTACTTTTATCGGAAAATAGAAGAAAAATAGAACCAAAAGAAATCCCTGGCCATTTGATTCCCCGCCTACTTGTTGTATTTACCCGGCAAGTTGAAATCTTAGTGACAACCCTGTGTATGCTCATTAAAGTCTACCAAACAAATTGAGGGTTACTTTGATTTCAATTCTAAACTGATACAGATTTCATGAAAGTAAAAATTATACCTTTTAAGACAGCAATCCCTTGATCTTCCTTGTCACTTTCTTCAGAGTCAGCAAGTCCATCTTCACCTGAAAAAGTTAAAATTGTAATCAGTATGGGGAATTATTCCTCCCAAGGAAGAGGACCCCACTATGAGATGAGTAAAGTGGTGTCACCTCTTCCCATTAACATCTGTGTGATTGAAGGTTATGTTGCCTGTAGTTAATTCATTAACTGATCCTTACAGACGATCCAATCATAGCCATGCAATTAACTACAAAGCCAATGACCACCAGGATAGAGTACCCCAGAGTTAAATTGACAGGGATAATTGAAAGAGGTTAAATCAAAACCAACAGAAGAAGACGTGTGGCACTAGCACTACCATACGCCAATAACGTTGTTTAAGATACCCCAAAAAAATCCTTGGCTAATTCAAGGCACCCAAAATAATACCTGGCCTGTCACTTTTACATCGGAATTCTCCTACTAGCAAGGATTATAGGCATTGCTTTTAAGATTTATCTCACTATATACTGGTAAGGTTGTTTTGATTCAGTAAAATTCATGATAAAGGTATTGATAAAAAATATACCTGAATAAATTTGCATTTTAGTTTCCTCAGCACTGATGTTATTATTGCTACATGTCATGTCTATCACAGATCCTTGAACTTCACCTGGAGCAAACAAAATCCAACATTTAAGGTGGCTGCTAAGAATACTGGCAATTAGATGTTCTCAAGCAATGAGTCTATGTTTTCATTATTTTTTAATGTAGAAAACAAAACATATTTTGAGGAGGAGTAATAATGTATTATATTAATAAGTAATTAATTATTATTAAACTGAGTGGTCTTAATTGCAACATTAAAATAACCAAGTCAAACTTGAATGTTATTGTTTTTCAATTAAGTTTGCAAGTAATAAAAAATGTTGTATATGACTGTTATAAAAAAATAAAGCTGAAATGTAAGCTTTGGAAATAGTGTCGGTATGTTTTTGTGTGTTTATTCCTGAATTAAAAACTAAATACTATGGTGACTGCTGTCTCAGAAGCATAAAGAGTATTAAGTGGGGATGAAACTCTATTTTCCCAATGGGGCTATACATAATTATAAGACCAAAGATGAAAAAAAATATATAAACTGTGCCTCTTTTGAAGTTGACTTTCTTTTTTCTTTGACGATCATGTATACACAATACATGTCAAAATTAAGTTCAGGTTAAATTTTTCTATCTAGGTACATATTGTCTGTTTCCTTTGTCTCCTAGCCCCAATAATATTATTCACATGAATTAGGGTTTGGAGACAAAGGAAATTGAGAATCAACCTATCATATTAGGTTGAGATTTTTTCAGCTGAATTTGATTGACTTGTAACATATATCTCCGGGGGTGATCTAGGGGGAGGGTGAAGGGGGTGTGCACCCCCACCCCCTGAGATGACCTGCGGTTTTCTAATGCAACTGGTATTCTGCAAAAAAAACTATGTAGTTTATTGGTGTTGAAGTAGAGAAAGAGACGAGTGCACCCCCTCCTAAAAAAAATCCTGGATCCGCCTCTGTATCTTATGCTAAAAACAACTGAGAAGTTCCCTCCTCTTCCCCGTATTTAGGAGTCAATTTGCTGACTTTCAGAAGCCAGAGTTAGTGTTATATCCAGGGCTGAAAGTAGCACAAAGACAACTGACAGTAATGTCCAGGAAAAGAGAATTCAAGCCCTTCTATCATACCTACTTTCTAGAAAAATCTAAAATCATTTCTTGTAATAAAAGTACTTCTTGATGTGACTCACCAGTAAGAGTGTGAGCATCATTAGTGACATTCACCTCACATGACCCAGATTTGATGTCAATAGAGGGAGGGTTGTCATGTCCAGCTGGCTGACCAGCGGCATCTTGAAGAAATAAGATACAAAAAAAAAATAGAAATGCACCATCATGTGAAGTTAAAAATTCCGTTGTAATTCAATCAAATCCATTTACTTTTTCCAATTAAATTAACTTTTTTTGACTTATTTTGCCGAATGGTCCATATTCCTTGATTGCAAATCCGCGATTTTGAATTCCAAATTCCTCAAGTCCAGTCCCAAATCCGCTTCTCCCAGTAAGTTTTCCCAGTTGAAGATTTACGCGGCATACATATGTATTTAAATCGACAAAGTGCTATCAATAGAAGAAAAGACTTACCTGGTATCTCTGATGTCCTTAAATTGGAAAATTTGGCTTTTTTAGATGGCTGCCCGCTGCATTTGATGTTCTCCGTGTACCGATCTAATCCATAAAGGTTCCGATGTCTGAAAACAGTCCGTCTTGAGCGCAAGCAACCTCGGCATTCGGGGCAGAAACACGTCTGATAATCTGCCATTCTGAACTAACTTAAATAATCTGTATTTAATTCTTGGGTTTGTCATACATGTACGATCTGCTGGATATTTTGGTGCTCCTTTTTCGCGAGATAGCGCCAAATTGCGCGAATGTGGCGAGCTTTATTATTGCGTGACAATGTTTGCGCTAATTTGACGCAAGTTGAAATTTTTCGGTGGACGCAAGGAGAGAAATTGCTCCTTCAAAGGGGGATTTTTGGCGGAAAATGGAAGTGCAAAACCCAGAAGAACTTATGAAAGTGTTACTCGATAATCCGTCGGCTAGAAGCCAGTTGAATTCCTTTGTTGAGCAAGCAATTGCGAAAAGTCACGTAAGTTAAGTGTGTTGTTTTTGTTGCGGGTTTGCTTGATAATTAATTAAGTGGTTTCATGACAACACTTAATTGACAAAAAATTCTTCCCTTTTGTTTTCCTCTAGTCACCTGCACCGTCAAAAGTTGTACCACTGGTAAGTAAAAGCCAAATGTTACAATTTACTTAAACGCTAGCTTTTGGGGGAAAAAACTATATACTAGGACATTTGTTGACGTCAGCTGCATCTTTCAGACGTATATTTCGACGGGACATTTTACTTGATTTTCACGCTATGTAGTGTATGGCCAATCCACTTTTAATATATCCTGTGAGCTACTTTTTTAAAATAAACTCTGTAACTGATCTGACTCAGTTGGGGGCACAAATTTGAGCGCTTTTTGGAGCCGGGTAGGGCACTAAAATCACTTGTTCAAAGTTCGGTCCTCTACAGTCTGCAACTGAAGTCCTTCTGTCATTATTTCATAGATTAATAAATGTTATGAACTGAAAACCTTGTATAACACAAACCCGGGGGGGGTACTTTAGGAATTTCTGGGTGGGGATGTGCTGCTGGGACCCTGGAACCCTTAACCTATACCAGAGCTAGTTCAGCTGAATTTTGCTACCCTATACTAGAGTAAACTCCCCAAATCCCCCTATCCTAGAGTAGCTGTTTACCTAGTCTAGATAAAATCTTCAACCAACTGCTCAGTTTCCTGAAAAATGATACCCTATTCTAGACCCAAACGCTCTGATTTATATACTCTATCCTAGAGTAAACTGCTTGAAAACCATACCCTTCACAGCGGCACATACCTATATAGCACATATATGGCAGTACCCCCCCCCGGGACACAAAGAACTACAGTACATACACATTTTCAAATTTACATACAAAAATCCAATTAATAAATAATTCAATAATTTGTGACAAAATAAATCTATAAAACTCATTAACCCGCGGACGTACAACGGCGGGGAGTTGGATGCCACCCCCCTGCCCATAAGGTTTTCTCCCAGAGGATCTTTTCAGTAGCTATTCGTTCATCCCTCGCACATATTTTGAGTCAAGTTTAATTTTTTGGTCATGGTCCATTTCTATGGTTACGAGATATGACATCAAGTAAGAGGTGGTCAAGCCATTTTTGAGTGAAAGTACATTTTTTATCCAACTTTTTCAAAAATAACTAAATCTTGTGGCCAAAATCATACAAAGTGCTTAATTGTGTGTTATTTTTCATCTGAAGCACAAAAAAATCACCATTTCTCACGATTTTAACCTGATTTCTAATCCTTGGTAAAATCCAAGATTGCAACCAAGATGGCAACCATTGTTGGTGACGTCACAGGCCCCCAGCAGCACCACCACCCATAAAATATACCTCATCTTGTAGAGAAGATGAAAGGCTTTCCACCAAAGGTAAAATATCGTTACAAAATACTGCAACGTATCAAAAACTCTGGGGATGGGTTCCATCCACCCAGTCCCCCCCCCCCCTTGTACCATGGTGGGGGTATGAATTTGCTTGTATGTCCGAGGGTTAATATAATATCTTATATTCATATCATTATAAAATGTAATGAAACCATAAAAATACTACCCTAATTGCTTCAAAAATAATAATAAAAAAGATGAACAAGGTGCATTTTTATTTCATATATTGGGTTTTGAGGCAAATCTGAATAATAGGGAAAACATAATCTACCTATAGATCCACATATCGCAAAAATATATTAACCATTTAATTGACTCAGTGATATTTCCTTCCACTTATAATGAGCACAACATATATTAAATTATGTGGCTGAGATTTGTAAGACAGTGAGACCCTTCCATATTACATGTTGACTTAATTATAATTCAACAGATATGCTCTTGTTGAAGTATTTCACAGGACATTATACGAGATGCATTTGAATTTGAATTCAAGGATCAAATTAATCCAGGAGAAGGTATAATTAGACAACCTTATTCTTCCTATAATTTATTACCAGTAGATATAGTGGGAGGAAATCAAATGTATAATTGAATCCTGAAAGAATATTTGCATCTTAAATGTTAGTTAAGAAGTCGGATGTATTGTATGTGTTTAGTTTGAAAATTGAAGTTGGGAACACGTATTGTCCATATATTAAATTTAATTTATTATCAGTTGATGTTACTCGAGTGGGGTGTATTGACTGTTTTAAATTCTATTTGTGCTAACGGCAATAATTTAAAATTCGTAACAGTGCCTTGGTCAGATGTTCAAGACTCTGTGAGAACTGAGATGGTCGAGTATGTAAGAGAGATGATGTCATCAAGTGGTGTGTCATTACCAACAAGAAGCATTATTGGAAAAAGGATTAAAAGATATTATAGGAGTCAAAGACACCAAGCTCAAATTAAGGCAGACAAGGAGAAAAGAAGGAGACAGCGGTTTCTTAACAAAAGGAACCGTCTAACAATGGTAGGATTATACTATATTTTTTACTTTCATACTCAAATGGCTTAGATGAGGGGAAAGTGAATGGAGGGATATCGAGGTAGGGTGTTCATGCCAGGACAAGTGAGGGACAGGATTAATGTATTCTCCACTGCCTGGTTGTTTACAGCTGGCAGATTAAGATAATTAACGCAGGGATTAGTGAGAAATTAAATTTGAATGAATTCACATAAATAAATGTAAGCTTATTAAAGTGCCTAGCACATGTACTTGTGTACACTACGTGTGCTTGCGAATTGACTAATGATTGTTGCATCACTTGCATGTGCATTAATTCACGTGATTACTGACATCAGATGGACCAGGGCCTTTGTGGTGTCACATTCCATGCATTTCAAAGGACACATCCTAAGAATGTGGATAGATTCTGGAAAAACCTCGCTATACAGTTACTGAAGTGCCACTGACCAGTTGTTATTATTGTATCATTATTTATAACTATTATAATTATTTGTTAACAAACTGCTGTTCCTTTCTTTCCACAATGGCTTCAATTAATCAATGTCTCATAAATGTACCAAAATGTTAACTTCCAGGAAAAGAGAGACAGGGAAGTAAGGAAAGCATTGGAAAGGGAGGAGTTGAGCAGTGAAGAGATAAAGGAGCTGAGAAGTACGATTGCCCCAGTGGAAGCAAAGGAAGTGGTAGTTTACGATTCTGAGGATGAGGATGCACGCTCTGACCTTCTCCTGAAACGCAAGATCAGTTTGGAGAGAGGCAGGAAAACAGCCAGGGAAAATCAACGCAGGGGAAGTCGCCTGCTGGCTCTTCTTAGTGGTAATAAGGCACCCAGTCAGCAAGTGTCTGTCAAAGACCTGATGGAGCTGGCAAAAGAGAATGTTCCACTGCCAGCAGCTAAGGCTCCATCAGCTAGTCTGACCCCTCGGAGGTGCTGTACAACATCTACTGCTGATGCAGCCTTACGTGCACAACAAAAGAGGGGCAGGCTAGCATTAACTAGAAAGCCTCAAACAAGCATAGGTAAGTTATCTTTGGGCCCATCAAGTGAACGCAGCAACCTCATGGTGGCTGCTGGGGCACTGCGCTCCTCACTGGTGGAGACCGAGGATAGTTTATCTATGGCTGTTGACTCATCACCATTTCTCTTTCAGGAGATTTTACTGATTAAGGACAGTGTAAGTGAGGCTACATGTGTAAGAGATAGCAATACAGACCTGCCAATTGTGGCTAAAATGTTACAAAGCCCCATTAAGGTTAAACACTGGCACTAGCATCCCCACAGAATTTCTGTTTTATATTCAACAAGGTAACATTTCGTTTCAGAAAGATATCTCCCCCAAAAAACATGAGATTGGGAGTCTTGTTGCGGGGCCATGAGACAAGTGAAAAATCATGAGAGTCTTTGAAGCCAGAATTGTGAGAGTTGGCAGGTCTGGCAATATTAAAAATTATAGACATTTTTGGTCCATTAAAGGATCTTATTTGAAAGGTTCGGTCTAAATTATTCTTTGGTTGTCTTTAAAAGACTGTGCTGTGTGAAATTTAAAACACAAAGTGTAGTGTTCCAGCTAGTATAGGTCACTGACACAAACCAGTAGATCAACAACAGAATGATGTATTAATTATCTCTTCATTCCCAGAATGAATAATGACTCTTGTACTAGATTTAAAATCTGCTGATGAAATTCTGTGGTATGACCATTCAAATGAAACCTCTTTGGCATAACTCTAGGCGCTATCTGTTTTTTTAGCACTTTACAGAATGAAATTTAAAAATCTTGTCAGATACTTTTGACAATTGCATGCCATTCTGGGAGAGAAGTGGTTACAATTTATAATATACATGTATATAAGTATTGAACCTTACAATTCCTAATAGTGACCCTGAACGTCAATCAGTTCCTACTGGCAATATCAATATGTCATCAAGAGAGAAGGTTCTGAGAACTTTCATAGAAATAGTCATCTCCGAAGGGAATAAGTTTTGATCCTCTATCAAATTTTCTATAATGAGATGTATGGGATATCATGATCAGTCTCACAGAATTTGTTTATTGATATTGTCAGGCTTAAGGAGTAAATACTGGATTTCACTAGTCTAAAAAGAGGATGTGGGGAATATGTTTTGATCTCCTATTTAATTCTCTAATTCTGACATGATATAATTGCTTGCTCAACAAATGAATTCAACTGGCTTTTAGCAGAAGGATTATCAAGTACATTTGTGTAACACTTTCATAAGTTCTTCTGGATTTTGCACTTCCATGTATATTTCGTCAAAAATCCCTTCTCGAAGGAGCAATTTCTCCCCTTTGGTCGACCAAAAATGTTTCAACTTGAGTCAAATCAATTAACGCAAACATTGTCACACAATAGTAAGGATTGCCACAATCGCGCAATTTGGCGCATTGCAGCAAAAAACAAATTTGTTATTTTACATTGTTTATTGATATTTGTTCATTATTAATTGGATTTCACTGGTCTATTAATGTTTATTAATTTAAACACGAACTTGATTATCTTTTATTAACATTCAGACAACATTGTTTTGTATATATAACATCGCCATTAAACTTACGTTTTCTCGGACAGCTGTTATCTACACTGATTCCTTGTGTATTGTTATTTTTCCATATTGGATTATTTTTGATCCGCACACTTCACAGTGCAATTTGTGGGGAGACTCTGGAATTTTGCTTATGTTACTTCAGTTCACCAAGCATTTTTCAAATTGTTATTAAAAAGGGAAATGTTTGAAAAAAAAAAAATGTATCTGAGCATAATTTTAAGACCCAAATAAACAAAAGCAAAAATCATTGTGATGATTTCCTGTATATTCACATATCTGGAATGAAAGGATTTGGGAAATTCTTTAATTTGGGGGAGGGGGGGTATGATTCCACTGACAGTATACTCTCAAGCTACAATGAGTGATACTTTGATTTTAACAATGCGATAGTGGGGGTTATGATTCCTCAAATGATTTAATAAGTCTTGCAACATCGTGGTTATGATTCTTAGCTATGACAACACAGGTTATGATTCCTCAAATGATTTCATAAAGCCTTTAAAAACCAGGGTTATGATTCCTGTGCCTGACAAAATGATATGATGACTTGGTGAAGCCTGGGCAAACCAAGGTTATGATTCCTCAAACACATAAAATCATTACTGAAATTACAATTGGTTATTTGACTATGCCATTTCCTGTGCGACGATTAGCGCGAATGTGGTTTCACCGTTTATTATCATTATCATGTTAACATTTTTTATCATCGAATTCTATTCTTTTGTAATACTACAGTTTTATTATTATGTTAAAAGCGTGTAACTTTCGGTTAGCTTGCGGTTGCATTGGGACTTGCAGTTGTGGATTAACTATGACAATAATTTTGTTATTTTAGTTCCCAGTGGTTTAATTCTGCGATTGTTTTTGTCAAAATAAATTGTCTTGCCTTGCCTTTGTTTAAACGGGCCAGTTATATAATATTTCTTTGCTAGTCAAGAGGAAAAGTACCTTTGAGAATTGAATGTGTCATCCTTTTGTGCTAACTTTGTCAATCATTTGGACATGCTTTGTTTACCTCCAAAACTGCAAGATTCCGTGTAAAAAAAAAATGAGAAAAATGTTTACAAGATAACATTTACAAAAAGTAATGCTATTTATTCTTTGATTTTTTTCTGTACATGAGATCTGACCTTTACTGATTCAATGCTTGTGCTAAATAAGCCCAGCTATGGACTGATTTCTAAATCCTCTGTAAAGTAAAGTGGAATCATGATTTTTCCTCTCGCAAAGAAAAATATATCTTTGTCTCAGTTATTGGTAGCTGGGGGAAAAAGGAATCATGCTTTAGTGGGGAAGGAAAGTCATCTTATGTGTAGTTCAAATTGGGACGATGTTTGAGAGTGAGAAATCGAGATAAAACTTTATAATTCCTTCATTCAAATATCATGAAAACTCAGTAAGTGAATAACATAAAAGAAAATATGGAGCACACTTCATGTGGATAATTTCCAGGGCTCCAAAAAAGTTCCATTCAGTTATCCTCGAAAATTAGACTTTCTTGCTGAGTAAGCACTTTGTTTAAGCTTAATTGTCTGATGGGCAAGGGCTGAGGCAGTTTGTCTTGTAACTAAATCATTTAAGGCCAAATGTCAGACTTTTCTTGAGACGAACTTAGGGAGTTAAGTTCATGAAAAGTCTGATGTCTGGCTAAGTAAGATTCATCTAAGTGAGTTTGGAGCGTCCAACATGTTCGATCTGTCCGAGTCTGAAGATCGACTGCAGAACAAATTTTGATCTTCACATGGGACAAACTAAACTAACAAATTGAAAATTTGTATCAGAATGTATATTTAGCAGCATTCAGGAGAAAATTTATTACAATATTGATTTTTGGTCAGATTCAGTTGATTGATTATTTATCCACATATTTTCCGTGAGAATAGTATAGTCAGGGGTTGCAATAAGCACTGACCACTAATGGAAGGCATTGGCTACTTTGCTCAGGGCAGTCGGCTTTTTTTTCCCTGAAAAAGAAGCAATTAGTTTTAAAAATTTCGGAAACAACAAATAAATCATTAAATCTTAATCAAAACGTAAGGGAATTATGATGTGCTTTCAAGGTCCACTGATATGTTATACTTTAGTTACACCAGAAGTGCTTCTGGTTACACAAATGATGAATTTCAGTCAATTTTTCCCACGTTTCTCTGTAGGTTTACCCAGAATTTGTTTGTGTGCAAATGTACTTAATTTTGAATATTGACATTTGTTCATTGCTTGTAAGAATTGATTGTGTGGCAATGAAACGTGAATGAAAGCTATATTTTCTTGAATGAAAAACACACTCTTCTGTTGTCAATTTAGTCCCTGGAACACTGGAAATGGCAGTTTAGGACTTTGAAATTCCAAAATGCTCTGGGGGAGCATGCTCCCAGGGTCCCCACCTCTACTCCCACACCCCAGAAAAAGGGGACTAATGTCCCTTTGTTGATACAGTCAGTTACCCTATTCAAACTGCTGGCTACTTCAGTTATTATTGAAAGCCCTGTATAGTTCAAGATGAGCTCTAAAAGAGTATGCTGTCTTGTGATGGGTCATGCAATTGGCTCATAGGCTTACAGTATAATCCAGTTTTCTTGGTTCATTTTCCATTAAAACACTCTTAGCCTGTTTGTATGATAAATACCAATAATCACTGTATTCTGTTGTTTGCAGGACATTTGAGCCGCTATGGGGTGTCTTACGTGTTGCTACAGAAAAGCTTGCAAACGCACACATGGCAGTTGTACAGGGATTCCAAGATCTCATTAAAGAACTTAAGGAATATGGTGACAAACAAAAAGAAAGACATAAACAGGTAAAGTGTCTTCTTCGCAAAACTTTCTGGCTTGACAGCTACTGTTTATCTTGGACAGTCATCCCTTGCCTTGCCAGCACCTCAAAGTTAAGGGCACTTTGTTACTGCAGAGAGCAGTTGAATACATGGCAAAGACTTCCGGAAGTTAGAGCAAAAAGTAAAGGTTCTCTGGGAAAGTCATTTTTGCACCCCACTAACAGACACTGGCTCTTAAGGACGCTTACTTGTCCAGAGTACATGTACAATGTACCTGACCCCTTTAATTCCCAATTATTTCCACATACAAATTTCCCAGACTGATCTCCATACATTTTCTTGAAGAATTAGTGGAGAGAATTTGATAAAGGATCAAAGCATTTCCCCTTTGATAATTATTTTATTGTCATAACCTGTTTCCATAATGATGTATTGATTTTGCTCTGAAAAACTGATGTTTGTTACTCTTTAAAAAAGGCAAATTCCATTTTTTTGCTGGGTTTTTATCTCGCCACGTATGCAAGGACATTCACTTTGTAAGTGTAGTTTAACCCTTTAAACCCTAACATCAAAATTCAAATTCTCATTTGTTATCCCTATACGTTTCCAATAGAAACAGTGGGGAGAATTTGTTGAATTATCAATTACATTCATCTTGTGTGATCATGTCCTTAATTCTCATGACCACTCTGTTTTATAAAGCACTGATATTACATGGAGAAATTTGACGCTGATCACTCTTAGGTCTTAAAGGGTTAAAGTCTCTTAAATCTCTTTCCGCTGTATTTTATTTTCTGCAGGCAAAAAGTGAGTTTAGCAGCACAGAGGAGATAGTGCAGACCATCCAGACTATGACAGCTAACCTTGCCAAGGTAAGTAATCTATACCCAATAATACACTTAGCATCTACTCTGCAGAAACAGATAGTGTTCATTTAAAAAAATTATCCTTTTTTGGACCTTCAGTAGTTGTGGTACGGCCACACTTCTAGTTGTCGTCATTAATTCATTGACTCTCTTGATTAACTTACACTGTAAATTCTCTGGATGAATAGAACTTCATGCAGAATGTTTGCATGATTAAAATTTGGCTATTAACTCCTCTCACTTTTTTCACAAAACTATTATAATGGTTACTGCAGCGACAAAACTGGGGCTGCTGACCTTAAAATAGTACATTTTGTTAAGTCTGTCGAAGTTGGGTCATCAGTGAAATCAGCTGTAAAAATTAACAGCTGCAGCATGTGTTCTTACAGCCTCTGTTGTTGTTTCCAAATAAATGTCTATATTTTATTAAGATGCCTTTTATCTTTATCATCACTAATTGATGTGGATGGTGTGTTACTAATGTTGCTCAGCGATTAGCCCAACTCTGTGTACTGTACGGCATCCTCAAAAACTGTCATTGTGACTATTATCAGCAGGGGATTAAAACTGTCTGGCAGCTGCTGAAATTGTATAGTGTTTAGCTCTTATAGCAGCATCCTGCACTACACTAAAGCACACTAAAGCACGCATCTGTGTGATTATCTTCTGATGACCAGAAATATGTTTTTCTTTTGCTCAAAGTCAAAGGAAATGTACTACGTCCGGTGTCATGAGCTCGATAAATTCAGAAAGGATGGCTCTAGTGCTAAAGAAGTTGAAAAGGTTTGTGGGTTTTGGATACTTAAAGTATGTCATAGTATAATATCAGGTCCTGTTTTGTCATTAATCATCACAAGTTTTGTCTACGCTGCCTGTTAGTTCTCTGTATATCGATTGTGGAAATACCTACCTTAAATCACCTGTTAAATGTTAATGGCCATGGATAGCATGTTAAATGTCTTGAGCCTTTTTGAGTCACACAATCCATTGTGTCAAAAAAGATTATTGAATGCCAATGGAAGGAACATGGACTTGTAGATTGTTTTTTGAGAAAAGAGAGACACCATCAATATCTACTTTTTTTGACCCAGCAATAATCTTCTCTTGACTCTAAGAGGCTCTGTGCTGGCTAAAGTGTGTTGCTGTCATAGAGACATTCTTTTTGCGTACAGCTAGCCGTAGGATTTGGCTTGTAGTGCCAGGCAAATTGAGGCATTTACTGGGTAAATTAACTCTCACACAGTGGGAGTTGCTTTTCATGCTGATTGCAGAGTTGCATATATTTCATTTAGTAAATTCCAAATAGACCTTTCCTGCGTTCTGCTCTAGTGAGCAAACGTAAAGAAATGAGGTTGAGGTGGGGCTGGACAATTTCATACAAATCACTATATGTTGTTCACCCAAGCCTCGAGTTGGTGCCTTTATTTACAGGAATGCAGAAAAGTCTATTCCCCCAAATGCTTACTCAAGTTTATGCTATGTTTTGTTGCTGTTTATGTAACTAAAAAACTCGGACATTAGAAAATGGTCTCACATCTGCAGGCTGCAGTTTGATCCTGTGAGAGAGTTATTATGTGATGAAAAAAGAGATAGGTATATGTTATTTTGGACTTATGGCTTGCCTTTTTTTTCATCTCATAGGCTGAAACAAAAGTAAAGAAAGCAGGTAAACTCATTCTCTTGTTTTTTTTTGTATCTTTTAACCTGTGCCGTAACACTTGTTTCTCAATTTGTTGTATTTTATTTGTTTACGCAGCTGAAGAGTACAAGAGTCTGGTGGAAAAACGAGAAATTATTAGAAATGAATTCCATGACAAAATGGTGGAAGCGTCCCAGGTAGGGTCATTGAATAAAATCCTAAGATATCTTCTTACACTTTTCATGTGGTGTTTCTAGTTTACTCCATTTTCCCTGAGTGTTATTGGTAAACTTTTTTTCCTGAGATGCCCCCCCAAAAAAGGAAAAAAATCATTTTTCTCATAACAAACTTTCTTGTGGTCAAGAATACAAGTCTCTTTATTGTGCTCTTTCTTAGAGAACATCTCCCTAAAACAGACATTCATATACTGTAGACTTGGTCCCTTCTGTTTTGTCAATCATTTTCTTCTCTCTATACTTTGCAGAAGTCCTGCTAAGATGGATTTATACTTAGAAAGTTATGGTGGTCCCAGTGGTGTCCATCTTAGAGATAATTTACCACATTGTAACATTCAAAATGGCCAAAATGTTGTTTTTATTTTTATTTTTTGTTGTCACAAATTGAGTCAAAAGAAGTAACATTTGTGGTCTGGCATTATGCCAAAAAAAAAATCTAAGATGCAATTTATTTTCTTCCTTGAGTGAGTGAATGAATGAAAGTGAATGAAATATTGTGGATGAGAAGACAACAGATGGCCTCTTTACATTATGTGTGCCTTGTATAATTTATGTCAAACGTTTCTCCTGTTACTGCAGAAATTTCAGAAGATTGATGAAGAACATCTTAAAGTAATAATTGGTTACCTGGAGAAGTATATTGAGTCTCAGAAAAAGGGACAGGTTCTTGTAGAAGGGGTAATTATTTTTGTTTTATTTTCCATTTCTGTGTGTTGGTGTTAAGATTATCTGTAATACCTCAGTGCACAAGGTCCAGAGTTTGATCTCTGGTGACAATACATCCTTGCTTCAACGTCTCTCCCTTCTGTGTAGCTTTATCTAGTTTAAAATACCCTTAAAATGGAGCATGGATGGAAAGAGGTGGGGGGGGGTTGGAGTGAAATTTCAGAGCGCACCATCGACCTTAAGTTTATGAGTTGCATTACAGCAACGAATGATCAACATTAAATATGGTTGCTATACCTTCTTTCCTTTTACCTTTGCAGGTCTACAAAGAATTCTTAGGCCAAGTAAAGGCATTAACAATTCACCATCTGCTTGACCAGTTTGTTAGAAGCAAGGGCACTGGGAAGGCTATTCCTGGTAAAAATTAAAAAAAAAAAATGATTGATAGCACAGTACATATTGGAAATATTTGCTTGTATGTACTTTTGAGTGTTTTTTTTTGTTGTTTTCTTGAAGTTGTTAGAATGGTTTGTTATTGTGAAGCTCTTAAAATTACAATTGGCGACTAAATTAGTTGAGATACTTTGCCCTACAGGGCCTTTATTTCTCTCCCCCGCAGAGGCGCAAAGAGGTCTCTGTGGATGGGAGAGGGGATTTTCTGACTTTTTACTGTTTTCACAAGGAGGAAATAGAGCCTTCCCTCCCCACCCCCTCCATGCTGCTGTGCTACTGTTCGAGCTACCTGTAGGAAACAACAAACACCCCAACTTTGAATAGAAGGGAGGGGGAGGGGCGTGGGTTGTTTTTATGTCTCAACAATATTTTGTCGCGGATTGCAGCAAGTGGCTTCAACAATAAGTTTCAATAAAGTTGAAGTAGGGAAAACACTCAGATGGGCTGGGCAAGGCAATGTATTTAACAAGCATCCTTTATACAGTGTAGTTCTGAGTTTCCCACATATTTTTGTTATTAGATGGTACAGGAAGAAATGGTGCTTTCTTGGTGTTACTTTCATGAAATAATGTGAAATGAAAGATATGAAAAGTTTAAGAACAGTACCCTTGAATAATCAAACATCAGGAAATTAAGCTAGTTAAGTGATTCATTCATCATCTGTTTCATAAATGTTGATCATTTTGTTTTGTTCCACAGATGTGATTACCTTTGAAGAGTACACAGGTCAAGTTGAGACTACTGTCACTAATAATCACTCACCCAGCTTAAATGCTGTCAAGCATCATCCATCAGGTACTGATTATGCAAGGGTATATTTTCCTTTTCATGTGACGTACATGTGATTGGTACCTGTGATGGAACTTGTCATGTTACAATGGACAGAATGTCAGTTTTGATACTCTTACTGTAGAATGCAAACTCATGAGCTTAAAATTTGTTGTTGCCATCATGAAATGAAGATTATGTATTTCCAAGTACTGATTTTCATGGCCTTTTTTGCAGGATTTCCCATCACACTTAAGAGAGTAGAAAAGAAGAAGAAGCAGAAAAAGAAAAAGAAAGAAAAAGCTCAAAATGGACCTGTGTAAGTCCTAGTTTGTAGATCTTCCCCTGTTCTGAAAATTATAATTGGAATTTCAATGTTATTGTGATGAGTCGTCATTTGAAATAATTATGATCAGTCATTTATTCATTTTTATTAGAATAAAACCATTCAATGGTTAGTACTTGTGTATGTTTGTTTATTTGTTTTCTTTTTGCCCTATTGGTATGTTGTATTCATTTGATACTTCTTCTAAAGAGTAGGTTACACTTGAAATGCAAGTCAGCACCTTCTTTTAAGAGCTAATTTTTGTACAAATCATGGAAGGAAGTTTGCTTGTTACAAAAAAGCTACCTTATTATAGGAAATTAACGCTCCATGAAATTAACGCGAATCGTTAAAATTCGCGTTAATTTAAGTCGCGTTAATTTTGTTGAGCGTTAATTTCCGCGCTCTTAATTTCCAGTATTTTAACCCCAATTCTGGAATCTGTCCAGACATTCTTGACACCTAAAAAACATTAACTACAAGCTTTCTTTCTTTCAATTAACCCTTTATTTTTCATCTTTCACAAAAGCTAGGGCAAAGGTTTACAATTATATTTCGAGTTATCTTCATCGTTGCCGCTGTCCGAAGTGATGTCAATATCTTCTCCTTTGATTTTGCATAATTAATCGCATTAATCTCCTTTATCATGAAATTCTACCTCCTCTTTCGCGTTAATTTTCTTTATTCGAAAGTCGTTTTCCATTAAATTCGCGTTAATTTAAGTCGCATTAATTTCCAATACCTTAATTTCATGGAGCGTTAATTTCCTATAATAAGGTATTTCAATGTCTTCATGAAGGAGTGATCTCAGACCCAAAGAAGGGAAGGGGGCTCGCAACCATTAAACTGTTTTAGGCCTGGTCACATGTATACAGTAGATGTAACATAACTAAGACATTTCTGTGTTACACTGGATAATCAATATTTATTACCACTTTGTTTTGCCAGTGACTCGCCATCAAATGGAGGAGGAGATGCGGTATGTATTCAGGGCTTTCTTCCTTTAAAAACTGTATTTTGCTGTGTATAATTTTGATAGATTATAAATGGTTTTTTTGTTTTGTTTTTGTTTTTTTTGCAGTCATTTGAGGTAGATGAAGAAGGCTACACTATACGGCCACCTGATGCAGAGAGTATCCTTGTGTCCTTTTTCAAGTTATGCTAGTCACATAACTATTTAAGTCCAGTTCCAACTTTAGTTCCAAAACAAAACCAAAAACATAGGTTTTTGCTTAAGTGACATTCATCTGTGTTAAAATTGGCTAAAAGATTAATTTTTGCAACTCCAGAGGCTTAGTAACATTAGTTGCAGTTTTGAAAGTACATTGCTACTAACATATTGATTACCAGACATACATACTACCAGCTCTAATGCCCTCTGTTCAAACTGCTCAGGCATCCCAATGCATCCCTGACAAGATGTTGTGTCAGATAGTGTTTTTAGACAAATCTCACAGGCTTGTGTGTAGAACAGCATGCCTTAATTTTTAATGACAGTGTGAAGATCTAGTGTTGGCAGTGCTTGTAGACGAATCTCACAGGCTTGTATATGGTACAACTTGCCGTGATTTGTTGTATGCTACAAATGTCATGTTGTTGTAATGATGCTTAACAATACCAAGGTGCAAAGTCAGGTGGAAACAGTTCATCATCAGATTCAGATTCAGATGATGGTAAGTAATTCAAAAATAGATAATTAACTACACTTCATTGCAGTGCCGTCACTGTGCCTTATTCTTAAAATTATTTTGCAGTTTCCAAAAAAATGCAAAGTATCGTACTTGGGGGTATACACCACAAAATAATGTTTTATATTCATTATAGTTCATAGGTGCTGTTATGACTAATTTCTTCAGTAATCTCATCTCTATCCCTATGGAAAACTAACCTTTATAAATTGGGTTATTCCAGAAAAAAATCCACCCCCCGACGGATGGGGTCTTTTTAACCCCCTCTCACCTGGATTTCCTGAAGCACAAGCCCCCCCCCTCCCAACTGGATTTCCAAGGTGGAAGGCCCCCCCCCTCCCGCCTGGATTTCCGGGAAAAAATAAAAGGCTTAAATTTAATTTATTTTTAATGGAAAATACATAAAAACACGTCTAAATGTTTTTGTTTTAATTTCTAAAGCTTCAGCTTATATTAAACTAAGAATTCTATCGCGTGGAACTAAAAGCGAAAGGAGCAAAAACAAAAATGCGAAGCGACACCTGAGCAGTGTTTACATAATTTCTTAGCTTATAAAAATCACTCTTCGCTCTTGGCGGGCTCTGGGTACAGTAGAAATGTGTCAGGCGTTTGACGCTCTTCGTGACAACAACGTTGCGACGAGTTCCTTCAGGCCCGTTCTTTAGTATCTTGTTTGCGTTTTCTGCTATAAAAGGACCTGTAAAGCAACTTAGATTATCATTTATGTCAGGTGAGAAATATATGAACAAAACATTTTGACTATTTTCAGGGTCTGAAAGCGCTTAAGTGTCATCGAATAAACGTTTGATTTGTATCAACTATCGGTCGAAATGACCCCTGCAGAAGACTTTTTTAAGGTCAACCCCCCCTCCCGCCTGGATTTCCGGAGTCTTCGACCCCCCCTCCCGCGAGAATTTCCAGAATCCCATCCGTCGGGGGGGTGTGGATTTTTTCTGGAACAACCATTAGCATTATTATGTTAATGACAGTATTAAAATTGTCACAATGGAAAGTAGAGTACAGCAGAGGCGAGTCAAGTTGGAACTCACTTGGGTGACCCTTGACAATAATAAAAAACTTGTAGACGAAAACCCCCCAGACAATATTATTTATCAATAACAGTGGAGAGGGGGCACAAGTGATTTTTTTATGCTCCTCAGCTGAGGTAATGTATTTTGAGAAAAGTGAAATTTAATACGACATTTTAACAAGCGCATCTTGTTTTCCTTTCAAGATGAGCCTCGGAAGTTGCAAGTTGTTATTAATCCTGTGGAAGCTGATAGAGTTCCACAGACTGCTTCTGTGGATGAAATAAAGAAAATTACTGGAACCCTTAGTCTTTCTTCACCATCAGCTATGGTAAATGCCCTTTATACTCTAGATCTCAGTTTATGAAAGATTAGTTTGTAGTAATAACATTGTTATAAGTCCTTGTGCAATTAATTAGTTTGACGTGAATTTCAATCTTTAAAGGTCATGGTTACAGTATTCCTTGTAGATGTGAATTGGAGTCTAATTTTTTTTTTGTTTTGTTTTCACCAGAGAAAACATTTAAGTTCTTCATCTAGTAAGTATAGAAAGTTAATTTTAAGTTTTGTGTTGTGTGTTGTGTAATTCTTTCTGAGAACACTTCTAATAACTGGAGATTTTATTCTCAACTTGAAACTGTCCTTTTTCAGGTGATGGATTGAGAAACCGATCAAAATCTACAGGCCCTTCAACCATAAAACTGTAAGAATTTTGTCTTAGTATGTTGAACATGAAAAGTGAAAAAAAAAGTTAAAAAATTAATTTGAGGAGTTGGGTGCACATCACGCTCACGGTGAATAAATCAATATGGCAAGCAAATGAGTTTAGTCCTTGGTTCAAGTTTGTTCTTTTTTAAAGTAAAAGATGGTTTGAACAGCCTTGGCCCTTGCACAGTAACTGTTATTTTTCCGTTCTGTCTGCAAACCAAAGGAAGTCCTATAGTGTGACCATTAAAATGAAAGCAGCCTACTTTAGTGTGGTTCTGTTTATTATGGCCTACAAGGTGCTTCTAACTTTTGAGACAATGGATGAAACTCTCAAGTGTGGCCATTCAAAATTTGAATGAAAGCTACTGAGCAGTACTTCCCTGTGGTACTGTTTATTATGCTGTGGAAGGTGGTTCTAACTTTTGGATGAGGATGGAACTGTAAGCATTCAAATGAAAGCTACTGGGTTTTGCTTTCCTTTGGCACTGTTTATTATTATGCTCTACAAGATGGTTCTAACTTTTGATTTTGTTGATGAAATACTGAACTGTTACCTTTCAAAATTAATGAAAGCTACTGAGTTTTACTTTCCTGTGTCAGTGTTAGGTGATTCTATCAAAAATAAAAACAGCATTACCACTGTCAAGTTCCACATGTGGAAAAGTTGATTTTATCGAATAAAATTTTGTGATGTTTTCGGTATATTGGACTGGTAAAGGTTTAATTTTACTGGTTTTCTACTTTCTGCTTTACTGTTTTCCTCAGGTCTCGTTCAAGTGATGACCTGCTGGATATCGATTTTAGCCAAACCAGCTTTCCTTCTCAGAGCAGTGATGCTGGGTCACAACGAAATTCTCTTCATCTGTCACCAAGTGACATGAAAACCAAAGCTGAAACGGAGCAGCTAAAGTCTCAAAGTGCTGTAGATCTACGATCCTCTGCTGTGACATTACCCTCTTCTTCAAGTATAGGTGTGTAAAATGAGTGATATAATAGGTGTAAATACCGTAAGCAAATTTATGCGAATCAATCTAGAAACCAATCAAGACAGAGAGCTGAAATTTTTAGCTGATAAATTTAAGATCCTGAAAGTCAGACTATCCTGAAGAAGTGTACTGCAGTGTTCTCACCACGATTTTGCCTTGGGGAGTCCCAGGGCCCCCTCTTCTGAGAAATAGGGGCCCTGTAAGAACATTAGGGGGACAAAGTTACAAAAAACACGCGGTACGAAGAACCTGAGCCCGCACTCCAAAATTAATTGTCTGTTACATGAAGTACCTACCTGATCCAATATGGCGGAAGAGGTGTTTACGATTCGGAGGAGGAGTTTACGATGTAGTGGGACGTGCGTGGGACCAATGAAAGTAAAGGCAACAAAATTAAAGACTTTGACTCATTTGATATCATGTTTTTTTATTTATTCAAACAAACAGAATGCTTTAGTGTTAGGGTGACCATTAAAACTACTTAAGTCTGTTTGACTCGTAGCTTGCCCTTGCGCCCTAACGGGCGCATCTTCTTGGTTTTAATGCGCCATTTCAGTTTTTTCTTGCGGGAATCCCGCAAGGCCGCGGCCTGGTGAGAACACTGGTACTGTAGTAAAATTTTTGGTTAAAACTTCACTTGACTGTAGGGATGAACCCTCTGTTACTGACACATCTATGACAGAGATGCTAACCTCTGCAGATCATAATTCTGGTGACTCTCTTTTTCGCACCACTCCCCCCCCCAACCCCAAATGTCAATGCACCCTGCCCCTCCAACCCCCCAAGGAATTCTTTGCTAACATGTTTCCACTATGACTTTTGTTTGAAGATTTTAATGAGAGCAGAGAACCAGAGTATGCCGATATTCCACCTGTACTTCCAGCTAAAAGAGGAAGCTTAGTCCAAGAAGAATCAGCCGACAATCCGCCTCCTTTACCAGCTAAAAAAGGAGCAACAAGTACCTCAAGTGTAGGGGAACTATCTCTAGCAGGAGGTGATTTGCTTTGTTTTCTTTCTGTATCTTTTATTATTGTTGTGAAAAATGAAATAATCAAATGCAAATTTAATGTGCTTTGTTTGTTGCCAGAGCGCAGCTGGGTTAGCTTAGTCCATAGAGTGCTTGATTGCAGAGCAGGAGGCAGTTAAAGTGAAACCTTATCTTACATACATCCAGGCCCATTACTCAGAATGTTAAAATAACTGAGAAATGAGGGTACCTCCTTTGCCCAGCAAACTGCTAGACCTTTGCTTTTCTTGGGTGATCACATAAAATGTTAGTTCAATCTCCAGAAGAAGCTGTAAAAGTAGTGTCCTCAATGATTAATATCATGCTAAGTACTTTACACTTAAGGTGGCTGAACACAGTTTTGCGGGCAGTCAGCGGTAACTCACATGATACCACGTGTTTTAAATTAGACAAACAAACATGGCGGCGAAAAAGTGACGGCACACAGAAGACTATTTCTCAAAATCTACTCATCAAAATTTTTTGATATCTGGCAGAATTTTTACTTTTATCATATTTTAATGAGAACTTTAAAATGGAAGTTGAATTATAGACAAATTTTGTAATGCATTTAATAATTACAGTACAATATTTTATTATTATTGATTATCTAAAAACCCGTTTGTTAAAATTTGGTCAAATAAGTTTCAAATGGTGATGATTAATTGTAGTAAGCTGTGTGCAAGTTTATAGGAAAATGTAATGAGCAAATTTTATGTAAACTGAGCAAAATTGAATTGTTCATGTTGCCATGGAAACTTTGAAAACGTCATATTCTACCTGTCAATCAAAATCTTTCATCAGTATATATTTCACTTGCCAAGTTTCAGTTTGTGAGCTGCAATCTTGACAAATGACATATACTCACTAACTTCCAAAACTGTGATCAGCCACCTTAAAGGAAGTGCATTTTATTCACATGAACAATCATTGTCTGTGAAATTTTATTCACAGTGACAGAAGTAGCTACCAATGACACTGGAATCACTTTCTCCGCTGCGCCAACAGGGCTAAATGACAGTAGTAATTCCCTACTGCTCAAGCCTCCTCCAGGTTCAGAGATTCCTCGTTCTACATCTGTTAGCAGTGCTTTACCAAGACCACGACCCCAGGTAAAATTTTCTCCCATGCTTGTTGCATCATAACACTACCTTCTCTTTGTTTCATTAGCATTAAGCAACTAAGAATTTTCCTGACTCCCCCCCCTTCCCCCACCACTCCATGATGCAATGCTAGTCCATATAACATAGTTACAGGGGTCAGTTGCATAAATCATGTTGTTTTTCTTTAGAATATTTTGCTGTTTCTGATTGGCTCCACCCCCTTGGTTAATTTTTCATTTCCATCTGACGTTAATCAGAAAATAATGCTATTCACTTCATGACACTATCCACTGGATAGAGAATTATCGAGTGGATAGCATTATCCACCCATGGTATTATTTAACAACAAAATCTGTTTATTTGCTTATTCCTCAGCCACGCCCATCCGCACCATTACTATTTCCTCCTGGTCAGAGCGCCAAACCTTCTTCAACCGGAACATCATCGTACTCAGCTGAACTGTTTAGCTGTCTAGCTGACTTTGCACCAGTGAATACTGCTGCGGAAACATCAGAGTCAGTAAACAATTCACAAGCAAATGAAAACTCTACTGCGACTGTCACCTCTGATAAACCAACTGTCTTAAGCCAAATGAACAACACATCAAGCACTGTAGGACAGACGCTTAATAGGGCAACAACAACATCATCCATAGGAGGTACACAGGAGAATGTACCTGCCTTGGTGAGGTCAAAGACCATAGGTGGACTCCCCACCATGTCGAGCGTGGTGTTTGCCAAAGGGGCAGCTGGTACTGTCCTTGGCAGAAAGGATGATAGTCTTCCTATCGCAGTGGCTTTTATTGAATCTGTCAATGCATTTTTTCGGGGTAGTGATCAAAGCAAGTAAGAACACTTTTTCTCTGTTGGTAAATATTTAATCTTTAATATCATATCCAAGCCAGCTCTAGCCTGCGTAGCAGGCTCAAGAAAGAACGGGTACATGAGAGGGAGACTCCCTCTCGTGCACCTCCCTCCCTCTTCTCCCTCTTCTACTTTTCTGTTTTCGTGCAAAGTTTTGGAAATGATACTTTTGTCATGATGACAAAGTGGATGTTAGTAATGGATGTACATGTATGCTGTAATCAAAAACCTGTGGGGAAGTTTACATTTGCATCAGAGTGATTATCAACTCCACACAGACTCTGGTTCTGGTGTTACAATGCAAATTGTGGTAAGAGTATTTTTTTTCTCTGTTTCAGGTGTATGGTGAAGGTGACTGGTGACATAACAGTATCTTTTCCTGCCAGTGTTCTGCCGCTGCTTTATGACACAGAGAATGCTCCTCTGCTTAGTTTTCTTGTGCGAGGAACATCCTGTCTTGAGCAAATATTACCGAACAAGGCCCTTATTAACAGGTATTGAAAACTGAACATTTTAATACTCAGATATGTACAAGGTGCTTTTAACTTTTAACTGACTGGACAAATCCTTAAAATTTCTATTCAAATGAAGCTACTTAGCAGTAATTTCCTGTGGTACTATACTGTTTATTATACTGTACAATGTGGTTCTTCTAGTCTTCAATGTCTTCTTCTAGTCTTCTAGTTTCTAGTCTGTGGATGGAATCCCGTTGTATGACCATTCAAATGAAAGCTACTGAGTAGTACTTTCCTATAGTACTGAGTAGTACTTTCCTGTTGCACTCAACCATGAATCTGTCCCTTTAATCCAAAAGTTGCTGCATACAATTTAGATACTTTTGAATGGAGGTCAGCTTTGGGAAAAAGTGAAAAGAGTACCTCTTCTTGTGGACTATTTTCGTACAACTGTACCGCCTGCAGTACATTTCAGTACCACCGAAGTTATATCATTTTATTTCTCTCTTTCAGCAAAGGGCAACTTAGCGGTGGCGATGGTGTTAGTTATGACTTCAATATGGCATCATTGGCTGATCATCTTAAAAAACAGTCCGAGCAGGGATCAAGTACCTACTACAATATTGATATTATCAAATATGAGGTGAGAGTGAGTTGACAAGAGGTTAATTTTTTTTGACCAATTCAGAGTAACTGTTCATCCTTTTGTTTTGTTATAATCACTCTAATTTGACAGACCCACCATGTGAAACTTTTGGTTGCATTAATTCTTTATTTTTCTTTTATTTGTATGTGTGTGTGTGTGTCAATTTTTAAGTAATTTGCTTCTGCAAAGAGAAGTTTTACACAGTCAAACGTCTGTTAAACAGCTACACCCTCCAGCTATTTAGTGTCTTGATATCAGACTCAGGGGCAGATCCAGGATTTTTGTTAGGAGCAGGTGCCCCACTTAGGATTGGCGTAATTGACTGGTGAAGTAAACAAATTTTAAAAGCGAATATGAAGAAGGCTTTTGCCTAGGCAATAACATGATATGCACTGCTGAGAAAACATATCATACATATCTCTATATTATGCAGAATACCAATAATATTTTATTAGAAAGCCGCAGGTCATCTTCGGGGGTGGGGGGGTGGGAGGCACCCTACCACTAGATCTGCCCCTGAGAGTCTCCTTATGAACAAAGCTGTCAGTAAATCATTGGGAACTGACCTGCATTACCTATAAGCCGCAAACCTTTGCACAAACGGGGCACCTCCCCCCAACCCTTTTCCAAGGGTGGTAGCTTAATTAAATAGAGATTTGACTGTAGTTTGTGTGACACTGTGCTCATGCTCCACCTCTCTCTATTTTTAAGGTAAAAACAAATGGTTTTGCTACAACTCCACTTCAGTTATGTAGTTACTGGAAATGCGAAGAGGAGTCAACGGACCTCAGAGTTGATTATCGTTATAATCCTGCTTGTATGTCAGCTCCTAGCTCCATCAGCAACTTGTCTGTCTTAGTTCCAGTGAGTGGTGGAGTCACCATTATGCAGTCCAAGCCATCGGCTACTTGGTAAGTCTTAGAGCGCTTTTCAGTTGAGTGTCGAAAACCAAAACCAAAGTAATCACAATGGCCAACCAGAGTAAAGGAATTATCAGAGGGAGCCAATGGCAATTCGAAGTAAACGCGTGTAACCAGCCTGTAGTGCGGGAAAACGCGAGTGACCAAGGAGCGATTGGTTTTAGTTTACATCTGATTGACAGAGAGGGTGGCGCGAGTTTTCTAGACCAATCAAACACCACAGTAAAGCAAAACCAATTCCATCCTGGATTACTTTCAACACTCAATTGAAAATTGCTCTGTTATCTTAAAAGTGAACGTAATACTCTGTGACCTCAAGATTACAAATTAGAGGTTGCTTATGACAGCCCTGATTGGGGTTGTTTAAAAGGTGGATTGAGCACTATTCACTGGAAAATGCATTTGGGTTCCCTAACATTTTATCCACTGGATATATCACTATCCAGGTCATTAAGGGCATTAACCTCTAACACCTGTTACCGCTGAGCTCACTTAATGTTACGGGTGATCAAAGTGGAATGCTTAAGGTGACAATATAAATATTATTGTGAGATGTTACATGTGAATCTTCATTCGCTATGGCTGCTTCAAAGTTTACTGACAACCCTGGTGAGATATCTGGTGGATAGCCATGTCCAATGTTTGAACAACCAGGGCCCAATATTGTATACATAATGAAAGGTTTTATGGTTATACAGCAGGTTTTGGGTGTAATTCAAAAACATACAGAATACAAACATGAAATTCAACCCTGTTGATCCGACTGCCATTGGGCTATAACGTCCTAATCATTTTTACAGGGTGGTGAAGCTAGTGTGGTCTTCAAAATGAACTAGGATTCAGATGTTTGTGCGAAAATAATATGGTCATTTTGAACTGGATAGTTTTAGTATGACAAGTGTTTTGAAGATTGTGGTAGACTTAATTTACACTTCAATTTTGCAAAAGGCATTTACAAAATCTCAACACTATCGTCAATGAAAAAATTAATACACAATCTTAAATGGTGGACATCATTATTCATGGACACATGTACACTTTTCTATCTAATAGAAAATGAGAGTTTATTCAAAGAAGCATCCAGTCACTGTAAATCTCTCTGAAAAATCCTTCCATAATCAGTACGGGTGTTAATACTGATGGCATGTTGATTTTTAGGTCCGCTGAACACCAGAGAGCATTGTGGAAACTCCAGGAAGTCTCTAGTACAACTGAAACACAAGGTATGTCCATGTTTTATGTGGGCTGCAGCACTCAACTTGCTTTTGGAGAGGAGCAATGAATCGTGTAACTTTTCCTGGTAGCTGTGTGGCTCATGAGAACAGTTTTTTGGGGAAAAATTTCCAGGGGTTATGGGTTTAATAGATTCAACTGTATTTTTTTAATACTCTAGTCTTGTCATAGTACTTGAATAATCATTGATACAAAGAAAATAGAGGGGAGTATTGTGACGTCAACAGAAGTTACCATGGTAGCCAAATTTCTGGATGACAACAGCAGGGCCGAGATTAAGCAACGGCGACGGCGACAGTAACAAGATTAGCAAAAACAAAATGGATAGGTTAAGATCAGCAAAACAACATCTTTGCACATGCATCACGCTTTCTTTTGTACATTTCTTAACCGTCGTTGCACAACTGCAATATGAAACTTCCTAATTTAACGTGCCCGCTTTACGGAGTAGGTGAACACAAACACAAAAAGTTTCTTTTTCTTTTTTAAAACTCATGTGCAGTCCTTTCGGATTAAATCCAGAAAATTTTGCCAACATTTAACAAATTAAATGAAACTGAATAAGATCGATGAAGTTTGAAACATTGGGAATTTACTTTTTGAGTGAATTTGCGGTTTGTTGTTAGCCCAAAATTTGCTGCCATGGCAACGTGACATAAGGACTTCTCCTCTCTATTAAGGGATATAATGACTGTTATTTTCCTTTTCTTTTGGTTGATATTGCCGTTTTAGGTACTTTAAGAGCAAAATTCGATCTATCACAGGGGCCAAGCATCCCATCGCGGATTGCTGTACAGTTCACCTGCAATGGTGCCACCATTTCTAAACTTAATTTTGAACTCAGAAGTCAAGAATACAAACTTTCTCTTGTTAAAAAGAGGTTTACTACTGGTAAGGCATGATTAATTGTTTTATTTGTGATGTTTTATGATCAAAGGCCAGGGTAAAAATATTGCCTAAGATTTTTTTTCACATCACTTCCAGGGTCATTTATCAATAATGTCTATGTTGTTGCCTAATAGTGTTTTTTAATGAAAAATTATGATTTTTTTTTTAATTCATTACTTAACATTTTGCAAGCTCTCATAGTAACTATAATTATTATTCAGTCAAAATATTTCCTCAATTCTGATTGGCTAAAAGCACACACATGATTCACCATAACCAGTTACTGATGACCAAATTTGGAAGAATTTTGTGTTTAACAAGGAAATGACGTCAAAAATGCAGCCCGCTACAGGTTGAGGCACGGTTATCAAGAAGACCTGGCGACAAGGTTGAGTTGTTTTGGTTGTGAAAAAAAATGGCGAACATTTCACTCATTTCAACAGTAAGAACTAGAGCCGGAACTAGGCGAAATAATAGCTAAAAACATGGCAAAAACAGCAAGAAGACAACTTGAAGGGGGACATCTGCTATTTGGAGCATATTTGCGGAGCTGGACAAACCTAAACATACACTATCGAAGATGAACTTAACATTGATGCAGGTGAGCATGTTTTAGCTATGTTTTATTTTGAATGAGTAATAAAGCAATTAATGAATTCAGCTTTCGTAGGATATGAAGAATTAAGAAGATCTCGGAGGGTGTTATCCACCTCGGCCGATAACACTCTCCTTGATCGGCTCAATTCGAAAGCTGAATTCATTAATTGCTAATTAATTAAGCTTGCAAAATGTTTAATATTTTGTTATTTCTTACAGCTGATTATTATTTTTTTGCAGGTAAATACATTGCAGAGAGCTAATGCCTGCTAGTATTGAGAAAAAAGTATTTTAATGATTGAAAGCAACAAGAAATTTAAGGTCAAGCAGAGGATGAAAAGAAATAAAATTTAATGTAAAATGTAAATGAATGCCAAGAAAGTAAGAAAGAAATGATATGAAAAGGGACACAGTAGATGACCATTGAATTAGAAAGTGATTGAAATTTTACATTTATAATGAATATTCCAATCTTGTCTTCCGCATTTACTTTATACATTTTAGAATATGATTTGTACTTACTTTTGGAAGTACAAGAAGCAGTAGTTTTTTCAAGATGTGGAGATGATCATCCTGTAGGGGATCTTATGGTTAATATGATAACCTGAAAAGGTGTTTTTAAATTTGTGCTCATTGCATTCACAATTATTCCAGTTTTTCACTATATCATTTGCTATTTTTGTGTTTTGTTTTTTTAAACGAAAAAGTACCTGTTCTTAATAAGCGGTGGTGAAGTGATGTGAGTAGCTACTTTCTCATTCCTCATCAAACAGAGGTCAAGGCCTGCTCTTGTTGGAACTTTGACAATGCATAGCACTCTTACACATGATCACATTTATAGACAAAGAAATTTCAAATAATGGCATTCAATGTCCCTTGAATAGCCTGAATATCATCCGATTACTTCAAGTCGTTATTACTCCCTCGGTAACAACGTTGTTGAGAGGAGAAAACGACTCAAAGCAATCGGATGAATTTCAGGCTATCCCTTAAACAGCAAGGAACAAACCTTTTTGATGAAAAATTCTTCTTGATAGCATGTGGGTTACTGTGCCATCCAACAGAATTTTTCTCTAAAGTTTTAGGCATAAAAGACCTTCCTCACTGTTCCTAGTAAGACCCTACCAATGAGGGTTTGTTAAATAACACAGCCTGGTAATAGTGGCTGAGTTATGGCATACACCACTTGTGCCGAAACGAATGGCATGTGTTACTAATGACACATTTTCATCTGTTTTGGTAGTTGACATTGTATGGCAAAAATTGAAATTAAAACAAATATGATGATAAAACATCCAATTTACTACAAAAATATTAATTTTGTTGCATGTTAAAGTGCCATTGACCCCTTACACCTCTTCCTTTTCTTAATTTCAAGACAATTTTTTAAATGTAATTCATCTTACCCCTCCAATCATTGTATTGCTTGCACTAATTGAAGATATGCCTGTGTAATGAGTATCACAGATACAAGATGCTCAACATTAGAGTCTGATTTTGATCCCCCTCCTTTGAGCATTTTGAACTTAGCACAGTAATGCTACCTAGGTTGTTTTACATGAATGGATGATGAAAATCCACCATGCCAGTAGCCGTCTATTATAAAAATGATCTATTGGGTTTCACTGGCTTTTGTTTTGTGCAAGCTGGGCTTTGCAATCACATCATGTTGTTCAGTGGAATGTTTTCATTACCTAGCAGTCAAAAAATAAATCACACTGGGGCTGCTTCAAATGGCAATTTATTGCTTGACATACATCAGTAAGAACTTCAAGTGTTGGCTTTTGAATAGTCATTTATTGACTTGGTCTTTCACTGGAAGAAACCAAGATAAGGGTCTTGATCAGTTGGATTTGTTACAACAAAACCAAGCAGAAATGTAACGTACCTCACATTTTCGCCGGAAAGATTGAGCTTCCTGTCAGTGCTTACAAGGTGCACATTTTTCTATCCATTTCATCCACGCATGGATAGTAAATGCTAAAATCCACATTAAATATGATTTAATGTGAGTCCACTCAGAGTGGTAGGTAAAGAAAGAATAATCTTTTGGGGGGATTCAAGAATCTAGATTTGGATCATTTTCCCAGGGAAATGCACTCTGATAAGGACAATACAAATTTTTGTGTGGTGTCCACCCAGTTTTGTTAATTTACCTAACAGTGCCTTAGTATTTGTATCTGGAAATGCCATTGGATTTGTTTTTGTTTTCTTTTTATGTTGCAAATCATGAATGAAGAAGCTCTGGGAAGTGAATCGGAATGGGTAAAGATTACATCTTAAAAATGTTTTATTATTGCTTTTTTATTTTAGTAATTTTGTTACAAATTATTAGAATGATGCAATTTATTGTAAAGGAGTACAATGCATTAAGTTGCCTGAATCAAGGGTACATTTTTTTGCATTTAAAATTAAACAAAACTGAATTATTTTAATGTGTGTTATTTTGCTTGATGAGGAAGTGTTTACAAGCAGCACATTTGGTTGGCTAATGTGGATATTATTGACCATTGTTCTTCACTCTCTCATACAAGGATCCCTGGGGTGGGGGGTGACCCCCTTATTTGGCCCAATGGAGTTACGTGCTGCTTAACAGGGTTTGGTTTTCAGGGTCTTAAGCCTTTAAACAATGGTATATAATTTCATTTGTTATCGTTACAGCTATTTTTGTTCCGTTGGTAAGAACTTTTAATGGTTTGTTAATTTGCTCCCTGTCCCAAATTAGCATCCATTTGAAAAAAAGTGCCCTCCATCGGATAACAAATTTTAAGTAATTGTGTACAAGGAGCACTAAATTGGTTAATAATATTATCTAGCTCATTAGAGCCTTTGTCTGTCAAGCAGGAGCTTGGAAGGTTAAAGCCTTACTGTGTCTTATACTGGGGTCTCGAGAACAGCTGGTACTAAAACTGTTTTTTTTTTTGTAAAGCCTGTATCTCAATCTAGATTGGTAGGGTGGTAAAAGGCACATCCACTGGTCTTATAAGTCACATAGCTGTGCACAAAGGTCAGCGGGAAAGGTCATGCACCAGTTGTGGGGGTATTTTGTACATGTGTGGCTGATGAAAATGGGATTGATGTGGGCCTCCATTGATTGGAACAATCCTGTTATACAAACCAGTGCTGTCAACCTAACCAAACCAAAAAACTTCAGTGAAACATTTGCTGATATATTTTCTTTCCGCTATGAAATTTTCAAAATACAGTTTTTTAGCCTTATAACCGATGCCCTAGAAGGGGGATTTTATATATGGTAATTTTGATGCAGAAGCTGGAAAATGAAATCCATTCTGAGTGAGGGGAATGATCAATCAAAGCTTTTTAGTTGAATCAAATGAAATTCTTCTTGAAATATCATGGAAGATGAGAAATACAAATCAAACTTTATAGAATTGTAATAAATTATTTATTCAAAGATTGTAGAATTCAACTCTTAGCTAATATACATTGAATCTTCTGAATTTTTAAGAAAAAAATATCACAAAATTTCAACATTTATGTAAAAATGTGTAAAATGAAAAGTAATGTGATTACTCCGAGTTTCCAATTAATTAAAACACTCTTGTTGTTTTTACCATATAATGCTACAAAACGTATGTGAATACTACATCTATATAAATATTTTTTACGACTTTACATTTTTTACAATATAATCTTAAATGTTTATAATATACTCCACTCTACACAGTAATCCTTTCTACAACTTCCCTTTCTTTCGGGAAAGAGTTCTGTGGGCAATCCACTGTGTCAATCTATTTTGCATAACAATAACAAGGAAAATGCCAGTGACTTTTTTTCAAGACGGACGTTGAAAATCGAAACAAACCGGAGTTTTTCTCGTAAAAATACTTTCAAAATACACGAGGAAACTAAATGAGGGCTGCTAAATCTTGTAGTTATCAAAACATGGTGATATTTAAAAAAAAAACCAACCAAATTCACACTGCGAGAAAACCAATTACAAAAATACTGCAGACATTTAAATTTTGCCCGCCAAAAGTTGTTTTGAAAGCTAAAGACAACAATGCGATCGAAGATTCAGTTACAGTTCAGCTGAGAATCGGCGAGTTCAACGAGAGCCATAGCTCCGTACCATCGCTCTCTTGCATCTGCCATCCTCTTTCTTGCCTCGACTCTTGATTTCTTTCGCTCCACGATTTGTTGTCGCGCTATCTCTTTCTCTAATTTTCGCTTGAGTACTCTTTCTTCCAGCTTTGTAGGATTTCGTTCATCTTTCTCCATCTCGTAGTTCGCTAGCCATTTCAACACGGCAGCCTTGTACTCGTTTGGCTCGGAATTTTCGTTCATTAGGATTTCTTTCAGTGGTATTTCGGTGAAAGTCCGCTTTAAGCCAGCGTATGGATGAAGGCTGCAATGGCGATTGGCGTGAGTGAACCTCGTTGTACAACCTTCGGCGGTGCAAGCAAATGGCTTTTCGCCAGTATGGAGACGCTGGTGAGTCTTTAACTGGCCACTCTGAACAAAGGCTTTTCCACAGTTTGGAAAATCACAGACATAAGGCCTTTCACCGCTGTGGGTTCTTTTGTGAGCTTGAAGAGACTTCTCGCGCGGGAAAACGCGGTTGCAAACATCACAGCGAATTGAGGAGTACGAGTTCTGTCCTTCTTCCATCAAAATGTTCAGCACATCAGCTCTCGGTCTCCCCCTTGGCGGTACCACATTCGGTGATTTCGGGGAGAACTCGTTTACAGGCGTTCCTTTCGGTGTAGTCGGGGTTTGAGGTGGAGATGGTGGCAAGAAATTGTGTGTTGGTGTTGTCGGAGGCGACCAAACGATGACCGAAGTTCTCTGGTTCTGTTGCGAGTTGAGCTGCTCGGAGATATCTCCAAACTTTGGAACAGGCCGTAGCATCTTATTGTTCGTTGAAAACAGGCTAGGACCAGGCTGTGGAAAATAAATACCGCTTTTTTGAAAGGAAATCGTCAGGAAGTCGGCCATTTTTAAACTGCACAGTTCAAGTATCACGGCGGTTTAAACGGGTTAAATGAAATTTCCCGCCTTTGGTAATGTATTTTACACGTGACGAACAAGTGAATAAATTGTAAATGCGCGCCAAAATCTTTCGGAGGTTTCTTGGATTTTTCTCGTGCCTATTTTCACAAAAAAATCAAACTAACAAACCCTCTGATTTCTAATACAAGTGATGAAGTAATTCTTTAAAGAAAATGCTGAATTTTCACACTCATGTTAGCCCGAAAACGAGAATTTTCAGGTACGTGACGTCACTGTACAAACATCATGTGCAATGGACCATGTTCATTTCTATTATGGTATTTGCATTTCTATTGGCAGTTTCTCTTTAAAGCACATGTCAACACGTGGCATAAGGAATATTATTTTACTTTCCAAAGAAAGATTCAAAGTTCTATAACAAGCCTCGAGCCAATATACGTTCATTCAATTTCCCTGCTTAACTTTTCTTCGCTTATCTGCTTGTTTAAAAGATCGCAGGGAAAAGGATACTGGATTTCTTGGAATTAAAATTCCGGGTTACATTATGCCATGTGCTTGAATTCCTTGATGCGTGGCTTTTGAGTGATTTAAGTCAAGTGGTTTATAAAACAAGTATTGATCATTCAGTTATAGTTCTGCATAAAAATAATGGACATTATCTTAAAATCTTGTTTTGGCGCCACGAAAGTGAATTCAGCCGTTTACCTCCCAGGTTTCTTTCTCGGTTGAGTTCACTGCCTTCTTTCACTGGAAGATGGAGAGATTGCGCTTTGTGACACAGTGCAATTTTATTGTGTGGGCACAAGTTTAGAGTCAAGAGTTGAGCTTATTTTTTAGTCTATAGGACCTATGGGGGTTTGTTAGACTCTTCCGGCCCCTCGCTCCTTTTTACTGAAGGGACGAGGAACGAAAAGAAAAACCTGAATTTGCAGTATACCAGAGTATACATCGCATAAGTTTTGAGATTTTTATCGAGACTTTTTAATTTTTACCATTAAAGGCATAAATGTAACGAAATTGAAAAAAAATCCAATCGAATCAAACGCAGCTGAAAAACCGGAAGCGGACCATCGATGGAATAGAGAGCGATAAAGATCTGATTGTTAACCATTATTGCGAGTATTGGGAGGAGCTTGTTTATACATTGTAATCTATAGGTAGCTGATGAATTTAGGCCATTCGATTCATAAGGCTCAAAACTTCAAGTATTCTCCCTACGTCTCGATGATTTTGGTATCCCCGTGTTCTCGTGTTTAGGTATAAAAATAGACAATATGGGCGTCCGGATATATACCCCTGATCCGGCTCAGAACAGTGAAAACACTAATACTGCTTCTGAAAACGCGACGGGCGCCAATAGAGAAGAAAAAAACGTCTTAAAGTTTTTATCAGTAGATTTGAGTGCTTTGCATATCGGTTTTTAGTCGAGGCAACCTGGGCCCAGGCTCTTTGGTGGGGAATGAAGGACAAGGGAGGGGGGAGAGGGAATTAGAGAGGGAAAAGGCGGAGGATTACATTCTCCAAGCCCCACTCCCTCTCCCATTTTTCCCTTGCCGTCAGGTCCCCCTGTTCTCAGGCTGATCACGCACGCATTTTTGTTGATTTGCGTCGGATGATGAAGTTGACCGTCAACTCATGTACGTAGAAGAAAAGAACTACAACTCAATCACCGAATTAGTGCTTATGAAAGCAGGGCAAGAATTCTTCCCAAAACAAGGCGAGATGTGTAAGACCAACGCTAACCAGGGACGTCCCCTGAAAACTGGAGGTAGACATTATAAATTTGCACCAGAAGGCATTGGCTGGGCACTGAATGAAGAATTCTCTACTCCGCAACAGCTTTTCGTAACTGGAACAATCAAATTTGTTGCAAGACATTTGATTTGTGTGATAAAACGTGCACACAACATCGCTTTTAAACTCGTTTTGCCGCAATGTTGTAAAACAAATTGCTCGCTTTTGTGATCTTTTGTTGCTCGTTTTACTGTACATACCCCGGAAAGCAGTTGTCTTTCCGACCTGCGCGTATAAAAGCCGTGCCTTACAGGGATAATTCCGGGGGAAATTGAACCCCCCCCCCCCCATGTTTTTTTTTCTTAAAAGTCAAACATGAAATACCACCAGTAAATTGAATAAGAAAGGTTCCATCCTGCTGAGTTTCACTAAGCTGTTTGTGTTCTGCTCAGTCTACAACTAATTTGCTCGTGAAGCAAATTCCATATTTTCTGGATGTTGCCATAAATCCCATGATGCTCTTGTTCATTGGGATTTTCTTTCTCTTTCCGAGAAGGTAAGCGCTTGTTTCCTTATCTCAGACCGCCCTCTCCCTTTTCACTTTCACTTACATGAAATTCTGATTTTCTTGACTCAGAGACTTAGTTTCTGCTCAACAAATGTTGTCAAAGTGCAAGTCTCTTCATAAGGGACTAAATACGAGCGGGTTAGATCCTGGAGTGTCAGGTCTGCAGTCTCCTGTCTACCGAGGATTCGCTGCAGGAGACTGGTTTGATTTAAGTACCATAACGAAAACCCTAACCCTAAATAGAAGCTAACCATTAACCCTAATCAGTATGGTCAGTGCTTAACCCTAATCAGTATCGTTAGTGCTTAACCCTAATCACTACTCACATATATATATGAAATTACTTTGTGTAGGCATCACAAGGTATCCAAGGGCGGTTTGAGCTATGGAAACAAGTGTTTACCTTTCCGAGAAAACTGTCGCTGCCTTCCGGGTTAATTCAAATCCAAAAGCCTTCGAGAAAGCACGTGATACTCGTTAATTTTGACCCCAGAAAAAAAAGCTGGCATGAAGATTGCTTAGTACGGATAGATAACTAATTCCCCGTTAAGTATAAAAATATTGTAAACGAGTAAATATGGAAATAGGTTGAACGGGTAAAATCGAGATATGAATATTCAAAAGGGTTTTTTCCCAATGACTGCAAAGTCTTCAAACACACATCCTTAGTGTGTAAACAAAGTAAGTGCATCAAAAGAAGATGGACATGTTGCTTAATTTCGTTCTGGTGACAATTTTCGCAGCTAGTTTTAACTCCGCTGTTGCTCAAGGCCGCAAGGCAAAGGTGTTACTTAAGGTGAGGGATGACAAGACCTATGAGCTTGTCGAAGATGTTTTAAAAGAAATATCACGTCTTCGTCGCCCAATTCGAGTCTTAGCCGCCGTTGGAAACGCAAGGGTTGGAAAATCTTCCATGTTAAACCTCATTAACCACGTCTTGGATGGAAGGAAGAAAGGAAATTCTGTGGAAGAAATTTTTAAAACCGGTGATTCATTCAAACAAGTTACGCGCAATGTCTGGTCGCACACGATTATTCCACGAGGTGAAAACGGTGGAAGCATTGTTCTACTGGATGTAGAAGGCTTTAATTTAGGTAACGATACAGTAACGAAGCATCTCAGTATGTTTACAGCAATGATGTCGTCTTGTTTGAACCTTTTTGCCAATGATTATCTGGGAAACAAAGATAAAGAATTCCTTTATGAAATATCCCGCTCCAGTGACCTAGTATTCAACCCAGACAAAACCAACCTTCGAAACTTTCCCAAGCTGCATATTGTTGTCCGAGGAAATTTGAAATCTCCTGACGAGCTTGAAAGTTACGTGCGTGATGAACTCTTTGGATCGGATCAAAATAACGGTTTTACCCAAAGTATGGCGGATATAATTGAAAGGTACTTTCCAAGGGACAGAATTTTAGTTAGCCAAATTCCAACTGTAAACGACCCGGAAATCCTGCAAGATTTGGCGAAAATGCGCAAAAGTTCACACTGGGACAGTTTCGACAAGCTCATTGATAAATCTGTTAAGGAGTGTCCTGTGAAGCAGACCATTGGAGGAAGCAAAGTTGACGGTCCAGCCTTTGTAGAACTTGCGACGAAAGCTGTGAGATCCTTAAATGAAAACTCGTGGAAAGACTTCGGAGATGTCTTTTCGAGCATTGAAAAGGACATATGTATGAGAAGTTACAACGAACACATAAAGCCAGTTTTACAGCTCAATTCAGGAGGAATTGGAGACAGGATGATGACAGCAAAGGAAAAATTCCAAAACGAATGCTTGCTTAAAAGTGAGATAGATAGAGTCACCGATATATTAACGAAGACACTTAAAGAAAAAAGTCAACAAGAAGAAGAGAAAAGGAGAGAGGAGGAAGAAAAAGAAAGGAGAGAAAAGGAGGAGCAAAGAAGAAGAAAAGAAGAAGAAGAGAAAAGCTGGTATTCGTTTGAAAATATAAAATATTTTGGTGGCTATGCAGCCACCTTGCTTGTTGGATACTTCCTAAGCGATGAAAATCTTAAAAGTAACGTCACGGTTTTGCTTTCTTCCCGGTACAACGACATTGGACTTACGGGAGTCTGCTGGAGATGGAATGACATCGCACAACAGAAGTTCGGACTCACAGGGGAGGCCTGCGGAGTGATTGCACAGGAAGTCCAAAAGCTGTATCCCAAGGCTGTTTTAGTGGGAGAAGATGGCTTCCTGCAAGTGCGATATGGAATACTTCATAAGATGATTAACCACGTTAGAGACAAGCGCTGTTAGATTTTATAAGTCTAAGGGAAACTCAGGAGAGCACAGTTGTTTCACTACAAAGTGATAAAAAGGAACTTTCAAACATAACTTGTCGACTTTGCATTCGAAAGGATTGGTTGTAATTTCAGCTCGTCAAATTTGACTCTGGTTTACGAGGTTAGAAACATAAACTTAATTTTTGGCAGATTTATAACCGGTGGGATATTAACTTGTTGTGTCATTTTTATAGTTGAAAACTGTTGAAAGAAGGCGTGAAGTAGTTGAAGTATGTAGTAAATTGAAAATCTAGTACACCTTGCAGCCATTGTCAATAAACGTTTTTCCATCAAATTAATAACTTATGAATATCTCAATTCTTTGATCGAAAACAATTACGAACATATGGAGACGTAATCTTTTTGTTAAAGTATTACTTTGCACCCAAAGGGAGAAGAACCACACCGTTGAGCTGTTCGCGGATAAACGAGGCAAAACAATCGTGCCGAGAACTTCCTTTCCAAATTTTGGAAAACAGTAAAGATTCTATGATTGGTGTCATTGGTGAATAAACAGGGATGCATCAAAACGTCATCCCCACCTCTCTCATGCACACTGCACGCTTTGTAACGGAGGTAAAGTTATGTACCGCTTCTAAGAGAGCTGCAACATTGTCTAAAGCATGTATTTAAGTTTTGAATTTTTCAAATCTTGCCAGTACAATCTTAAATTTTTCGAAATCTTGCCGGCAAGATCTGGAAAATTCCCAAACTTGCAGGCAAGATCTTGAACTTTCTAAATCTTGGCATCTAGATCTTGAATTTTCCAAATCTCACTTGGCAGCAAGATCTGGAATTTTGCAAATCTTACAGGCATTTTTTGGAACTTCCTCTAATTGTAAGCTGGAGTTTAAGCAGACAGACAAGCTCCACTATAATTCTGCAAAACCCTTGACGGAAATTTGCCAACAGAAAAAGTTTTGATTAGAATTTCCATAATTATTTTCACCATTTAAGGGCCTGTTTACATGGAGGTGGCGGACCCCAGATAGGTGGGGTAACATGTGCCGGGTCACGCCACCTATCAGGTAAATCAAATTAAAATGAGAGATTATAATATGGACAGGCAAATTACCTCACCTACCTGGGGTCCCCCACCTCCATGTAAACAGGCCCTTAGTTTAATACTTTACCAAAATAGTCAAACCACCCATAAAAGACCACCCTAAATACCAAGAACTAATGGTCGCTTAAGAAAATGAAACGAAAGGAATCTCTTCCAGGAAAAAAAGGTTTGTGACAACTACTATTCTTCCAAGAAAGTTTACGCTTATGGGTCAATTCGATACAATAATTTATTATACAGGATATAATTGTCCATTTGAAAAAAAAAGAAAGAAAGAAAAGAAATAATATTTACAAAAGCAAAGTTAAATTTGATACACCCTTGTTCTACTTGCCAACTTTGTTCAAAATAGAAGGAAAAGCAATCTAAGTTGATTCATCATGAGGGTCACATAACCGTCTGAGAAGCTTGTTGTTTAATACCTGTGGGGGCGTTACATAGCGGGTACCGAGCAATACTGAGCTTGAATCAAAACCGAATGCAACAACTGTAAATAGTAAACACTGATCTCAAAGAAACAACTGTAGATAAAGTATGTGGAGAACTTAGGCACAATTTGTTGCTAGAATATTCAGGTTGGGGTCACTTTCAAAATATGCAAAATTTATGGGGGGTAATTTCCAAAAAGCTAGAAGGATGAATTGGGAGATTGGTTTGAAAATCTTCTGAACTTCCTCAAAATGGACGCCCCTCCTCACACATAATAAACGACTGGCTCCTGAATTATACTGTTGATTGCTAGTGAAATGACTCTGCAGCGATGAGACTTGACACCCCTAAGAATGTTTTTAAACATTTTAAAAAACTGCACATTGGCCTGGAATATCTAAAACATTGCAATCTGGACTCTAAGACTAATGTATGTAGCATAAGAGGCAAATATTTATCTCATGGATTAAAAATAATTTTGAACTTGATTCATCCTAAGCCAGGCATCAAATAAGCGAGATTATCCAGAACCTCTGCCTGTTGAAAAAAATAAGAAATTCAAGTCACTTGGATAATATTGGTTGTTTACCCTTCTCAGACCATGCAATGTTATTCTGGACAACAGCTGTTTCTTTGAAATGTCATAACATTTGTGTATATCAACACCATAACTGACAATTAAAGTAAGGCCATCACATACAATGTAACCTACAGTGGGGCGACAAACCTGTTGCACCTCTCTTTAAAAGACCAATAGTGACCTTAAATGACCTTTAAGTGACGACCAATACAGGTTCCGTGGTGATCAAGTCCTTCATTCTCATGATCACCATCAGGAGAAACTAGATGCTGATTAAAATAAAAAAATCCAAGTACCTGAGTTTTCGGAGAACAGCCATTCATTTCCGGTATTTGAGATGTAAGAAATAGTAGTGGTGAAATAGCACACAGTGCGCTGTCTAACAACACCGACAAGCTGCCATGAACTTCTCCCGGGTCCTATAAAAGAACATCAACTTGTCAAGACAACACAGAGAAACAAAAATTGTTACTTTTAGAGAAAGAAAAAACAACACAAAGATGGTCAGAGTGCCCACACAGGCCATAAATTTTAAGGTAAGCCATTCTACCAGGGTCTCCTGTTTGTTTGGGCAGCTGTCTGAGTTCCATCTGTCTGTTCCATAAAGTCTTTCTGTAAGGAAGGCGGAGCTCACTTTCCCAGTGGTTTTTTTGTGCATGTAGCACCCTTCTCGAGGCAAGTTTAAAGATTGAACTGTGTTTTGTTGGGACATAGGGGACGTAATCCAGCAGTATAGAGGAGACAAAGTCAACAGGCAGAAAAGATCGTGTTTGGTGTTCAGAGGACAAATCCACATGTCTCACCCAACAGGCCAGCATTCTGCCATGAAGTATTTCAAAGTCTAATCCCATTCCCACTCCACCCTCTCACCCTAGTATAACTTCTACACACCTGTACCCTGAGGCAGGCTCCAATTGTCCCAAGGGACTCCCCCAGGAGTTGCAAGTGTGCTGCTAAGTCAATAGGCTCAGCTTTGTCATCCTTTACTTTTGGTGCAGGTGTGGAGACAGCTTTGGGGGTCGCTTGAAGTCCAAGTGATTTCCTGAGCTCTTCTGCCTTCTTTCGCCAATGCTGGAAAAAAAAGAGATGTTTAACTTATTTACCCTCAGAGCTCCTTTATATGACAAGATTATTTATCACTCTATATTTTAAATCTGTGGATGAAATCCTATGGTGTTACCATTCTTTGCACTGTGCTATAGAATCAACTGATTTTTCTTTTGTGGCTTCTCTCACTTTTTTGGCTCTGGTTTATGGCTGGTAAAAGGGTTACGGTTTTTTCACTGTGTAAGGCAACAGTTTTGTTTTACTTTTACTAACAAGCCTTTTTTAAAATAACAGCAAAATATTAAGTTAAACATACCTGCTTATCTTCTTCACTGAGGTTGTTCCAGGCAATCCCTACCTTTTTGCTGATTTCAGTAAACTCTAAAAAGAAAAAAAACAAACCATTCTGAAAATTACTTGGAAAAGAGAGGGTAGCCTGCAAAAAGCAGCCTCCTTTTAACGCTCACCACCACACTAATTACACACTATTTAGCACTAATACGGTCCACTAATGCAAAATGTATGCAGGAGTGAGCAATAATGCTTGCAGCTACATGTAATTTACAATGTATATCATATACAAATATAGTAAAATTATAGAATTGTACACATGCAAACATTGACGCTTGATAAAATTTAATGACTGTACTTGCAGCAAAAAGTGCTTGAAGAAGGCTCACCTAAACCTGGATTTTCCTCAGCAATTTTCTTGCGATGTTGCTTGCAGAATAGCAAATAAGATGTTACCACCTTTGGCTTCTAAAGATAAAATATCAGTTCTATAAGAATAAATCTATTGTTTTCCCTTTATTTCTTATGTCAAGCATTGCTATAAACTAAGTTAAAAATCTTTTTTATATTGCTTTAAATCAAAGTTCTTGAGAATTCCTATCATTACACAGTTAAACCTTCCATTCCTACACAAAGTGATGGCAAGATGATTTGTCATACTAAATCAAGAGAGCTAAATTTGTATGTGAATTAAACTATTGTTTTCATATGAAAGAATGAACATCTGGAATGGAGAGGTTAAAGGTAATTCAAAATGGATGGCCTGTTTTCAGCCCCCCTTCCAACCTGGGAGCAGAGACTCCTTTTGTCTTCTTGAGCGAGGAGAAGAAATGGAGGCTCCTCTTGAATTACGTCAAGCCTTTGAGGTTGCCAAAGCTCAAACTTCTGGACTAGTCAAACTGGTTAACCAAGTGCGAGCATTTGTTTATTGATAAACTGATGGTCATATCTCAGCGATTTTGTTACAAATAGTTATGGTGCATCCTGGGACTCATCTTGTGAACAAATTATGAGTCCCACTCCAGAACCTTTGAGTCCCAGTTCAAAAAACAATAATTCCTAAATTGAAAATGCTTGGGCCTTTATGTGACCAGACAGATAAAAGATTTTCATTTGTAAGACACAATGAAGACTAAAAGAAATATGTGTCGTTAAAAAACAGCCACAAGAACAGCCACAGAAATCACACGAACAGCCTGTGGATATTCTACAAAAACATCTTCAGATCGATCAATCAATCAATCAATCTTTGCATCCTATGGGACGCGTGCCATGAACTCTTGTGCCTCTTTAGGAATTTTTATGCATCACGGATGCAGGATGCGGGGGTAACAAAATCACTGAAACTGAGCTCACTGTACCAAGCACAGGGCTATTAGGCCAGGCTTCAAGACTGTATCCCAGCAACAAGTTGCATATGCTATCTAACTCAATTGATGCAGTCTTTCTTGAGTATGCCAAAATTAAGCAAGTGGAAGAAAGGCTCTGCTACCAGGTTACCTTCCTTCCCAACCATATCATTGATTACAAGTTCAACATACCTCTGGAGTCTTGCTGCCTTTTTTTGGAGTTGCCCTTGCCTTTCCTTTTGTACTACCTGTTGAGGGAGCTGCCTTCTTTTTCTGATTACCTGATTTAGCTTGTGAAGTTGTTGGCTGGCCACTTGTCTTCTTCTCCGCAGCTTTGGAACCTGATGGAAGCTTGTCTTTCTTAATCACTAATTTTACGTGTTCACCGTCAGATTGAGGTGACGACAAATCCACCTTATTTGCTTTCTTCTTCTTTTTGTCTTTTTCCTTTGCGGGTTTTGAAGACTTGACTTCACTGTTCTCCACTTCACTAAGTCCTGCACTCTGCATTAGTCCAGGGCTATCTGCATTTGTTTTCTTCTTCTTTTTGTCTTTTTCCTTAGCGGGTTTTGTGGACTTGACTTCACTGTTCTCCACTTCACTAAGTCCTGCACTCTGCATTAGTCCAGCGCTATCTGCATTTGTTTTCTTCTTCTTTTTGTCTTTTTCCTTAGCGGGTTTTGTGGTCTTGACTTCACTGTTCTCCACTTCACTAAGTCCTGCACTCTGCATTAGTCCAGGGCCATCTGCATTTGTTTTCTTTTTCTTTTTGTCTTTTTCCTTAGCGGGTTTTGTGGTCTTGACTTCACTGTTCTCCGCTTCACTAAGTCCTGCACTCTGCATTAGTCCAGGGCTATCTGCAGCCATCTCAAGATCAATCTTCTTGGAAGACAGACCCTTAAATTTGATGGATATTTTCTTCTTCTTTTCCACCTTTTTATTTTCATCAGCCTCTGTATTATTTTCAGATGATTTTGTTACAGATTTCTTGTGATGTGATTTTTTTGGAGAGCCATCATCATGGCTTCCTGAAGAATGTTTGTGTTTGTGATGATGGTGGTGATGGTGGTGATGATGATGATGGTGATGTTTTTTGTGCTTCGTAGAATCTTCAGTTTGAGGAAGATGCAACTTTAAAACAATTGGCTCTTTTTCAGCAGATTCACTTCCAGAATTACTCAGATCTTTTTCTGATTTCTTCTCCTTCCTCTTAACTTTCTCATCTTTTCCTCGTTTGTTTTTGCCAGCCAATCCTTTTCGCTTATCCTTCAAACCACTAGTGCTTACATCAGCAGAAGTTCCTGCGCCATCAGCAATTTGCTTGGCAATGTCACTCAATGAAAATGCATCTCTTTTTGAGTCCACACGCTCCTGTTTTATTGTCGCATCTTTACTCACTGACGGACTTTGCTTTGCAGACATATCACTTTCTTGCTTCTTTTTATTTGATGTCTTTGCTTTGGCACCCTTGGGTGTTTCCACAGTTTCACTATAAAAGACCTGCTCTGATTTTACTGAAACTTTAACACTGCCTGCGCTTTGCCTTGAAGTAGGGGTTTTTTCTGTGGAAGTAACCTTTTTCTTCACAGGTTTACTTTTATGTCTACCAGAACTTCCTTGATCATTTTCTTCTTTCACATCACTTGAGCGTTTCCTTTTGTGAGTCAAGTTGGATGAACTTTGAGTCTTTATTTCTGTCTTATCAACTTCTAACCCTTCAAATACTTTGCCATATGATATTTCACCTCCAAAAACAGAAGCTCGTTTTATGCCCTCTTGAGAAGATTTTTGCTTACTTGTATGACTGATTGGTTGCCCATTACTACTTCTCCGTTTTTTGGGCTCTCTTGTGACACCATCTCTTTGATCCTCAGCTGAAGTCCTTGAGACACCTCTGTCACCTGCATGTACTTTTTCTGGAAGACCAAGATCTCCTGTAGTTTCATCTGTACCTTCATCACCTTCTAGAAGTGAGAAAGTTCTCTTTGGCATGTGGCCCCGTGAAGAAACTCTAACTTTTGGTGAGGGCTCATTGGTATTTGCTGATGCATCCTTTGGCAGATCCTGTAGATTCTGCTGACTTCTTTCCTCTGCTGCTGATAACCTCCTCTTGGTAGCAAGTTTTGGAGTCCTTGTTTTTGAAGATGTTTCCTCTGGTGTAGTCTGTTTGAATTCCTTCATGTCAAGGTTGTCTTTCTCAAGTAAAGGAAAATTCTTTTTTGGCACATGACCCCTTGATGATGACCTTACGTTGGTCAAACTTGAATCTACAGTTTCGCTTTCAGCAACAGAGGAGCCTGATATTCTTGATTTTACCTCAACATTCTCCTCCTCTTCCAGTAAGGAGAAGATCCTTTTTGGTACAGGGGTCCTTGATGAAGACCTCACCTTAGGTGAGGCCTCATATGGGGTTTCTTTCTTGACCCTTGTGTTTGAGGGACCTTTGTCATTTGGAGTCATCATGACTCCAGGGTTCTTGGGGGTTACATTTCCTTCGGATTTTCTCTTTGAAGCAATATTTTTTGTCATCTTTCCAACGCTGCTTTGCCCAGCTCGACCTGTGTCTTGAATCTGCTCCTTTGTTTGTTTACCTGAAACAGCTGATTCTGTTTCGATTTCTTTCAGGAAATCTTGATAACTGCGCCTCGTTTCTCTTTTATGGCCGTCATCATACGTAACCATCTTTCTTTGTTTCCTATAAATCGAAGCGTCGCTTGTCGACGTTGTTTGTTGAAGGTTTGTTGATGAAGAGGAATAAAATGAACAAGATTCCCCTTTATGAATCAAGCTAGAATCGCCTGAATTTGAAGACACCTCCGGAGTTCTACTGATTACTGAAGTTTCTTCATCATCAAACACTTTCGGTTTTGGAGTTCTTGATGACCTTCTGACGCCTGCATCACCGTCACCGAGAGAAAGCCTTCTTTGAGGACTGTCGCCATTGTTGTCAAATCCAGTTTGTGATTTTGATCGTTTCTTTTGTGGGACAACTGACGGAGAGAAATCATCATCTTCCCCAGTCTGTCTTCTACGTTTAATTGCCTTTCGATTTGACATTTGATCACTTGTTTACACTAAATTTTTCTCCAGAAAATTGGAACTACATAAAACAAAGGAAGACCGCCATGTTGGTGAAAGTGGCTGGCTGAGTAGGACTAAGTACCAATTCATACAATCACTTCCAGTCTCTCTCGTATTTCTGGTCATCATGGCGGCGTTTTCAGTTTGGACATTTTGTTGTTCTTTTTTCTTGTTTTAATGCGCTTTGACGTAAACTTGGGATTGTCACTGACGCACCAAAATGAGCACTACAGATATAAAAAGTGAGAAACTGCTTCCTCTCTTGAAATGTGCCGCGAGTGCATTTCTCTTTACTTTGCCTTTAGCACAGCTGAAACTTTCATCTTGTGTCTGTAGATTTGATAGGAAGACTCACAAACCAGAATACGGAAAGTCAAAGAACCGGATGCAAGAAATGTGGCTATAGTAAGTTTAGCCTTACTTATTTGCCGTTATTTAGGAAGATACCTGAACGTGTGTTAATTTTTATAGCTTTAGCAGAAACTTACCCATGCCATTCTTTTTAATAGTAGTTGCTTTCCTCTCGCGATTAAGCTTAAGCTTATATTAGTGTGAATAATATACACATACTAATGTAAGCACTGCGATGGCATCAAGCCTTCAATTGAAAAAAAAAAAACCTTTGGCTTTCTCCCTCCTGTGTTCTATTCTAAATTTAAAATATTCATTTAAGGCATTTATGTACAGCACTGGTAATGTTAGCCTGAGAAAACATTAACAGCCAACATTTCATGATGCCGCCACTGGATTCCCCGTGGACTGATGTCTGAGGTCATGCTGCTAGAGAAATTTGCTTTAACTAATCCGAAGCACCACCTATATCTTGGCAGTGATGCATCATCAGTATGGAATTTCTTCAGTCATTCTTCAAACATCATTTTGCAGAAAAACCAGTGATGGTGTCATGAAAAGTCGGCTGTTTTCTTGTGCTATAGAAAAGTGAAAGAATACAATATTGAGGAGACTGAAAATTTGTAGGAGTAAAAATAAAAGAAAAATAAATTCTTAATTATCCTCTCTCCTTGGGGGTTTTCAGGGATAATGAACTTCAAATAAATTTAAATGGAAAATAACAAAGTTAAGAATCCCAGCTGGTAGGTTGAGGCAAACCGGTTGGCTATTTACTAGCACAGCCGAAGATTTGAACTTGGGACTACTGAGAGCAAATCGAGCAGTTAGGGTGCGACTTGAACTTGGGGCATGTGGATAACAAGTCCAGCACCTTCAAAGCTTAGCCACACTGCCTCCCTAGTATCAGTGATTTTGTTACCTCTGTGTCCTGTGTCCCTAACGCACAAAAATCCCCACAGACGCAGAACACAAAAGTCAATGGCATGCGTCCTGTAGGGTGCAAAGTTTGATCGATCGATAGATCAATATGAAGATGTTTTTGTAAAATGTCCTGTTCGTGTGATTTCTCTGGCTGTTCTTGTGGCTGTTGTTTAAGGATGCATATTTCTTTCAGTCTTCGTTGTGCTTTACAAAAGATTATCTTTTATCTGTCTGGTCACATAAAGGCCCAAGAATTTTCAATTTAGGAATTATTGTTTTTTGAACTGGGATTCAATGGTTCTGGAGTGGGACTCATGATTTCCATACCAGTAACTATTTGTAACAAAATCACAGTAGTATCCTTCATTATGGTTTTCCCACTAGAAATGGCTTAAATCAGTAAATGTTTCCGCCTCACCAGGTGGTCACCTGACCTTTCAATGTCGCAACTTTGTTCGCGTTGATCCGAAGAAAGATGTAGTTGTCGACGTCAGTAGTACTTCTAGTGAGGATGAAAGTGAGAAAGAAGTAAGCGTGAGCTCCACATCAACACCCTCCTCATCTGATTCAGATACAAGAAGAAAGGAAACAAAAACCAAGAAAAGGAAAACAGCAAAAGAAAGAGACGAAAGGGTCTCAAGGTATAGACATTGTATTTTTGCAATTTATTGGTAGTCAGGAGAAAAATAAATGTCAGGACCATCATTGTTGTTGTCATCTTTTTTCACTATCATCTCCATAAACTACCCTCATCATGACCATCATCACTTGTATTATTTTTACCTTAATCTGCTATCATGACTGCAGTCATCATCATCATCATCATCATTATCGTCATCATCACCATTGAGCCACCACAATCAACTTGAGTTACATTCTAATTCACCATGTTCAAAGTAATGTATTAATATTTTGGTTTTTTATTTTTTATATTGATTATTCAACTCACAAAAACTGTATTTTCAGGAGATCTGAATCGCTAGAGAGGACTTTGAAACAGCGAGATGTTCCACGGCAAAGAGCTGCCTCATACTCTCCCCCTGCCAAAAAGTAAGGTTTTTCCTCAGTCTCTTTCCTTTTTTCTATGCAAATTTGAAATTGTTCAAGATAATAAAAATGCCTCTTAATCGTAAATGAGTAACTTGCGGCACAGACATAATCTAACGCTGATTAGTAACGTCTGAGAAGCAGTGATGATATCCTTGTTCTGGGGTCCAACAGAATCAATGAATTACCAGAAAGTCATTTTGAATTTCCCTTCAACAGAATGGGCCAATGACAGTGGTCCTTTTCAACAGGCCAGTCGTGGCACTTACTCAAATCCTGGTACACAGGTGGTGGCTCAGAACAAGAACCTCATCACTGTTTCCAGATGGACGCAACTAAAAGTGTAGTTCCATCTGTGGTGCGGACTACGAATGAGGAGTGCATACATTTGAATTTACCAATCTTTTCTGTAGAAAGACTTACTGTTACAAACTGTATGATGGCTTTTCTGCTCCGTGTTATTGTCCGTTAACATTAGCGTTCTTATATTTCAGCCCCAAGAGATGCCACTCAACGACTACAGACAGTGATCAGGGTAAGATTTAACAATATTTCACTGTTATCACTTTTATTTTCTGCTGGTAAAATTGTGTCAGTCTCTCAGATAAATCAAAATGAAAGATCATAGTCAATTTTAATTTCAACTTTATAGCTTTATCAACTTTTTTGAAGCATGGAACAGTTAACACTAAAGAGTCTTTTCTATGTACATTATACATGTAGGTGAAGATGACTCTGATGATAGCAGAAGGAAAAAGAAAAAGACAAGGAGACACAAGTTAGTATCAATATTATTGTGGTGTTGTTTTTGTTTAGAGTTTTTTTTAGCTTGTTTGAAACTGACACCTGGTTAGCTCATGTGGAGAAAAATTTTCTTGTCTAAGGAAACACAAAGCTTGAACCTGAACCTACAGATCTTAAGGTGCAGAGCCATCACTAAGGGCTGAGACCAGGGATTTCCCCCAGCTTCTATGAATGTGACCCTTGACTACTGTAAAAAGGAAAACAAAAGGAATTTAGAACCAAAAGAACTTCCAATCTGCTCAATCTCCAGAATACTAATTGCACATACCAAGGACCTTTAAATCCAAGCGACACCCTCAAGGGTGTTAACTAGCATGTCATCAGACTTCTAGGCGGTCTCCCTGTCAGCACACTGGCCCTTTCCCAACTGAGATAACTGGGTGGTTAAGGGGAGTTAGACTTAATTTCATGATAAGTACTATTTCCCAACATTATTTTTGTTTATTAAAAACAGAAAAGAGCGCACAAGGGATAAACATCACAGCAAGAAACATAAACGCAAAGAAAAGAGGAAAAGAAAGAAAAAGAAAAGCAGAAAACCAGATTCCTCTTCAGAATCAGACTGAAATTATACTGCATTTTGCTATTGATGGGATCACCATGTAATCCCTACTCAAGTATTCAGCAAGACACATATTCTATGACTTTTCATCGATCACAAATGGCAAAAATAGGAAGCAGAATGTCATTAGTAGCTGGGTGCTACTACAGAAGAACCCCGGTAACTCGCGCTCTGAAGGGACACAAAAAACAGTTAGAGTTAGCGAGGGGCTGAGTTTAACGTGCGATAAAAAAAAAAATCGCCTGATCACAGGTTAGGTCGAGTTATGAGGGTCGATTAAATCTTCAGTTTTTCACATTAATATTGATCAATACATTTTCTGATATATTTTCAGCACTTAAGTATACAACAGAGTGTAAATTAAACTTATCTCATCAGAAATTGTGACGTGATTATACATTTTTATGATAATACAGGGAAATGACTGTCAAATGTGTACACTGTTTACAAATAATTGCTGTAGTGTTAGTTCTAGGGATTTTACTGATTTGCATGACAAGAAAAGCTGATGCGATGACATTCATGGTGAGTTGCAAGAACCACAATTCAGATTATCAAGGTAAATTTTGATCAAGGGCAACAAAATTTAGTTTGAGTTAGCTAGGAATTCGAGTTATCTGGCGAGTAAAAGTGACTGAAAAGTAGGGTCAAATCCAAGTGAAATTGGAATTAGTTTGAGTTAGGGAAGTTTGAGTTATCCGAGTTTGAGTTACCGGGGTCCTCCTGTATTTATTTTTCTGAGGTGTAAGAAGGAGAGTGCTTATTTGAAGGAGGGCGTTATTAATCTATTACATTAAATGACAAACTTGAAGTTTCTTAAAAATTAATTTCAGTGTATGGTACACAAATTTCATTTCCAGTAAATTTTACCGGTCCACTTCATTTCTGGTGTCACTCTTCTCAAACACTGTGGTCAAAGATGCCGTATCAGGTGCCATATATTTTATTTTTATCCTATAATATTCATTCTTTCTTGAGGAGAGGGTTGTGCTTATTACAAGGGGATACTGTTTTGAGGTATTTTATTTGGATGACACTTCAGATGTATTTCAAGCATTTAAATTAAAGTACTCACTTCTACACAACAACTTTACTCGTCTTGTGGCTCTGCTATAATTTATTCAAACATATTTATAACTTTGTAGACATGGTCTACAGACAAAAATAAATATACACCAATGAAGAAAAAATATAACCTTCCTTTACATTCTAACTAGTTTCTTACAAACAAATGCAATTTTTCATTTAATAGTTTTGAAAAGGGCTTTAAATAAGGTTTATGTGTCACCAAACTAAAGGCCAACTTCTTTTTCATTGGAAAATATAGATTCATCTTTAGGGTGTAAAATTACAAAAACTAAATGGCTACAGATGGGCTAGTTATTTCTAAAATTTTACAAAGAGAAATTTGGAATTTTTGGTGAATTTTCACTTTGGCTACTGAAAGAGTAGACTGCAATGAAACTAAACTTCTCGTTCAGTCCATCTGCAAAACAGCACCAAAATCCTTATTCTAGGCCCCAACCTGTGTATGCCGTTTTGAGTACATGCCCTGATTGGCCTATTCAAAAAGCCATAATTCAGTTGGCTAATTAGGTTGAAGGGAAACTCGAAAATAAAAATACACGTCTGGTAATTCATTGAGTCCACTGACAGATCTTGGTGCTGCTTTGCAGACACTACTACAACAACAGAAGGTGTTTGGAGAATTATTTTATCCTCATGATCCCTTTTCTCTGGACAAATTATACGACTGTAAGTTCGTCGAATGCCATCAATAGCTTTCAGGAAGATGTCCAATAAGCAAGGCTGTACCTAGGCTTGATTACCAGCTGTTTGATGTGTCCACCACATTTTTTTCTCGCAAAACACAAGGACGATACAAACTAGACTCCCTAAAATGACAGGAAATCCAGCCTAGACTGTGCCTTGAGAAAATTATACCTGCACCAAGCATTATGTTTTGTGCAATAACTAAGATTTCCTTGACACCCAAAAGTGCTTCACCTTGCCAGGGAATACTACCTAGAGCTAGTGTACATAATTAACTTGGTGTTTTAAGATAAAGAGACAAAAATGAAACAAAGGTTTTTCTTTTTTGTTTCTACTTAAATAACAATCTATTATTAAAGTGTTTTTGTAAATTCATTTTATAGAGATTCTATTAAAGGTTTAACAATATCACTGAAGCTTTTGAAATGGGAAATTTTAAGAAATATTTATTTTTGTAAGAGAGAATTTTAACATTTTTCCTGTCTACAAAAATCTTCCTCCTCTACAACCTTGAATATCTCAACAAAATTGAGCGCTCTTTCCTCCATTTAAGGTAAAATCGACCTCTGAATATTTTTTTCATTCAACACATAAATTGTTGTTTGATAGCCAGGGCTAATGGAGCCATCCTATGGGCTAGCGTGTGTTAATATTAGCCAAATTGTGAGTTGTCCCATGGGCAAGGAACCTTTGCCAAGATAAGAAACTGTCTGTGACAAAGAGGGTTGGTATGCCTGCCGAATTTATTGTTCCATGCTACTGATCTTATGCAATGGGCAAGCAATTCATAAAATGTTCATCTCACCCTGCATGCATTTAATTGCATGATGCATAAAATGCTCAGTCATTGAGCAACCATAACAAGGAGAAATTTATACTGATAATAAAATTATAAGACTGCCAGTCTTTTAATCAGTTATGACATGGAGTGTTATCTCAAGTCCACCATCATTGCTGCAGGATTTTCAAGATATGATTTCCACAGATTAGAGAATCTTGCCATGGTAGCTCCTTCTATGACTCTGTGATCAGCTGACCAGCTCACATTGACTATGTACGCCTTGTATACATTGTCTTTATCGTCAAACCTGGGTAATTCCTGTGAAAGGTTTGAACACAGGAGTCATTTAATAAGTAGGTTGAGTAAGATTGTCAGGGTGGAAAACAGCTAACAAAGGTTTGCAGATGTTTATACATGTTTTTGGTGATGAGAGCCCTCCAGCACAACAGCTGACATCGCTGAGAGAAACTGGGCTAAAGAACCTTAGAGATCTTGAAAGTTGCATGAGAGATCAAACCTTATGGGGCAAGTTTTCTTCCTGTTGTCTTTTAGGCATCGAATGGAAGTACATGTAAGTATGTAATCTATGCTTTTATAATAGCTAGACTCCTGGCATGGTTCAAATTTAAAATTTAACATTCAAAGTATTGCATTGATTGGTTTCTTCCTTCTGGTTATTCCTTGCCCTAAGGCAAAACCCAAAGTTTAAAAAACATCCACAACTACAGGGTTCTCAATAGATTTTTAAGTAGGAGGTGATCACTGATAAAGTAGGAGGCTCTTCAGCAAAGCCAGAGGTGTCAAAACAAAGCAAAGAAAAGCGACTTAAACACAAAGTAAGCGGCTATAAATCCCAAAGTAAGCGGCGATCAATCGCCGGGTGCCGCCTTCTATTGAGAACCCTGCAACTATCAACAACCTTGATCAATGTTTAGTACCAGAATTTCCCGCATCTAAAATTTTCCAGAAAACTTCTGTACCATTTAGTTCTTGTTTTAAAATATCTGAATTTATATACTGAAGACATGGACTGCATCTTGTCTAGCCAGCTGGTAAATAATGAACACATCTAAATGCAATTGAAGGAGACATGTTGAGCAGCGTCTCATAAACACAAAAGTCTAAATCAAGCCTATGTTACACTGTGTACTAACCTGTAGTCTCCCAATTGCACCAATGGCTACCTCTGGTGGCATGATCACTGGTTTAGCATATGTTCCTCCAATCTATAGTTGATAAAGACCCAGGAAAATGCACCAAGTTAGTCCGTATCAACCTACATGCATGACATGAGATTGGTTCCACTACTTTCTGTAATCAGAGCTCTCAAGCGTCAACTCCCAGCAGGGAGGTTGGTCTTAAGGGTCTTTGTTTTCAAGAGATCCCCCGGGAATCCTCAGCCTATACCAGACCTAGCCTGTGTACAGACCCCCCTCCCCTCAGTAAAAATCAGTTCTACTGAGGGGAGGGGGGTTCTGTATACAGGCTATACCAGACCTAGTTCAGGTGAATTTTGCAACCCTGTACTAGAATATACCCCCCAAATGTCCTCTTATCCTACAGTTAAAATTCTCCAGAAACTACCGAGGTTCTACGTTTCTTTGCTATTGATGTAAATTAAGGTGCGGGTAAATTAAAATTTGCCAGTTTCATATTTGTGAGTGTTTATTCCCAGTTTCCTAGTCTAGACTAAAATCTTCAACCAGATGATCAGTTTCTTGGTAAAAGGTACCCTATCCTAAGGATTCTCTTATTTTTATACCCTATCCCACACTAAACCTCTTGAAAATCATACCCTTCACAGCGGCACATACCTATATAGTCCATATATCACAGTAACCCCCCACCCCACCCAGGTATCAACTCTTGTTATTGCATACAGTGTATTTTGAGATAAGCACTCACTGTTCCAATGTTTGATAGAGTGAAAGTCCCTCCTGACAAATCATCTGGGGATAACTTTCCGCTGAGTCCCAGCTGATGAAGTCTGTTAAGTTCAACAGCAATATCAAATACTGATTTGTTCTGGACATTTTTAATATTCGGCACTAATAAGCCTTGCTGAGTATCCATGGCAACACCAATATTGTGGGAACCCTGAAAAATATATACAAACAAATGTTCAGTTCAGAGCTCTGAAAATGGCCAAAGTATTTGTCTGCAAGAGAGTTGGTTTCCGTTCTATGATTTGAAAATGTACCATCTCTCAACGTCCTCCAAAATTTTTTTTCAGAGTCGTTAACAGCATTTTCACCACACAACCGACCTTGAAAGTGAGATTCTCGCATTCTGCATCCACTGAACTATTGAGTACTGGAAAGTGTAACAAGGCCATGGATGTTGCCTTGATAAATAATGGCATAAATGATAGCTTTACTCCTCTGTTCTGGAATGATTCTTTACTCTGGTTTCTTAACCTGGAAGAGAGAAAAATACTATGTGACCATAAAATAATCATTGTACCATATGATTACTAAACAACTTATTAACCTTGTTACTCCAAAGAGGTGCCCAAGATAAAAGAAAAAACAATAAAAAGCAGTTGCTTATAACCATTTTCGGAAAAGTGTACTGAAGAAGAGGTCTCATTAAACAAGCCCAGTGTCTTCAGGAAGGGTTGAGTTTGTTGCTGGTTCTTTTTCGATGTAAGAGGTTTTTTCTGGGTACTCCAGTTTTCTCCTAAAAAAACCAACGTTTCAAAATTCCAATTCCCCGTTGGTATTTAACCCATCTTTATGTCTTATGTCACCATTTCATCTGTCTTATGTCGCTGTTTCAAGGCCATGTCGCTTGTCGGAATTTTACCCTAACAGCTAATACTGGTATTTAAAACAATGAAACAGCGCAGACAGAAAAATCCTGTGGAGAGTGAACTTTCATCTCATGTAAAAATATTGTTTAACTTGAAGAAATTTGCATAGCTGCTGATCACGTGAGTAAAAACAATCTATAGAAGGTACTTACTTGCCTGTGTACAAATGCCCCCCTCCTCTCAGAAAAAACTGGGGAGACAGACTCTCTCCCCCATTTTTTTTGAGGGGAGGGGGACGTCTGTACACAGGCGAGGTACTTACCGGACCAGCTCATTTAGAACTATTTCATCGTTGTAGCCAAAATGAGGGATTGCATTAGATGCAGTCATTACTTTGGCCATAGCTTTTCTAATTCCTCTGATTGGTTCTGTTCTATCCTCCAGCATTGTTTCAGGTCTTCTGACTGGAGTGGGTGGGGCAGTGGGGACTGCTTCTTGCACATCAACTGCAGGGGTCGAAGGAGCTGTAAAGACACATAATTGGCATAAAAGGTCGGTGAGTCATGGAGATTTCTTGTAAAGTCACATCAACTATCTATACCAAAGATACAGATCCAGTGACCTTGTCAGTTTATAAATGTTTGATGTTCCCAGAAGATAATCGAAGATCATCACTGGTCAAAGGTTGAAGACTTATCTAATTAATCTGACTTTTCAATTTCTTCAGTATAAGTTTAGCCTCAAGAATCAAAGTCTGTTATAAAAAATAATTTTCCATTTGCTGCTCAGCTGCTCAAACTTGATTGTTGACTGGGTTATAAGTTATTCCAGAAAAAATCCACACTCCCCTAACAGACAGTAGAGATATGTAATTTTGCAAATTTTGCAGTTTATTGAATTCTAGATTTTTGCATTTCCGAACATTGAAATTCTGAATTTTGGCTTTTCCGAACATTGGAATTCTGGATTTTGGCTTTTCCAAAGATTGGAATTCTGGACTTTGGCTTTTCCAAACATTGGAATTCTTGTTGCTGCCTTTTCCAAACATTGGAGTTCTGAATAATTGCTTATCCAGGCATTAAAATTCTGGATTTTATTCATAACGAATTGGCAGCTATATATAAAAGATGATCTAAATGCCACTAAGACTGCGAGTTCAACATTGATGGTGAATGGAAGTATTATTATGGAATGCTGTATGGGAGGAGGTCCAATCCACATGGTTCAATCCTGATGACATTAATTGTGATGGCGTACTTACCTGCAGGTGCAGGTGCTGATTTCATTTTTTCAATGTAATTCATAATATCTTCTTTCAAGATTCTACCATCTTTGCCTGTTCCTGAAACATCCGCCAGAGTTATCTAGAAAAGCAGCACATGAACTCGAAATTAAAATTATAGTTTTCAAGTGGCAAAGAGATCAAGCAAGCCAGTGAGTTGGTTTTGTGTCAGAAATACTGAAAGAATGGGTGGTCAGCTTTGTAGCTGGGCAAAGCATTCCACTTACATGGTGCTCCATTGCAATCTTGCGCACTGCAGGAGTGGCAAGAACTTTTCCACTACCACTCTTCATCTGTTCTGAAGCTTGTGGGGGAGGGGATGAGGGAGCCATAGATTGTGATGCTGTTGACTGTGGGGATGGGGGTGGTGGAGGAAGAGGTTCTTCTATAGCATGTGTTGGTTTGGGCTTCTGCTGGGCAGCCATGACATCTTCAGCTGGGCTCGGAACTTTGTCAGCATCTAAAAACGAGAACAATGATTTGAGAGGTACAGTCTGTACATACTGAACAAAGTTACATCAGTGGAATTCACGTACAATGGATGGTAGATGGTAAATGAGAATTGAAGTTTTCAAAAGCAAGTCTCAATGTTTTTTAATTATCACACTTTCAGTTTGAAGCTTTTTACATCTTAAGTCAAAAAGGGCAGATACGCATAATTTATCATGTAGTTCTAACTTTGATTCTACGGATGTAATCCTTGAGTGCGATTGAGAGTGTCCTTTGAAATGAAATCTTCTGAGCAGTACTTTCCTGTAGCACTGCATATCACGCTGTATAAGGTGAGTCTGTACAAGAAATCCTTATAACCCAATAATAACCTCTTCCACAGTACTTTCACATGAAGCTAGATTTAGTGCTTAGTATGGCACACACTCTTCTTGAGGATGCTAGGTTTGCAACTGTTAGAGAACTGAGAACAAGAATGCTGGAGAAATGTGACTGGCAAGAGATGGCAATCAACAGGCAAGGGATGGCACTTAACCAAACTAACTAAGCTAATGCACCAAATTACAATTAGGCTTTTCAGCAAAATTTAATTACAGACACTCCTGGCAATAAAGGCAGGGTATAAACTTACTGGTCTCTGTGGAGGAGGTGATCTCTATATCCACCAGGGGCTGTCCAACTTTAGCTGTATTATCTACTTCATAATAAAGTTTGGTGATGATTCCATCAAAACGACTGGTGATGGTAACAGATGCCTAACATATCAACAAACAGAATGAAGTTTGTTTGTCTGTAATCTAAGGGTCCACAATTATTGTAACTAAATGTTAGGTAAACACTACGGGCTTCATAGCTTCAGGTCAATAATTCATTGGCTGTTTTCTCAGCTCTTACGCAAACTGAACTGTAGAGTAATAAAAAATCTCTACTTTTTTCTGTGTATGCAAATAACTAAGTCAAACTAACTCTCTCAAACTCTTTCAGAAAACCAGCTACTCAAGGTCAATGTTCTGAAAATTCTAACAAAATACTACAGCCAGAGAAAAAACAACAATATCAATACAGTAGAATCCTGATTTCTTGAACCCTCGCTTTTTGGAATTCATGATAATTTGAACCAAACCTTACTTCCCTTCACCACATTTTACTAGAACCAAGGTGGTTCAAGAATTTGAGACTTAACTGTTATTAATGTTCACTGAAAATAAGATGTATATGCTGTGGGTTGCCTGTACCTTATGTGCACAGCTCTACCAACCTTATCACTCTGTACTTCACAAATGCTGTCAAACTGACTGACATGATCACCTGGCTTCACAAACCTAAAGAGAAAACACAAATAGGTCTCTTCTCTGATCTAAATTAACAGAACCCTCAATTTTTATTGGTTTCTAAACCTGATTTCACCCTTTCACTGCCAAATGTGGCCAAATGCAAAATCTGACAAACAAAATAAAATTAATAGCAAAACAACAAAAAAACTGCACCATGAAGAAACAAACAGTACCATGTGAAAGTACAGGTAGAGAGGTTTCATTGGAATGGTCACTACATAGGATTTTGTCCTTGGACTCAAAAGTTAGAGTCACCTTACAAAACTCCATTATTCACTCTGGCAGTAAAAGGGTTGAACCACCTCTTGACCAGAAAATTTTGATGTGGACTAAATGTTATGGTCTCCAAAAAAAACGAACAATCATGTCTGTACAAATATTTTTAAACTTGCATTTATCTTTTCAGAGATTAAGAATAATTATTTCTTTTTCCAGATTAAATTATATATCATTTTTATTACTATTTAATTCACAGATATAGGTTGCAAGGCAAGAGAAAGTACAAAAGAACATCTCATACCATTCTTTGATTGTTACTTCAGCTATTCCTTCTCCTATGTCAGATAATTTGAATGGCAGAATTTCTCCATTCATACCTTAAAAAACAAACAAACAAACAGATTATCAGTACATAACAATCACAGCCATACAAAATTATTAATAAATGATTCACTCTGTGGCTAGAATGATTGAAAACAAAAAAGAATGATGGTTGCATTGGTAACTGGCAAGAAAAGATGAGAATGCTCTTTTGCCAGTCCAGCATTTCTAATCAAATTAGTTGTAGCATATTATCAATGAGAAAAAGTTTTTGCCTCATGTAAAAGTACAGAAGGGTTCTCTCTTTAACTAGTTTTCCCGTCAGGTACCTCATTATTCTTTAATTTTTTTGTGTTTTTTAATTTGTAACCGATTGTACCTTGCAAACTGTTCACTTGAATGACACAAATAAGTTTGTGTTAATGAAAAAGGAACCCTCTTCAAGATATTTACTCTCCAAACCCTAAGGAAAAATTCTACCCCTCCCCCGACACACCCCCAACAAACTTAGACACTTTTACGAGTTTTTGTAAAGATCTGTCACTGAGAGGGCGGTAAAATAATACATATAGAACGCCAAATTGTTGATGACTGGTATAAGTAAAAACAGAAATAAGTTAAAACAAGATCATCACACAAATCGAGATGACAAAATAATCTTATTAATGTTCAGCTGATAGAGAAATGTTCAAACAAACCTGAGGTTGTTCTTAGAAATCGCAAAGCCTGTCCTTGGTTTACCATCCTCTGAAAGTTTAAACGGAATAGGAAACACGCTTATTCTTAGAAAAATAATAATAATAAAATATTGCAACAAGATTTCTTGAATACTCGAGAGGTTACCTTATCAAAACTGATCGCGTTCAGCTGGAAGGATGCATGAGGCAAAATCGATCGCGTCCTAGCAAGACTTGGCCGGCTCTGAAAAAAGTAAGTCGTCATTTCAAAGAATCAAGGCAAAGAAAGTTTGTGGTACACTGATCGTCTTACCTGTGAGCAAAGAAGGCGAAGATTCCTTCTAAAAGTCAAGTTTCTTAACAAGGTCAGTCGGGACGCCATCTTGAATTTGATCCACGTGGAGTTGTTTTCACGGCTGCGCTTCCAGGCAAAGCCGCTGTTCGGTCTAGCACATTGTTGTCACTGTCAAATATAAAAGCAGTTTGTTAGGAAAAGTAACTATTTCTCTCTTTTTTGGACGTCATGAGCAACATATACATCCAGGAACCCCCTACAAATGGAAAGGTAAGATGCTTATGTCCATAATTGTTAGGAAATAAACTGATGTCAATCTGGTCGACATTGGGTATGGTTTCATTCAGTGTTTTTTCGTCTACTTTTCACAAATTTAAGCTTACCAACTATTAAAATAATCATTTGATTAATTTTAAACTTTTTGTAATTTACTTTAGGTGCTTCTCATCACAACATGCGGTGAAATTGATATTGAACTGTGGTCAAAAGAAGCCCCAAAAGCTTGCAGAAATTTCATTCAGCTCTGTTTAGAAGGGTATTATGATGGGACTATCTTTCATAGAATTGTCAAAGGTAAAGCCCCTCCTTGAAAGAAATTCATGGTGAAGCTGAACAGTTAAAACTAATTGTCATGTCAGGGCTAGTGATACTTTTGGATGAGGGTGTTTTGAACTATAGTGATCTCAAATATGCTTTCAGTCACTTAAACAATCAGATCATCACCAAATCTCATAAATGGAAAATGTATGATTTGGATATAATATACAAATGCAAAGGATGAAAATTAAGTTATAACATGGGGTTTCATGCACTAAGTGATCATCAGACTAAAAGTTCTAAAAACAGATTTCAGGTGGAAATTTAAAATTCATGGAGGGTTGGAGCAGCACCTTTTGTGATTGGTTGCAAAGAACTTGTTTTTGTGACACATTTAGCAGGTTTAGCATCTCTAGTCGTACAATAACAATGTAAGCCATGGATCTTGTTTTATTTTATTTCAGGATTTTGTGCCCAAGGAGGAGACCCAACTGGAACAGGAATGGGTGAGCAAGAAATTTGATTCCAGTAAGAGTAATTAGGGAAACTAAAGCATGTTGAAAACAACCCAGGGTTTTGCACTTGCCCTTGGTCAACTAGAAAATCACCCTTATCTTATTTTGTCTTCTTCTTGATGGAGAAAGAGAAAAAGAGGCTCTGACAGAATCACGACAATCCTTTGAATCAAAGTAGCTGCAGCCCAAACTTCTGGACTAGTCAATCTGGTTTTCTCTTGTCAAACTGAGTTTTTGTGTGTGTGTATCCATTTATGGATAAAACAATGTTCATAACAGAACCTGCTGTACCAAGGGCAGGGATATTAGGTCCGGCTTTGAAACTGTATCCTAGCAACATTTAAAGCATACTCAGCATCTTACTTGATCACTGTCTTGGTCTTGGAAAAAAATATGCATCCTACTCCCTTAGTTTGCATATAGCTAGAAACCAATGTACTTTTTCCGTAGCTCTAACAGTTAATACCCTTTTTACATGCATTAATACAGGAGGGGAGTCCATTTATGGTCAGCCATTCAAGGTGAATATAAATTATTTCTTGTTTAAACTGGTAATCATTGAATGATGATGATGATGATGATGATGGTAGTGTTGGTGGTGGTGGTGGTGGTGCCAGTGCTGCTGGGGTGCTGGTGGTGACTGAGCTGGTGCTGCTGTGGTGGTGGTAGTGGTGGTGCCACTGCTGCTATGGTGGTGGTGGTGGTAATGGTGATAATGGTGGTAGTGCTCATATTGACTCTGGTGTTGCTTTTGGTATTGCTGGTGCCGGTGGATGGTGATGATGATGATGATGATGATGAAGATGATAATGATTATAATCTGGGAAAATTTCAATTCCAAACTATGTTTTAAAATTATTGTCAGTGGCAAAATAATTTTTTTTTTATACTGAGTGACAAAATATTAATAATATTGATGATGTTATATTATTTTTATATATGCTCTGCAGTCTTGTATTAGCTCAAAGCTGGCTAGTGAAGTGGGCTTGAGTAATATTGTCTGACAACAAATTTAAATTCCAATTGAATGTGCAAGTAACAGATCAAAACATCACAACATGTAGGGGCAATCCAGTTGGCCATTTAAAGAGTGGTAAAACTTTGAGCTACCTACTCAAGGAAAATTCACTTTGATTTGAGTGGGATTGATACCTTGACGGTGATTATGCTGTATTGCTATCTTTATATATAAAATAACTAAGATAGTACACATGTTCTGATTGGCCGAGATGCATGTTTGCATGAGAGTATGGTTGTGACACCAAGATGTTTTGCTTTTCATGTGCTAATCATGCAAGCACTCGACGGGTTGCATAACTGAATTCTCCAACCCCTCTCGTGTTTATATCAGGCTATGCAAACACGGAAAATGTTTTTTTTTTGCTTAAATCTTACAACCTATATTTTTTGTAGGATGAATTTCACCAAAGATTACGGTTTGTACGTAGAGGGTTGGTTGCCATGGCTAATGCTGGTCCTAATGATAATCAAAGCCAGTTCTTCTTCACACTTGGAGCCACACCCGAGTTGAATGGAAAGCATACAATATTTGGAAAGGTAATGTTGAAGGGCTCCCTGCAAAAATGGTCCCTCTAACATGGAAATGAGGGAGTATGTTGGTATGTTGAATGCTGTGTAAATTTTTCCTTTTAAGGTTGCAGGGAATACAATTTACAACATGATTAAGATGGAGGACTGTGAAGTTGATGGAGATGACAGGCCACTTTTTCCACCAAAAATCAAGAAAACTGAGGTGAGATTATGATCTGTTATTGTGAGTCACTTAAGCTGTATATAATTTTCATTTAGAAAACCCTGTTTTTGCAAGATAATAGGAGTTTGTGTACTACTGTAAAGTGTGGAGGTGACAAAAACAAAGATGAATGCTAGAGTTGTTAAGTCCATAATTTGTGCATTTGTGTATTTTTAGAAAATCCCCATATTCCACCCTCACCACAAAAGATATTGGAAATTCCTTAGGGGTGGGAGGGCGGGTTAAGGAAAGGGGTCTTTAAAAAAGCCAGAGTGACCAACTTAAAGCATAAGTACATAATCACAAAGAAAGGTTGTGAGCATTATTTATAAAAATTATGATCAACCAGAGAAAAATGTTTTGATCATTTAAAAAATTCTCTCAACTATTTGTTTAAGAAAATGTATTGGGTTCTGAGTTTGGAGAAGTCGTCTGTGGATACTGGAGCTTGAAGGGCTCTAATATAATAATTAATTATTATTAAAGAACCTCTTTAGAGACCTCTAAATAGTTATATTTTATTACCTTTTCTTGTTAGATCTTGCATAATCCCTTTGATGACATTGTTCCAAGGCAAACAAAAGAGGAAATTAAAGTAACAAGGGAAGAAAAGAAACGAAAAGTTAAAGGAACAAAGTAAGGCTCTTCAAAGGTTTCAAGAATTTAATCGCTTGCTTATGTCATCGTACAAGAGAGTGTTCAGTTCAGTGCAATGACTGATCAACAAATCATTGCTTTTGACAGGAATTTCAGTCTGTTGTCATTTGGCGAGGAGGCTGAAGAAGATGAATCAACAGTGGCCTCAGTTTCTAAGGTTGGATTACTTAATACTGTATTGTGTAGTTTTTTCCCCCATGAGTAGAAAAAAATATTTTTTTCATGAATTTTCTTGCCATAAATATGATATATATATGAGAAGAGTCATTTCTTCTCTTACCCGTGAAAATCACATCCTCCCACCTAGCTGCCATTGCTTTTCGTTTCTTTGATATCATTGTTTCTTTTCTCATAGCAGCACTATTAGGGGTGACGAATGGTAAAATCCGAGCCTTGCCGAGACGCCGAGACCCTAGTTTAAAAATCCGAGCCCGAGCCTTGAATTTGTTTGTAAAATCCGAGCCCGAGTCTTAGCGCTAAAAAAATCCGAGCCCGAGATGCACTTGATCCGAAAATACGAGATACAGCGCTCTGAGCTTTTGTGGGCATCACAACAAATATTTTTCCACTCATCCCAAAACATTGGTTTTGTATTAAAACCATTAACTTATAGCTACTTATCTAGTCTACTTAGTCTACCAGTCAGAGACATAAAATTAAACGTATTAAGTAACGCATTACTGCCTATAGTCTACTTATTAACCTGGTTAGTTACTTTATAAACTAGTTAAACTAATGATTCGACATTCTGCCTGGTTTAAAATTCACACGCCTTCTGATAGCTTCTGATCTGTCGGCTTCTGGCACGCGTAAATCTGCGAACGATCGGCTTTCGACTAGCTACTACTGCAAATGGCAGAGAGTGAAGAGGAAATAGAAGAGGGTTTTGAAGCAACGAAAGGAATTAAACGCAAATACGGTAAGTTATAAGATCGTCTTGCTTAGAGCTTAAAGTGCATTACTATTTGCTGCTATTAGCTACTATTACCGTCGCAGCTCGTCGATCGGACTATTAGCTTCTATTTGTAGCTTTTAACAACGTCGTCGAACGATGCGTTTTGTTCGATTCGTGTATCGCAGAGCTTGCTATTTTTGTCAGCCATGTTAGTAAAGCTTAGTTAGCTTTAGTTCATGTTGTACTTCGGACTATATCTGGCAACAATACGTACGCTCGACAGAAATCCATTAACGACTCTTTAAGAGATGCGTCAGGAAATCCTAGGATCTATGCCAATAACTGAAGCAACTAATGAAGAGGAAAATGAGGTTGACATCAACGACACTTCTGTCAACTTTGATGGATCTGATGTCGGTGACAAAGAAGCTAACATGGTCCTGGTTAAAAATTCTGTCATTCTAATTTCTCAAGATGACCGAGTGTCAGGTTCATTTTTACTTGGAAGCCTGGCACAAGACTGGCGCAGAAATACTATGGAGACGGTGAGAACACATGTCTATGCTCCTGATGAAGAAGATTTTTTGCTTTTTCATTACGAGTTTACTGGGCTTGTGAGAAAGGCAAACGTTGTTCAAGAGGTCGGCACCGAAAACGATAAGTTGATGTATTTGGATGATGATTTCCACATGGAAATAAGCGATGATTTATATCATCAGTGTCTGGATCTGGTGTACGACAAAGATGAAGCAGGCACAGAGGCTACTGCCACTGATACAGCAAGAGAAACATCTACAGGCCGAGTACTTCGACTCCCTCACCGTTTCCGGGAGTGATACTACTCTCTACACTCCAGAAATGCTTACCGTAAACACCGGTGTATAAGCGGCACTCGTAGATAAGCCGCACCCCGAGTTTGAAGCTCAAATTTTCGGAAAAAAAGTTTTTTGAAATAAAAACGTAAGTCAGAGAATTGGCTGTTAGAAACTCAATGCTCACGTTCGTGCGTTACGTGTTCGATGCGGATCTTGTTGCTCAATTTGATTTTTGGTCTCGGAGGCGCTCTGGCAGCTCTGTAAGACAAACAAGACTAACTTTTCTACATCATCTTAAGTTAAAGAAGTTTTGTTCCACGTTATACACCTCAAATGAATAAAGGCTCAAAAAGTCTGGTCTCATCACTGGAAAGTACGATCTATAAACTATGATTTGCAGAACTCAGCAGATGTTTCCGTAGATAAGCCACACCCCCGATTTTGAGCAAAAATTTTCGGCAAAAAAGTGCGGCTTATACACCGGTGTTTACGGTACTATCGCAATAATACAAGGATACACTTTCATTGGTGGGTTGAGCGCTTCCAGCATCACTAGGTTAGTAAGACTTATAGCTAATATTCAATTACATTATTGATATAAGTAAGCGGGAAAATAAGCAACATTTCCAAAATAATTTCAGTGTAGGTCTTTAAATCATTCGGGCCAAGAACAGTTCAATTCTCAAACGATTGTCGTTGGGTACCCATGTACTATCATGACATGATTTCCTCTATAAAGTAAGTGGAAATTACTGTTTCCTATATCTTACATAACAATTGTAAATGCAGATTCCGGCAGGGGTAAATTTCTTAATTTCTCGTTTCGGATAAGCTTGCGGATAAAAAATTGAACGTCCCAGTGGCGAGATTTCGAGATCCAAATTTTCAAAATCCGAGACTCCGAGATCCAAATTTTCAAAATCCGAGACTCCGAGACCGTCATATTTCTGGGAAATCCGAGATTCCGAGACGCTTTTTTTAAGCGCCGAGATTACGAGACTCGGCTTAAATTTGCCGAGATTCAACATTTTTGAAAGGCCATTCGTCACCCCTACTATTGATCATTATTACGTTTTGTAGTTTTCAATGTTACACATACACCCAGGGGGGGGGTACTCGGGATTTCAAGTGACGGGGATGATCGAATGGAGCCAAAAGTCAAGACCCAAAAAAATCCCTAGGGCTTCCAGCAAAACCCAAAAAAATCCCTGGACCAAAAATGCAGACTATTGTATAACACGTGCGATGTAAAGCGACACCATAGTTAACTATTAAACAACAGCAAAACACGTTTGTTTGTACTTTACTCGCAGAACTACGCAGCCAGGGCACTACCGATTCTTTTTAATACCCCCAAAAAATCCCTACTCAAATCAAGCTACCCAAAAAAATACTTGCCAAATTTTCGTACCCAAAAAAATCCCGGAATCAAAAATTTCAAACCCAAAAAAATCCTTCGATCATCCCCGTCACTTGAAATCCCGAGTATCCCCCCTGGGCACATACATTAATTTGACACGCTTGTAAACAACCCAGGAATGCCCATGTGAAATGATAGGGATGCTTGTTTAATTTAACTGCATAGTTTTGCTTACTGGTTCGTAGACAATGAAAATGAAGAGCAGTCACGATGTATTGCAAGATCCAAAGCTGAGTTCACAGCCAGTTGTTGAGACTACAGCTGCTGTGTTAAAGGTATGATAGGCTACAGCTGTCTGTATATTGTTAAGATGATGTTGAATCTTCCATGATAGCCTGTGAGCAAGCTCTCCGGGGCACTCTAGCAGGGGTGTATATATAAATGCAAAATTTGCAATAAATTTACACTACAGTTATAAGAAAAATTTAGCCATAAAGTCAGTTTGTATACCCCCGGTATTCTACAAACCGAGAACTTAGCCATTAATTAACGGCTAAATATTTTCTTTCTTATAGAAATTATTTAGCCATTAATTAACGGCTAAACATTTCCTATACAGGCAGGGGGGCGGGAAAAAGAAAGAGAGCTTGCAACTACAACTCTGGAATTTGAATATCTGCATCGAAAAAGCCGATGCGAAATGCTGATTGGCAGAGATGACATTAGTTGTGTTATTATTAAATTAGGCTGAAGAAATATTTCGTTTCTATTGCAAAAAGATCCTCCATTCGAGTACGCACCATACATGACCTTACGCACATGCACATTCTTTTGAATCTTTAAAACATACCTTCAAATACAGACTTTAATTTTGATAGGTTCTTCTCTCCAACCACTCTCCGACAAATTCGTGCATTTTACTTCGAAAATACGTAGTCTTGAGTTTCGCAGCTTCGTGCAAACCGCGCGAAAAATAACATGTACTTTACAAAATCAAAGACAAGTGATTTTTGATTTGCCCTACCCCCTACCCCCGGGACAGGACCGGTTCAAACAATTCCCCACCCCCAGAACCGAACTGCTGGACCTGTCCTGGGGGTTGCCCGGGGGAGGATGGTAACAGGTCGAATTGAACCATTCATTTACACCAGGATGACCCTAACATTTCTGGGTAATTGTGCCGTAGTAGGCCACTTAGCTTTATTTGGAGCCAAAACGGAGCCTAAAAACAAAATTGCTAACAATACATCAGAAAAATGTTAACGGAGTTTTGGATAGGTCGGGAAAAGCCCCTACGGAAAAAAAAAGGGGAAAAGGGAAGGGGGAAAAAGAGGGGAAAACGAGGAAACATGACCCAAAAACTACGATACCGAAAAGAAAATTACAATCTAAAGTTAAACTTACACGCAGAAAAGGAACAGTAACGACCGAGGATAACTTACATACTATACAGTCTCTATTTATACAAAAATACTAGTTTCACTCTGCACGTATTTAACATACAATTGCTTTCAAAAATTCCTGGTTACGTAGTCATTCAAAGCATCTCACAAATAATCAACAGCAAAAATAACAGCGAACAGAAATCAATTCTCGTGTAATGCTTCGCAACCGAAGATAATTTACAGTGCTCGCAGTCTGTGTGAATCCTGTCAAGCGACCGTCTTTGACCTCTTGTAAGATGCAAAAATCACATGACCCCTCCCCCCCCGTACTATGGAGACGCAATGTACAGAAAAAGGTAGAAGATAAGTTTATTGAGTTTATTGGACTTGTCTCGCCCTTCCTACTCTACGTCTTTTGGCTCTCAAAGGTCTGACGTTATACACTCCACTGGGAAAACAATGTCCTGTGTAAACTATAGTGAGAACCAAAGGACAAGTTAGATTAAGCCAAATAAAAGACGAAAGTAAAACTAGATTACATCTGCGGCTTAATAAATAAAGTGATCCCTCCCCTCTGTTTTGTTTCAAATTTATGGTTGCTTCTCGTTCCTCGTAGTCTGCGAAAACAGACGTTTCTCCTCGTTCATCGCCGCTGGGGCACGTTTCGCGACGAGGTAACGTCCCAAACGGCGAGGATCGAGGAGAAACGTCTGTTTTCGCAGGCTACGTTCCTGGAGATTTTTGCTTCTCATGGCTCCGTCGCTCACAAAACTAATATTTGTGGTTCCCTTAGTACGGCGCCGCTTAACAGGGTATGGTTTTTAGGGCCTCACCATTTCACCTCTTGAACTGGGTGTATTTTTGGATTAAATTAACTGCAAAAACCGTGGACGAAGATCCTACTAGTTGTAAACGTTGGATCTCTAGAAAAGCGATCTAATCAGCCAAAATATAAGGAACCAAGAACGAGAAGTCTAAAGACTACTGCAAAGCTGATTTAAGACAACGTGTATTGTTTTTTATAACAATATTTCGGCTGGCCGTACCAGCCTTCTGCAGGTTTACAGACGTTACAGAACTTATGTAGCAATCACAATATTACATAAATGGAGAATGTCGCAAAAAAAAAATTGTTTAAAAGGGAGAGGCGGAAATGACGTACAACACAAAAACTGGAAAGGAAAAATACTAACTGAAGAGATGGATTACAATAATTCGTCACGGCGGTTTAGGCCATGAGATTCAAGGGTCATGGCCTTATCTATCAAAGGCGACTCCCTGGCCTTACGAACTGAGTAACGTGAAGAATGAATTTTCTCAAGTGGGATTAACTGCATGTCAGTATGAGAATGTATTTTTGGAACAGGAGTCTTAAAAACGGATTGTGAGGGTTAGAGATGTGGGGTCTTCACGAGTGGTACTTACAAGGTATTTTCAAAAAATCTAACTCCATGGTGTTTGGTTAAAAAACACCAATTTGTTGTGTGAAACGAAATGAATAAGGATCGTGAAAGTTAGTCACACCCTGGTCACAAGCAAAAGCAGGGTAGTTAATCAGGGCCTACCATGCTACCCGCCCCCCAGCAGTGGATTGTTTACACTAGATGACCCCTTACATGACAAAGTAAACGAAAGCAACTTCCTTCTTCACTCAAGATATCGTGGAATATCATGCAGTGAGCACTGAGTAACTGCTGCAAGAAGGTACATACACGATTGTGTTGTCAACAACTGGAAAGATTGGGCCTGTTAAGACTCATGAAATACACGAACGTAGAATGTGGGTCATAAATAACCCTATGAGGCATGCAGTATTCAATCAGTGATGTGTTAGGTGACCAAGGAAGAAAGGCTTTGGATGCTTGTGTGAAGGTCAAGATTTTTGGATGGCCAGAAAACATCGCAAAATATCACTGGGATAAAGCTTGGAAGCGAATAGAAGAATGCTATGAGGGACATCCGCGTCTGAATTATGTAGGTTATGGGTTCCTGCAGCGTCTGATACTTCCTACAGAAACGAGCGATCGCGGAGGACCAAGTAAGGAGAAAATTTGTGACATAATTGACATCCATAATGGCTTGGAGATTTTGGATGAAATGCTTTATGTTGAGAAATATCCCAAACAAGGACCAGGGTCTGAAGAAGTAAGAAAGTTGATTGATGGAAGAAGAGATGATGTTGAAAGAGAGTTTGAGGAAGCTCGTGCTAACCCAGAAGCTGAAAGGTACAAGTATTCCTGGCTTGTCGCACAGCGCCGCGTTCGTGATTGTTTTGCTGGTAGCTTTGCAGGGGATTTCACATTTCTTAACTATGAGTCTACGGACCCAAATAAACTTTATGACATTGTTGACATTCATGATGCAGTAGTGTATTATGATAAAGCAACACGTTTTGACAATTTCTATTGTGATGTGTGTAGTCTCCCTTACCTTTTTTTTCCAAGTCCAGTAAGAGTGGAAGAAGAAAGAGAAAATATTAAAAAAGAGCTGGATAAAGCTGAACTCTATCGTGATATTAAACCTTCTGAGTATTCTAAAGCAGAAGCAGATCAGCGAGTAAGAAATTGCTATACTTGCTACCCCAGAAATGAAGAGATTTTTCCCATCAAATTGGAGGAGTGCATGTCCCACTTCAAGCAGACTTACAACATTTTTGATATTCAAAAAGCAGTTGAACATTATGATAAAATGAAACTTGTTCAAAAATACCCAGAAGATGCAGGACCAGGCACTGATGAACTAAGAAAGTCAATTGAAAAAAACAATTTAGAAGTGAAAGAGGAGTATGAGAAGGCCTTTTGTGGCTTGCGCAAATATTCATGGAGTGAAGCAGAGAAAATGCTAAGAGACTGCTTTGTGGATAATTGGCCTGAAGAAGTTGGTGAACTATTAAGAAGGGAATCAAACATCAACCAAACTTACAATATCTCCGATATTCACAAAATGTTAGTTCATCTTGACGCAAGGGAAGAACAAGAAAAGTTAACTGGTCACCTGACTACTAAAGAATTGATCAAACATCCAGAGGATACAAAAGTGACAGAAATTAAGAAAAAAAGAGATGCAATTACAAGGGAGTTCGAGGTAAAAAAAAGCAGACTTGGTAAATATTCTCGAAGCGAGGCAGAACGTAAAGTAAGAGATTGCTTTGCGGGAACTTCGGTTCGTGATGTGGACATATTTTTTACGAGCAAAAAAGAGAACAGTCAGCCTTCAAAGAGCCAGCAGACCTATGACATTTTTGATATCAAGAAAGCAGTTGATTATTTTGATCTAAAAAAGGTTAGTGATGATTACCGGTACCTCTCAGTAGATGGCAAAGAATCTAGTAATTCTGTGTCGAATGGTTTGGTTGATGAAAAAAGAGCAGAAATTAAAGAAGAGTATGCTAAAGCCATCACCAAAATTGAAATTGAGCATGGTTCTGGATTTATTGTTCATGACCACTTTGTTATTACCAATAGGCATGTCATTGAAGGTGCAAATATAGAAAAGAATATTGATGATAAACCTAAAGAAGTGTGCATTTCTAACCCTTTCATTGGTGAGCTTCGCTGTAAGATTGCTCATGTTGATGCAGCGACTGATTTAGCTCTGCTTTATTGCCAAGAGCTGAACAGCAAGCAGTGTGGAATTACTCCATTGCATTTGTCCAGTGAGCCATTGCTTCCTGGTATGGAGATTTTTTCTTTAGGGTACCCTATGAGCCATACAGGGGAAACAGCTCTCTTTGTTAATGGTCGTGTTTCTGGTTATAAGGAAACTTACTCAGATTGCCGTCCTTCATTGGCAGTTCTTAATTTGTCACTCAACTCTGGTAATTCTGGAGGGCCAATCCTCTGTTGGATTGGAAATCAGTTGAAGGTTGTGGGTGTTGCAAGACAGAAACATTTCAAGAAGATTCTGACTGTTGAAGAGAGGGATAAAATTGAAAAAATCCGGCAATCCTTGCAAACTATTACTATGTTGGATATTCCAGATGATGCAATTAATAATGCCTCATTAGACCGTGAGCAGTTAGTAAGAGTGGTCAATAGGTATGGCTGTAGATATCAATTTCCTGATCCTTGCCAGATTCCAATGTTTTTACTGACATTAAAACTCTATGATGCTCTGGAAACCCACTCACAGTTCAATTTAAGTAATGCAGTACCAGGGCATTGTGTTATTGAATTCATGAAAGAAACTATCAGGAAATGGGAGGGTGAGCATAAGGATGAGTTAGTTGAGGTGGTGAAGTGGTCTGCAGGTCGACAAAACATTTTACCTTCTGGTCAACACTCCTCTTCAGACTGTTGTATTCAATAACTACTTTACAGAGTGTTGCTTGGAAGGTGTGATGCTTATTTAACAAGAATTGTATTCAGTACAATAACATGTTTTTCATTGATAACCTTGTGTGATTGTTGGACATTGTAGATTGAAGTGGTGTAATGATGAGATTGTTTACAAACAATATGAAAAATATGAAATGTACCGGTAGTTGAAACGTAATGTAGAAATTAATATTTCTCATTTACCAACAAGTTTAACTCTATAGATTATTGTATTCAAGGATTTAAAAGCAATTCCCTTTTTTTAAATAAAGTTTGAGGAAAGTGATGGATTTAGCATTTTAGGTTTTTGTAGTGAATTAAATAGTGCATTTATAAATGGCACCAAAGCTAATTTGTAGTAATTATTGTTAGCCAAGTAAGATGTTCAGTAGTACTGTTAGTTGTTTAAATCAGTTGTATTTTTGCAATATTGTGACAGTTTTAATGGAAAACTGATAGAATTCATCATATTTTATAGTTATCGCATGGTTTATTTGTCTTGTATTGCCCTGCCTAGATATTTAGCTTAATAGCTATTTGTGGAGCATCCAATATTGGAAAACTTGATCTTTTTGTTAATAGATAAATTGTGGTTGCTGTTGTTGTATAATCTAGTTTTCATTGATATGAACTTTGTGTATTTCTAAATAAAGGAGGATTTTGTAGGCTTGGATCAATTCCGTTCCCTACCTTTAGTGATGTTAAGACAAAAACCAAATAGGAGGGATGGGGTATAAAGTAAAGAAAACCAGTGTTAACATTCTAGGCTGATTTAGCAACAGGATGGGAATGTCAGTTGACGACGGTGTGCGCAAATCAAACAACTGGCTTGACCAATGGTGGAGCAGCAAATTGGGCACCGGAAGTCGAGTCTAGTCCTTTCTGCGCTCTTTCCTGCCGTCAAATAATGTTCCCATTCTATTGCTAAATCAGCCTAATGTCTTACAGTGGAGGCAGGTTGAGAGTGGACACCATTTGATTTATTTGATTTGATATTCTTAAACACATTTCAAACTGAATACTAGTAAGTACCGTACCATCCTGTCTTCAACAGAATACATGAGAGCAAAAGGTACTAACTTGAGTCGGGCATATTCACCATTGTTTAGGTTGTGAGTTATTCTTACTGTATTTTATTCGATTAACCGCCCTGGGCGCTTATTAAATTTTTGGACCTTGAGAGTGGGCGCTTATTCGAGGTGGGCACTTATTCAAGGCTGGGCGCTTATTAAATTTTCACCATTTTAAGCAAATGTAGTGTGTTTATTTTGCAACAAAATAATAAATGCTAATAACAAAACGTGAAGAAGTAACAAAGCAAGGTTTCTGTAAAATACTCTGAAGAAAACTCCGTCCTCGGGGAAGTCTCTTGTTAAAATTTATTCACTCAAGTGGGTGGGGTGGGGGTGAGTGCTTATTTGAGTTTGATTGGGAGGAGGAGGGGGTGGGCGCTTATTCGAGGCTGGGCGCTTATTAACTTTTTCTGCCTTTGGGATGGGCGCTTATTCGAGGTGGGCGCTAATTTGAGGTTGGGCGCTTATTCAAATAAATACAGTAAGTCAGGTTTTTCTTGAACCGGGTTGCTAAACAGAGGATTTTTGCAAGAGAACTCGAAATATAAACAGATTACACGTTTATAAAATAATAGTTTCTTTTCCAAGCTAACATGAAAGGAGTTTCAGTCAAATAATAATGAGCCTGTTATGGGGGAGAGAGGTGGCTGTAAACAGGTTCATTGATAAACCATGTTTTTTTTTTTCCAAAATGTTAGTGTAAATCTACATAGTGGGTGGGGAAGGGGACAGAAACTCAAGGGGGTGGGGGGGTACTCTCTATAATGGCCTATACAGGAAGGCTCCACCCAAAAGGGATGTGTTTTTTGAGGATTTAGGTATATGGAAGGGTAAGGATTTCACTAGCTGAAGTATAAGAAAGGGTAGGGAAATCTGTGATTTCAGTCTGTAAAAGGCCCAAAAGGGCTAATGATGCTTTTTATGGGTATGAAATAATAATAATAATAATAATAATATTATTATTATTATTGTTATAGCATAATTGCCGATAGCAATAGCTTATCTAGCAATGGGCACTCAGTCATCTACGTGGATGTTGATAACATTGATATATAGAGAAACATCAACTGTCGTGCTAAAAAAAAATAAGTAAAAGCTAACTTATTACAAAAATAGCGAGTATCATGCATTGAGATTACCACAACAAATACTGGACTAAAAGGTATTAACAGTGTCAGCCTATACAGAAGTACGCTGCAAACAGAGACCCTTCGATCTTCCTAGATCATATTCCTCTTCCCGACTTGCAAACTAGTAGGAAGATTGAAGGGCCTCTGCTTGCAGGGTAATACAGAAGCTGGGGAAAAGACATTCCAAACTCGGACAGATCTAACAAAAAAGTGAACTTGTGTGCTTTGAAGTGTTTGTGTCGGGGGAGTTGGGAGTGGGGGGACGAAAAATGTGGAAACCGGAGGAAGAGGCCGCCTCAAGTGGGTAATTGGGAAATGGAATCCTGATATTGCCTGTCTTGATCTTCACAAAACGTCGAGAGATCAGAGATCCTTCTACATGTTTCTAGATCTAGCCACTTTACTATAACGTGATGACAGGCCATTGGCTTAGTAATTTAAAGGAATTAAAACATGAATAATAGCATGGGTAAGAAAATTTGGTTGTGAGTCGTCAGCGTACTCCGTCCACCCATACACTCGTTGGGGGTGATGGATGGGAATAAGTTAATTGACACTATTATGAGGATCTTGTGGACAGTGTGAGCTAAAGCAAAAGGTACTCCCGTACAGTGTGTGAATAAGGTTCTGTTCGCTAGTCTCCATATATAACACACTCAGGAAGATATGAACTGCGCAGAATCCATTCAGGGTCACATGGCGCTCTTTGTTTCCAATAACTACCACTGAACCAGAAGTGTAAATACCATGATATCAAAATTGGGGTACATGCATAACGAACAAGACATTAAAATATGTTCCACATCGAGACCCAAAACTTCAATGCTTTCACATCTGAAAAACGAGTCAATCTTTATCTAGTAAAATCTTCCCCCAAATCAGTTTCAGAGCAACTCAGCCAGTCTGCAGAGTATGGCAGGTACACGCGTGAGTTTTTAAAAAAATTTATAAGAAATAAGGGCCTAAAAACAGCCTTGCATGCACGAGATCTGGTCGAGTTCTGCCATACTCTGTTTTTTTAAACTTGATCGTTTTGCGCAGATATTAAAATTTTGCTTTGTGTTGTCAAGTTGAATATGCATAACACCTGTCAAAATCCTACATGCAAGTAGGATTTCGTTCAAACAAAGTTAAAGTTACAATACGGCAAAAACTTCTTTCCAGTTATGTATATGATTTAATTACCAACTGAGGTCACTTTAAGGAATAGACACCGTTTTAAGCTCTCAAAGAGATGTTACAAGCAAAGAACAATAGACGTTTTTACCGATACGGCGGCCATATTGAATTAATTCGATGTAAGGAGCATTATAGGATGCCCAGGGGGTATGAGCACATTTCGTTTGTATTTTCGAGCGCTTTTCAGGACATTTTTTCTTAAAGTTTTCTTAGAATAAGATTGTAGTGGGAAAGAATATCCTTGTGCCGTGTTTGGATGTAATAATGATCGCCTTTTTCTAGTTTAGTATTAGAAATATGGTCTTCCACTGTATATTTCTCTGGAAAAAGGCGATCATTTATATTACATCCAAACACGGCACAAGGATCTTTCTTCCTACGACAATCTTATTCTAAGAAAACGTTAAGAAAAATGTCCCGAAAAGCGCTCAAAAATACAAATGAAATGTGCTTATGCCCCCTGGGCATCCTATAATACTCCTTAAATCGAATTAATTCAATATGGACGCCATATCGGTAAAAAGGTCTATTCCATCATGCACAAAATTCAGCTTATTAAAGTGAACTAAAAGAAAGTTTTAATAAGGTTGTAAAACAAACAAAATAATTATCATTAACAGTTTTACTCTCTTCAGTCAAATCCAGCTCCAGCAATTGTCTACGGGCAAAGAGTCAATTGTTTTGAATTTTCTGCTGGCAGTTGCCGTTGTTGCCGTTCCCTACTACACAGCAAGTGAAAAGGAAAATTTGCGTACAGAAAGATATTTCCTATAAAGAACAAAAAAACATTCACAGTGCACCGGAAAACAAAACCATGTAATTAAACGAGCTACCGTAAAAATGAAAAAAACTCTGACTATTATTAGCAACGGAGAAAAATGATCGAAGTAGTCCTCTTCTCAAGTAAGCTTGCTGCGTACAAGTTTGTTCACTCGCATGCGCTAGCAGTATGGTTCTTTGACTGAAGAGAGGGATAAAACTGGTTCTGCAAAGGAAATACATGTGGGCATGAAAAGAATCAACCATATTTACTACTAACAGAATACAAGCGGGTTGCAAAAGAAGGTGGAACCAACTCACAAATTAATCAAATGCAAAATAAAAAAAATACTGGCCTTGAATGATCCGTTTTGTCCTTTAACGATGGTTTTTGTGAATCATACATACATACATCGAACATCATTGTTTAAAAGAAGAAATAAGCCACAAAATATTGTGTATGCCTCATGAAAAGTCTTAAAAATATGCTTGAGACCCTCGAAATGATGACTGATTCTGTCCCCTGTTTTGAAAATTGTTGATCACTGGGGCGATGTTTTGATTTGTTTGTTGATTAACACAAGCGCGCCTTCTCACTCATTGGTTGAAAAGTGTCGCGTGACCAGTTGGCCCTGTCCTTAAATTTAGGTATATTCTGGACTGTACATACATACATAATTAATTTGGTAAAGCAGGTTAAGTTAAAAGGCAGCTAAAGCTGATGTGGACCTGCTGATAAACTATCTATTGATAGTATACAAATAAAATTTATTTAAAAAAATGTACAGGAAATAGGTATATAAAGAGAATAAGTACACAGTAGTAAGGTGAGATAAAAGACTTAAAGTTTAGAACAATTAAAATACTATTTCATCTTGTTGAAACTTATATTGTCGAACAAGGGTCTGTTTTTCTTAAGAAGCTTTTTAGAAATGTTTAGACTTGGTGCTCTAGCTTTTTAAATTATCTGGAATGGAGTTCCAGAACAAAGCTCCTCTATATCTTAAAGAATTCCTGCCCACCTCTAGGTTAAAGCGGGGAACCTCAAACTTAATGCTATTGTACGTGTAGATAATAACAGCAATTGCTACTACTAAAAAGCCTTATGTTATCTGGTAGCTCATATTTGTAAACTTGATACATGAAAGTCAATAACTTTCTCTTGTACATGGAATTAATCGATTCCCATCCAGCTATTGTTATAGCTTCTTGGTTGCTAATATCAGATAGCCTATATATAATCTTGGCTGCCCTGGCGTGGATATGTCCCACTTTATGCAATAATGTAGATGAGCAGGTACCCCAAACTAAATTACAATAGGTGACAGTGGGAATAATACTTGTAAAATAAATACGCTGTAAGGTCTCCTTTGTTAAATACTTGAGCCTTTTTAGCTGATTTACTTTCTGGCCAAAGGACCTACAAATTAATTCAATATCGCTAAGCCAAGACAACTGATTGTCAATAATTCCTAAACACTTCACAAAATCTAAGACCTTGTTCCTAACATAGCAGGCGGCCCTAGTGGTCAACAGAAGGGTTTATAAGTCAAAATCATGGCTTCTGACTTCCCTGTGTGTATGGTCAGCTTGTTGTTTCTGCACCACAGGTTGATACTTGCTAGGACTTTCTTTAACTTATCAATAACTACTTCCACGTTGTCACCGACCACAGACAAGGTTGTATCGTCTGCACACATGGCCAGTTCACCTTCAGTAACTTCATCAGGGAGATTATTGACATAATAGGAGACGAATCTTGGCCCAAGCAAGGAGTAAATGGAACACGACTTTTTAGCTCTTCCCAACGGAAAATTTCCGGGACCAACAGATCATCTGAAAAGGTAGTCAGTTTTGTGGATGGAATATTCCAAACGGAAAATTCGTGTTCCATTTCTTCAAAGCTATCTTTGATACCAGTTTCAGGCCTTCGCGGCTGTTTTCCGGTAAATGGGACTGATTCGTACAAATGGTCACGAAACGCGATTCCGGGACGACATTTACCAGCATTTACCAGTTCTGAACTTTGCGAACCATTTACCCTCACCATGAACCGACCGGTTTAACCATAAAAAACCCGCCCTGCAGTACGAGATGCGCAGAAGCTTGCGCAGAACGTTTTCCCGCCCTGAACATCCGGGATTCTTCTGAAAAAAGAAGCTTGGTCTTGGCTTATTGCAGTTCCGCAAGAGGAAACTACCTTTTCGTAAATCGATTGAACGGACGTGTTTGAACACAAAGCACTTGAAAATCAGGTTCTGTTCAGTACAAAGGGACATGAATGCTGTTTCTGATGTTTTGGGTGAGGAGGGAAGAATGGTTGGGGACGCGTGTGTGAAAGTAAAGATTATTGGAGAGCCCGAAGACTACGCGCGAAAAAAATATACATGGAATGATGCTTTGAAGCGTTTGGAGAGGTGTTATGCAGGAAGGAGTCCTGCAAATTTTGTCGGTGATCTTCTACTTCCCCGTGAATATGATGACAAGGGCAATGTAAATAGAGAGAAAACTTATAATATTTTAGATATCCACAATGCTCTTGAGAACTTTGATGAAAAGCCCTTTGTTCAAAAGTATCCCAGACCAGGAACTGGACGTGATGAATTGGAAAAGTTGATTGACAAACGAAGAGCAGACGTCGAAAAAGAGCACGCGGAAGCTATGGCAGACCCGAATTCACGACGTGAGTATTCCTGGCTTGTTGCTCAGCGACGTGTGCGAGATTGTTTTGCTGGGAACTTTGCATTTGATAGCCCACCCTTTGGTTTCAATTCAAGATACAAGAAAAATGTTACTTATAACATTTTTGACATTTGTAAGGCAGTTGTTTTCCTTAAGGAAAGTGACATTAGTCCGTTGTGCCGTAAAGGCATTCCTTTACCTTCAGGACCAGGATCTGATGAGCTGAAAATGTCAATTAAAAAAAACAACTTTGACCTGGAAGAGGAGAAAAAGGAAGCACAAACGAGGATAAAACAGTATTCAAAAGATGAGGCAGTGAAGAGAGTGAAAGATTGTTTTCCACTTAATCACACCTATCTGGACGAAAACGTAGCTTTATTCCAAAATAGTGGTAATGGGGAGACTTATGATATTTTTCATATTTACAAGGAAGTAGAACGACTTAAATTATATCGATGTCTTCAACGTAACGACAGTATGTGCAAAAGTGTTACCAAAGAGTATGAGGCTGCCTTAAAAGAGCTTGGTAGATCAGGGCTCGAAATTAACTTTTTCGTTCGGGAGCCAGCTGGCGACTAACGGAAAAATTTTGGTCGCCAGATCGTAAATTTTGGTCGCCAGCTTATTTTATATATAACTTAGACCCTGTTTACATGGAGTGGGGGACCGCAGTCTAGTGGGGTAGGTTTCTTTTGCTTTGTGTCCCCCAGGGCGTGAAAACAAAAGAAACCAACCCCACTAGACCAGGGTCCCCCACTCCATGTAAAGAGGCCCTTACACAAGAACACGATTTTATACGTTACTTTGCGTGCAAGAAAAGTCACAACTGAAGAGCGAAAACAATTAGAAACAACATGAGTAACACTTAGTTATAAAGCTACCGTTGTTCTCAGGTGATATGTCTCAGGTCCGAAGGTGATGGTTGTCTCCATAGTCATTTTAAATGAAGCGAAGCATAAAACGTTTTAAGTCCGTGGTTTTCATTCTGAGACAAACACGGGTCCTTGCGTATTTGCCCTTTGCTACTTCTACGAAATGGCGTTCTTTATTTTCGACTTGCTTTCCTCGACGCCTTTCGCTGCCGACAAACAACGCCATGCTTGGCCCAGGCCACCACATTGCTCGTACCAGTCTCCGACCGGGAGGAAACATAAATGGGCTTAGTGCCGTTTTTAGGTCTTCGTTTCATTTTAGACAGAACGTTGTAGGAAAGTAAAACCTAAAATATTGCGGGAGTTTACGGAAGCACCGCTTGAATTGAATCGCTATCTCCTTACCTTAAAGTATAAAGAAACGTTGTTAAGAACTATTCACTCAGGTACTTTTTCTATTAGTGATAGTTATATCCATTTATTAACCGCCCACTTTCCCTACATCAACAACTGATGAAGGATTCAAAGTTTGGATTAACCTTTTGGCTGAATCTTCATTCCCCGCACGTAAATACTCACGTATTTCCTTCAACTGATTTGTATCTGCCGCCATTTTCGCGGCAAATGAAAAGCACATGATGTTGAAGTGCGCCTGCGATCCCAGTTTCGGAAGAAGCCACGGAAACAATATGGCGCGTCGTGAACGCAGTATCGACGTTTCGAAATACATTCAATTTTTTCGATTATCTTGTAGTATTCAGACATTATTTTACTGGGGACAGAAAGGTGAGTTGGATACTAGCTACCATATCCGATTGATTTCCTAATATAAAGATTTAAAAACAAAAGTTGTGTCGTGGTTTTCTTTAGCCATCGGACAAAACGCGAGTCGCCAGCTGGCGACCAGTTCTGAAAATTTAGTCGCCAGTCCTCAATTTTTGGTCGCATTGGCGACCAGTGAGTCGCAATGTCGAGCCCTGTAGATACTCTCAGGATGAGGCATGGCGTCGTGTGAGGGATTGCCTAAATCCAGGCTACTATTGGTTGGACACAGACATATTTCCTGATAAGATTAAGGATGAAAGGGTGCGAAAAACTGAACAAACCTATGACATCTCTGATATTAAAAATTCAATTGAGTACTTTGATAAAAGAAAGTTCCTTGATAAGTACCTACCAGAAAATAACAAATACCCAGATGCAAGAGAAAGGAATGAAAAAGTGAAGGAAGAGAGGGAAAAAATTATAGAAGAGTATGTGAAAGCTACAGAAAAAGGTGAAATTAGTCATGGCTCTGGATTTATCATAAATGACCACTATATTATCACTAATAAGCATGTAATTGATGATGCAGATGGTAAAGAGATTGTTATTTCTAATGCTTCAATTAGTGAGCTCCCCTGTGAGGTTGTTTACACTGATGGTGGAAAAGATTTAGCGCTGCTCTATTGCCAAGAGCTTGACATCAAGCAAAATCAAGTCGTGCCATTGCATTTGTCAAATCAGCCATTAGTAACTGGCATGCAAGTATTTTCTTTTGGGTATCCCATGAGCCACACAGGAGAAACAGCTCTTTTTATTAATGGTCATGTTTCTGGTTTTACAAAACCATATGCAGATAACCGTCCTTCATTGGCAGTGCTAAATTTGTCACTAAACTCAGGTAATTCTGGAGGCCCAATCCTCCACTGGATTGTGAATCAGCTGAAAGTTGTTGGTGTTGCAACACAGAAACACTTCAAAGAGATTCTGACATTTGAAGAGAGGGATAAAATTGAAAAAATCCGGAAATCCATGGAAACAAATGATATTTCCAATATTTCAGAAGAAAACATTACACACTTTAGCCGCCTCTCACCGGGGGGTGAGTTAGACATTGAACCTGATCCTCGCCCCTCACTTTGGGGCAAGTTAGACATTGAACATGATCCTCGCCAGATACCAATGAATTTACTTACATTAAAACTCTATGATGCTCTGGAAACTCACTCACAGTTCAATTTAAGTAATGCACTACCAGGGGATAATGTCATTAAATTCATAGAAGAAGCTATCAAGAAATGTAGTAGAGAGCATAAAGATGAGTTAGTTGAGGTGGTGAAGAGGGCTTCAGATCACAATATTTTACCTTCTGGTCAACACTCTGTTTCAGACTGTTGTATTCAATAACTAACATTACAGTGTACTTGATTTGTATTTGTGACCCATAATTAACAAGAGTTATTGTATTCAATATACGGTACACCTATGGTGCATGTGTTTTTCATTGATAGCCTTCTGTGATCGTTGGTACATGTACAGTGCACTATAAAGATATTGTAAATTGAGGTGGTGTAATGATGACAGTGTTTACAAACAATACAGAATGTAGTTGAAACATAATGTAGAAATTAACTTTAACTTTATTATTTCCCATTTATGTACAAGTTTATCTCATACTGTAGATTATCTAATTATAGGATTTAAAAGCCTTTAAGTGTAGTAATTCGCTGTTTTTAAGTGATGTTTGAGAAAAATGATGGAAGTTAGCATTTTAGGTTTTTGTAATGAATTAAGCAGTTCATATGGTATTTATAAATGGCTCCAAAGCTATTTTGTAATATTGTTAGCCAAGTATGGTGTTCAGTAGAAGTGTTAGTTCTTTATATCAGTTGTTTTTTATAACTGTGACAGTTTTAATGAAAAACTAATGGAATCTATAATATTTTATAGTTATCACATGGTTTATTTGTATTGCCCTGCCTAGATATTTAGCTTAATAGCTATTTGTGGAGCATCCAATATTATAAAACGTTATCTTTTTGTTAACAGATAAATTGTGGTTGCTGTTGTTATAGAATGTAGTTTTCATTGATATGAACTTTTTGTATTTTCTAAATAAAGGAGGTTTTTGTAGTCTTGGATCAATTCCATCTCCTTTCTCTTGTGATGTTAAAGAGGAAAACCAAATAGGAGGGATGGGGTATAAAGTACAGGAAACCATTGTTGACAAAACATATCTTGGGCACTCATTAAAATTAGACCTGACATTTGATATGTTTCCAAACGATTGTACTGTATTTTACCTTTGCACTTTGTTTATTATAGAAGGGGATGGCCATTTTTATGCAAACCTGGTTAAAAATGACCAAGTTGAGTGTTGTGGGCATTAACTTGAGGCTGTAGTTCGATTTCGTACAGAACTCCCTGGGGAGGGCGGGTGGTGATGTGTAGTCCCATATAAAAGCTATACCTGCCTGCCACAACAGCCGTCACTTCTCGCTCCTCGCCGCTGGGACTTTTCGCAGGCTAGCTGCATAGGTATAGCGTTGGATTGGGTATGGTAGTATGGATTTCAGTCCTTTTTGAGACTGTGCTCCTTTAATGAGGTAGCTAAGCTGAAAAGACCCAACACGCTGTAATGAACCTTAATTACTTTGTTACACTACTAAGAGCCTGCTAACAACGTTTCAACCCGGTTTGCTTGAGATAATAGTTCTGCCCGTTATGATTGCCCATGTGAAGAAAATAACAAAAAGTCCAAGTCATTAATTTTTGGGCTGCCTGTCGAAAAAAGACAACATGGCGGACGAATCTCCTAGAAGACATTGCGTGTTGTATTCCCCTTGCAGTTGGACCGACTTCTGAGGGGAGGGGTCCCTGCGTTTTACCATGAATTTTCCATTCATTGAAAGCCGAAACGGGTTTTTTTTTGTAGTTTGTACTGGGTTTAGGAGCTATAAACATAATTAGACCACTGCAGCCCAATACACGCGTTTAGTATACACGTCTTGTTTGCCTTAAATAGAGTGTAATTTTTCGCTTCTAGGAAAAAAGTGGGTGTCAATTTTAAATTTTATTGTCATGTTGAAGTAGGATAGAGTTTGAGAACCTTCGCGGTACACTTTTTCCCTCCTTGGCGGGGTAGGGGTTGGGGAGGGCAAAGGTTTTCTTTGTCCTAGATGAGATGAGAATTCCGCCTTCCCGATCTTTTCTAGAAAATCATTGTTGCTATCCTCTGTTTCAGGACAAAAAAAAGTCAAAGCGAGACGGGTCAGATAAAGATAGTGACGAAGAGGTATTATTCTTTACAGCAGGGTAAAAATTAGATGTGTGGCGCGAAAAATATTCTCTTGCGTGAAAAGGCTACGCGTGCTGGTGGGAGGGTTTTTTTTGTTTCGAGAGCCAAGCGAGAAATTTCTAACCCAATGACATCCATATCTGTATTTAAACCTTAAGGCGCCACACCTGTCCAAAACGGTTGTAATAGTCCATGCTTTTATTCCTTTTCATTCACAGACTCAGAAGTACAGCATACTCTTTTAAACAGAACCACAGGAAAGTGCTGGTCAGCAGCTTTTATTAAAATGATCACCCTTCAGGATTTCATGCACGGACTCAAAAGTCATAGAACCACCGTGTATAGCATACCAAACAGTACCACAGGAAAGTAATGCTCAGCAGCTTTCATATATTGGTCGCATCACAGGATTTCCTAGTGAAAACCACCTTGTTGGCTCAGCATAATATAAACTACCCCCAAAACGTAGATCCGAAGAGTTTTCATATGAAGGATAACACAATATATAGGATTTCGTCCACCGACATTGAAGCTAGCACTTCTTTTCATGTTTCATAATTGGAAGCTTCAGGATAGATGAGACTCTGCAAAATGTTTGTGTTTATATTTGTAGAGTACTGAAGAACAAGACTTTGACTCACGGATGCGAGATCAAGTACGAAATAAATTGAAGAAACGAAAACCTGAAGAAGATAAAGAGCAAGGCGATGTTCAACCAACAAAAGAGACTTCTGGGAAAAGGTTGACAAAACAATTTACAGCTCTTTAGTTTGTAGAAATTTTGCAAAAGCTGACTTCAAGAGGATCGTTATTCAACTATTCAGCAAGTTAGATAGTGGCTAGTCACTCACCAACTGCGTTTGACACGACAGAACGTAATCCCTAACTGTCGCCTTTTGGCGGGATTCCTGTGTGTCAGAGCAAACCCACTTCTCACGCAGGAGCCATGACACTAGTCTCTCACGCAGCCGTTTGTCAGTTTTGTCAGTCGGAAGTTAATTTGTCAGTCTTTCCGTCACCAAGCTGAATTGTTTGTCAGTGAAACATGTTTGTTGCTTTGCGTTCCAAAACATTTTCTTGAGCTAATGGTAATCTTTTCCCCTTACGCTTGTCTCTACTCAGCAAACAGGAAGCAGCGCGCGCTGAATACAAGCGACTAAAGCGCGAGATGATGGAAACGAAAAGAAAAAAAGACATTGAAGAGGAAAAACGCTCTGGTGAGATTTTTCTTGTCAAGTTTTGTAAATGTACCTGAGTTAGCCTGTTGCAGGCGTTCAGGTGGTGGGGAGGGGGTTGAATCGTACGCGCGGGGAAAACGAGAGGAGATTGCCCTCGTTTCTCGTCAATTTTTCGCCCGCGCTCTCAGTACTAGCTGAACGCCTGGAACAGGCTATACCTAAGTTGGTTCAGTTCAGTTACTGTGCACAGGAATACAAAAAAAAAAACTTGATGAAGGAAGAACGCTAAAACGGCACAAAACAGTCGGTGTAAGTAGCGTAAAGATGCCCATGCTTGTCATTTTGCACTGAATTCCCAACCCCTCTCTCTATAATCCAAATGAGAATGTAAAATTTACCGTTCTTTTTAAAACGTTAATTTCACCGACTAGTAAAGTTGTTTTGCAGAGAACTACGATGCAAAGGTACAACCGGTCGCCAGGCTGGTTACATTTCATGCCAACGATTTCAACGCGGGCGTCTTATTTAAATTGCGTCACATTTTTTACACTCACATATTTAACATTTTGCCCTCCGATAGTGTGATTTTACTTAGAATACGACGCACTATTATGCACTAATTCCAATGTCTTCTTTAGCTTACTAGTAGCTATTTTGCGTTAGTTGTTATTCTCTGTTTCACGGGTCAAGTAAAATCACTCGCAGCGTGAAAAAGAATAGTTTCTCTTTTAATCTTTGAAATGGTCGGTTTTACCTACCAACGTACGTTGGGACAACATTGAGCCCGTTATAACTCAGCTGAGTATTTACTCAGGTTTATTCTTTTTATTTTACCATATTAAGTTGCTGGAGAAATGTAGTCTTTCTTGTTCTCAATGATGATTTTAAACGACAAAGTAGTGAACCTGAGTATAAAACCAAGTTGAGTGTCAGAGGGTTCTTTTAGTTAACAAACAAACAAAAAAACTAAAACTAAACCAAAAGAAAACAAAGATAAAAAACTCGAAGTAACGTCGTTAGGTTTCGAAGTGTTCGACAAATATTTTTAAACAAAAATATTACACTTCAGAGGTCATCTCGTCCCAAATTCCCTTTATATGTCTATGAGTATTTGGTAAGGCTAAGTGTGTGTGTAAAAGTTTTAAAGGGCGAATCATCTTGGGTGGTCATAAAGATTATCATCGTGAAGAGAAACTCGAATCTTATTTATACTAGTCGAGATTCGAACGATCAACTGTCAACGTAAATCAAAATCGTGATTTGTTTTGTCAGTTTGAGTAAATGTCCACATGTTTAAAATTCAATTTATTAACCGTTTGACCATGCAGAGCACTGGTGGTTCAGTGGTAGAATTCTCGCCTGCCACGCGGGAGGCCCGGGTTCGATTCCCGGCCAGTGCAATCTTTTTCCTCTTTCCTTTTTTTGTTTTTGGTTTCGCTTTAAACGATGTGAATTTGTGACTTGTTACACCTCGAATATTTTTGAAAATTTGATTTGTCTTCATACAAAAAAAAATTTATCCCACTTTTTCAGAAACTTTTCTTGGGGATTCTGGACCATTCCCGGCTAATCCCAACCCCTTTTCTTGGAAAGAGGGTAATTGCGAAGTCGTTATTATGAACAAAATTTATATTATATTTATATTCTCCTGTACTTATTTTCAAGAATTTACACGAAGATTCGTTTTGATGGTGAGAAGCTGTGAAACTTGGAATAGGCCTAACTTTATTAGAGCAACGCATAGAAAGTTTACACAAGTTCAAGTAACCTTTTTTCTTTTCCTTTTTCGTTGACCAGATCCTAAAGAGTCCGATGTGTTAGCAGCTTTTCACGCAGAACAAATAACTTACCTCGAGAAGAAGAAAACTTCCCAAAAAAGGAAGGGTCAAGGAAGGGACGAACAGGTGATCAAATGTTTTATTTATGTCAAAGTTTTTATCACTCATGGACAGGCGCGGAACTAGAATAAATTCCTACCGATTTCATAAACGAGCGCCGAAAGGGCAAGTTTCTAGGGCGGGGGTTTCGGGGGCATGCTCCCCAGGGAAAATTTTTGGATTTAAAGTCCCCAAAGTCCCCTTTCTGGGTTCTCTGAACCATTCAGACCGAATATTTACTGACTGTCTAAACCACTTTCTAGATTTCAACTTTTAGTAGTATTATTATTGTTATTATTATTATTATTAAAAATATATATGAAAAATATACTAATTATGAAACTGATCTGACCGATATCCGTAAAACGGTGGAAACCGGTGTCGATCCGCGCTGACTGAGTGATTTTATACCTGTTATATATCCCGCTCTTTGCGCAAATGTCAAGTGGATCTGTTGTTAACCAGAAACAAAGTCATTACTTTAGACATTGGCCAGACATTGACTGTACGTCAGTATGATTATTAATGTTGTAATAATTAAAGCTTGTTGATAGTTGTGTGCTGATAGCCGGCGTGTCAAGAAACTCACCTGGACGATCATATTCCACCGACTCATGCATGACTTGACACTTTTTGTTGCCACCTGATTTTTCATGTAGAATCTAACACTGCTGGCAGACTTTCAAGCCAAGCTTTTTCAGTCCAACGAAGAAGAAGGAGATCAAGAAGAAGATAACGAAAACGAAAATGAAAACGAAGAGAGAGATGATACTGGATGGTAAGTAACGTCTCTACATTTTGCGATCGTTGACATGACCCCGCTCCCCTTGTTATCCCGAGGCAGCCTAGTCCCCAGGCGTTCTCGGTTCGGTCAATCCTGGACTTTTCCGTGAGCTGTGACGTCACCAAGGAGACTTTCCCAGACTTCGCGCGGACAATGGGGCAAGAGAGGGCGCCTAGGGACCAGGCTGATCCCGGGGAAAACCCAAGCGTTTTTAAACGACGCATATCAACCGTAAGTGGAATTTGTTGGATTCTTGGGCAGTGGTTTTACCAAAATTTCGGGCAAATCTTCCCCATGGGTAACGAAACTTAGACATTTAAGTTGCAGCCGCGGATCCATGGGGAGGCTCCGGGGTGTCCGAATTCCCCCCCCCCCCATCAGACCTGACCCTTGACTGAAATTCTTACATCGACAGAATTGTATATCACTTTTTAACTAGCTGATTTTTTTTAATGAAACGCGCGTTGTATTTTGCCACTAAACTAAATTCCAGGGATATTCGAAATGTAATCGTTTTTGGGTACCCTCCTCTGATCTGTTCGCCTCTGCTCGCAAAGCAGTCTTTCCCGCGCCAACGGCGACCGGCGTTCACAGATTGAGAAACACGTTGTCGTCTCTTTGAGAAGTGATTTGCCACCAAAAAGTTCAACAGTCCTTTCTGAACCAAAGTTTGGATCCCCAGAATAAAAACTTCCCGGATCAGCCCCTGAATTGGGTAGCGTCGAGGCGTTTAACTGAAAATGAGAAAAGGTACTCACTTTCAATTGCTACAACGCCCGTATAGGAGTCTCTTGGGTCATGCGCCGATGAACGAGGAAATATGTATGAAAAGATAGGCTAAAAGTATAGCCTGCGAAAACATCCGTTTCTCCTCGCTCTTCGCTGCCCCCATCGGCGAAGAGCGAGGAGAAACGGATGTTTTCGCAGGCTACTAAAACTAGGGTGTAATATTTTATTCCAGGATGTTTCATTCTCTGAAGTGTGAGCCTGAACTGAAGAGAGCAAAAGATGCATCTATTGAAGACGAGGACACGTTTGAAATATTCGACCCACGAAACCCTATCAACAAAAGAAGAAGGGAAGCCAGCAAAAAAGCCATGAAAGAAAAACGCAGATAACATGGTATCTGTTGTGATGATCTGTAAGTAAAGTTGTCGAGGAAACAAGTGTGGTATCCGAAAAATCTTCGTAATATCCCGAAGACTTCACGATAACAATTCACGATTATCAGTTAACCACTGATCTCAGCCTGACAAACTCCACAACCTCGTTTTTGGAAACGAGGTTGAAAACGCCATTCTCTGTTTAAACACGTGACCAAAACAGATGATTGGATCTGGGGACAAGAGTGGTCTTGTGCGTTAAACTCATAAGTGTCGAGACGACACGTTGCATAACAACATTTTTCACGTGGTCTGCTGGCTCAAATAATCTCAATCCTTTTAGCGAAAACAACATACATTTTTCCTCAAGCAAATGCACATTAGTAAGTTTACGCTGTTAAACACACCGAACTCTTTATCGCCTACTACAACGTAAAGCTTTCATGCACTGAGAAAAAACTTTTGTGGCATTTTTTTGGCATAACAATGGATTTTTGGTAAGAATTATTTTTCCTTCTAGGCAGCTGCCCAGAAAAAAAGTTTTCTCTAAACCCAAAATTTTAAGTTTGAAGGGTGTTTCTTTTGACTACGGCTGTATGTTTGGCTGCTATCTTTTATAGTTATTCTGGAGGCAGCAGTCTGCCTAAAATAGAACAACTTGTGATCCTATATTTGCAGCAAGGATGCATGTTAAAGATGTTGGGCATTCACCTTTCTTTTGTGAAAATCTTTAAAAGCGACAATTTCATTGGTAAATAGTAGCCTTCAGCTGATTGGCTGAAACTTTGGTTGGTATAGGCGCTCATCCAGCTTATCTTGCGATTTCTTAAGATGTCAAACTTTATCCTTGATTAAACAAAGCCGTTCATTTCCCGTATAAAGCCATAATTCTTCAGGAAGACTATCTAAATATTATTCATTTGGTTAGTCAAGTAAACAGTTCTACTTAAACAAATATGCTTCTTGTGAAATCTAAATGTTTGTTTAATAAAACTGCGCTCACATTATAGCGGCTTTTGGGACCTCAGCCGAACCAAGCAATTCGTAGATGTTATCTTCAAAACCAAATAAGGTTAAAATCGTATATTTTCCCCTTACTGTTGAAATCACTGAATTGCTTGAATTTGTCGATTTGTTTGGAATGCATGGGTATTTAAAGTTTTAAGATGCCTTTTTGTCACTGACGCGAATTTTGTTAAAATCTTTTTTACCCACCCAGTTGGCAGTGGTACAAAATATATGTAAGCGATCACAGCTTTCACGTTTGGGTGTTTGCGGCTCAATTCTGATTTGCGGTTGGTCTCCTACACTTTATATTTGTAAGCCGTACCTCGAAAACAACGATTTCTTGTGATGCTTTTTTTCGTGTATTAAACGGAATTACCAACTGTTTTCAATTACGCGCTTGGTCATTTTAAAGAAGTCAGAAAGGTTAAAATAACAAATCGGTTTAAACTTTCGAGGTAATTGCCGATAATTTGCGGTAATCGAAATGGTTCTACGGTTATGACATTACTTCTTGCTGGGAAATACATTTAAATTTAAAAACCAGTCGTAATAACATATTGCAGTGAATTCTCCTTTTTTTGGACTCCTCGATGCGGCGGACACCATATCGGTCTGTTACTGTCAATGTCTTACACTTCTCTTGACGAACAGAGTGAATTTGAGGGAGATTTGGGAATATATACTTATCTAACGAAATGCAAGATATCTGAGGGTAGGAGGGGTGGGGGTTTCTACATTCCGGTCTTTTTATTCTCTCATCGATCCATCTCTTTTCCGCCATTCGCTTTTCGACATTGATTTCTTTCTTCGCCCTCGCCGGCAGTGTTCCTTCGCCGTCTTCCCTCTTCTATTCAAAATGAGAGGATCTTTAGCGTGTCTGCAAAAGTTTACCCCGCGAGTGCGGGAGCTTCGTTTTGTTCTTTGTTCTCTGTATGCAGCTGCGTCCCCAGTTCTTGACGCCACGTGTTTACTCGAGACGCGTGCCGCGCCGCACACATTCACACGCTTCGTGTGAACCAAGTGTTCCTGTTTCTAATGGGTTGCTCAGGTGTCGTTAAAATGTTAACGTATCGCTAGTTGTGGATACATAATACTAAATAATCACAGTCTATAGTCCTCACTCAGTTTTAAAGTGGTAAAACAAACTGTTTTTCCTGTTAAAACAAAATTTTTACCCTGTTTTTTTCTCTCTGTTTTTTGAACCGACAAACTTCTCAAATGGCTCTGTTGTTAATTCTAGTGGAAGTTATAATTATCCGTCGTAACCTCGGGGCATAATGTCTTCTGTGTTAAGGAAATTCCAATTTTTCTTTGGGAAAATTAACTTTGACAATATGCTGTAAAAATAACAAGCCTTTCTGTGTTCTTTATGCGTGTTCTTTGTTTTGAACTGAAAAGTCGCGAATTTGGTAATTGGAAAGCTATTGGAAGTTTTAAAAAACTTCCAATTAGCGACGTATTTTCCCTTCTAGAAAGACTCGTCATGAGAAAGCACTGTTTAACAGTGGAGTTACAATTAAAACGGACATCCTGCCAGCTCTCCGTTCCTAAAAGATAAAATTCGAAGAGACCTTAGTAAAGCTCAGGTCGTGGAGATTTATTCCCATGTAAAAAAGGTCGTTTGCCGACATTGCCAAAAAATTCCTTATCCTTCAGTTTGCGATCTTTTCAAAACGGCATTTCACTTGCTACTTTGTCGCATAACAATGACCGGATATTTCATGCCGCGATCAAACATTCAAAGCAAGAAAATATTATTCTTCTCACTATATACCTCCAAGCGAACAATATTTGGCCTTTCAATGAGATCAGGCCGAGATAAGAAACGGAAATTGCTGTTATTATAAAGGATTAAAAAAGCTAAAAAACCTTTTTTTCTCTACTCACCGCTCAAGTCAACATAAAATTCACCTGCCGACTTGGCGGTTTAAGTGGTTTTTTGTTCGGGGTGAAATGTAAAACAGAACAGCGCAAACAAAAAAAAATTATTTGCTATTAAAGACTTATAAAAAAAGTCACACTTCTGTTGTCTGCGATATATTTGAAAGGGAATGATTGTAAGTTAATTTTAGTTTTTAGATAAAACAAGCGAAATAATTATAGGTGGGAAGCGTGCTCGCCTCAAAATCAAAAAAGTTTAACATTGTTCTTTTTTCGCAGCTTTTATTTCCTTCTGACGAAAATTATCAATAAAAAATAAAAGGTTTTGTAACGTTGTATCTTTTAGAATTACAAGATGCCGTCTTACAAAAAGGCAGGTTATTTTATAGACAAGAAAATCCAAGACCACTGCCAAACGGATAACAACGTCTATTGAAAACATTTTCAAACGATATTTCGACTGTCCAGACCAGCCTTCTTCGGGTTTACAGCTTTGCAGTAGTCTTTTGACTTCCCGTTTTCTTATCAATATAAATTTTTAGCTGATTAGATCTCTTTTCTTTAGATCCAACGTTGATCACCGACAAGATCTTCGTCCACGGTTTTTGCAGTTTATTTCTTTAAATTATTTTATGTCTGTTTTAGATTCCCGTATTTATTTTTTACGAAACTAAATGGGACACGACGTTGCTTATTAGATATTGTATTTTAATGACTGATCGATTACAAAAAATGATTGGTAAACTAACCAAGAGGACTTATCCTTTTGTTGACTTGAAACTTTTGTTGTCTTTGTAGTAAAGAGATCATTACACCTGGATAAGTAAATCGCGAAAGAATTTTTTCTTTCAGATTTTCCTTAGCCACAACTGTACGTTGATGCAAATATTCTCCTGAAAATACATGCAATTAACCGCCCTGCTCTATAGTCAGTTGTTTTAGGGAAGACATGAGTTTCCATTTTTGTAGAAAATATTCTTCAATCCTTTAAAGATTTTCAGTTTCCTCGTTCTAAGCTCGCAAGAGACATTTTTCAATCCCATTTAATTCAGTCTCCTAGGCTGTGTGTTTAACAGTTTTTACGGTGGATATAGGTCACTGAATTCTTAAAGAGGATTAGATTTTAGAGATTTAACGGATTTTTTTCTCAGCGATTTTTGTGCCTATTCACAAGTGGGTGACCGCCCGCCTATTTCAACATGCGTACTTATCTTCTCATACACCACATGACACGGTGACGAGCTCAAAGATGACGCCAGTAAGCTTTGAGAACAAATTGAAATTCCTTCCATCTGCGTAAATGGAAAATGAATCTCGCCATTTATCAACGTTTTGCTTGCTTGTCAACACTTTGTCGTCTCAAATGTATCCCTTTCATATGTTACTTCTACAGTCACGCATCCACCCACGAAATTTGCGCCGAGTTTAGTAACAGCACATCTGTTAATAATTTACTGTTGTTTGTTTTTGTTGGGCATTCGGAGAAGTTTTTTCATTCCTCTTGTTTGTTATTGTGTGGGTATTAGAGGGAATTTAACACCAAACTAAAGGTTAATCGTTCCTCTTTCCGTTTCCTTCAAAACCGACGGGATTGTTTTTCTCGCTTGATGGTTCAGTGATAATGGCCTTCGCAGAAAACTGAAGTTTTGCTTCTTTTTTGGTTTGGAATGCATGTAAAGTTATTCAGTTAAAGCTTTAAGGAAAAAAATTGGTTGTCCCTGATTTGAGACTGTTTTATCTCTTTTCCTTTTTGTTCATAGTCGTAAACACACTGCCGGAAAAAGTCTTGAATGGCCCAATTTCTTGGCAAACTCGGTCCATTTGAATGAAAATATTTCATTTTGTTGCTGTTTCACAAAACTTAGGTCTGAAAATTGCGCGTGGTCTGTGCTTCATAAACGAAAGAAAACTGTTTCTGTTTCTATAAGTGAACAACTCTTGTGAAACATTCACAGCCTAAGTATCTTTTGATGTTTTGGTGGTAACAATTATTTCAAACGGCACACAGACGCAATTGCAATCCAATTTCAATAAGTGAAGAGTTTGGTAATATATTCAAAGTCGCTGTAGGGGAGATTGGCAGAAGTCAACATGAATGACTGAAATTGTTTAAAATTAGGGGTGTA